CGCATGAGACACTAACAATACCTACAGTGGTGGTGGCTCGGTCAGACCAGCTACGTATGGACATGCGCACTTGCAAAGATCTCCATCGCATTAGCCCTACTCCGCCTTACAGTCGCTAAGATGCATAAGCTCATCCTATGGGCTGTCATTTCCGTCACATGCACCATCGGCCTGGTGTTCTGGTTCATGTTGACGTTGCAATGCCAACCGGTGTCATTCTTCTGGCAACGAGTTCGCCTCGAGACGAACCCTCACGCCAATGTTTCCGGCACTTGCATGAACCTTGACAGCATTATCGCTATCGCCTATGTCTACAGTGTTACTGCGACACTCTGTGATCTAACCTTGGGTCTTTTGCCAATCTTCTTGGTCTGGAACTTGCAGATGAACTGGCGGACTAAGGCTGCCTTGGCTGGTATTCTTGGAATGGGTTGCGTGTATGTATCCGATGTGCCGGAACAAACTGAAGGATTTATACTGACTGTTCAATCTAGTGCAAGCGCAGCAGTCATCATTCGCATTCCCTTCTTGCACGATTACAAGGACACAGACTTCCTATGTAAGCATCCATCCATCCAATCCTACAATCAATATCAAGCCCCTATCGGGGGAAACATTCTAATCGCATTCATCCACAGACGCAACAGCCCAAATCTCAATCTGGTCGAACGTCGAAGCAAGTCTCGGAATTGCAGCCGGTAGCCTCGTAACCCTCCGCCCATTATTCCGCTGGTTCCGTGACCCCAGCTCCGCCGGCGGTAGCAGGAGCAAAAGCAAGCGCACGGGCGGCAGCGTCCCCCTCTCCAGCGTCAACGCCATTCGCTCCGACCCGTCCGGGCCGCAATACTGGCGCCCTGACGTGGAAGACGAATCGAACGCTGTGATTACGACGGTCCACACCTCGAATCAGGGTAGCAGGTCCAGTAGCACGGAGAACCTGAATCCGAAACATAGCGGTACCTTTTTTCAGGGGGTGAATGTGCAGAAGACGTTTTATGTTTCTGCGGATGAAGCTTCATGATGGGGGTTCGTATTTGGGTGGCTTTCTTTACTATACATGTACCTTGTCAAGTAACTTAACTTAAGCTTAGATATATTATAAAATTACTTTAATAATGTTCTCTTCGCTTGTGTTTATATTATTTTTGGTTGGTATTTATGCTGACATGTCTCTAAACCCGGTACCCATAGCCCGGGAGTTTACAAGTATATTAATAACCCCCACGACCAATTACTAGACTTGGTCAGATGCATAGATAGTGCATAAGTTTACCAAATTGGCCGCAGGATGCAGGCTGAAACGCCACTATGCAAGCTAGCCACACGCATAATCTGCACGTTCGATACAACAGAGATCCCAGATCTTTGTTCTTGTTCATAATGCAAAAGGTCGCGCCGGCCTTCAACAGCCCGGCCGGGCTAGCTCAATCGGTAGAGCGTAAGACTCTTAATCTTAAGGCTGCGGGTTCGACCCCCGCGTTCGGCTATTCCTAAACACCGTCCACGAGTGAGCGTTTCTTTTTTTGCACATGTTTAGTAAAGCCAGCATGTTTATTTTTGTTGATTACTATAGTAGTTGTTAATTGGCGGAGATTTTAGCGAATGCCATAGCAGGGCCGTTTGTTTTACATATTAGGCAATCAGTATTATTTGCATTAAGTGTTTGTGGTATATATTTTTGTGGTACCACTCATCGAACTTTTGAAACACAGCAAAGTAATCAAGCGAAAAAGCGAACATTACGAATAATCACAAAGTATATAAGGAAAGAACATTAACTGCCTAAAAGGACCAACGCCCGATGCTATGCACATATCATCGTAAGGGAAAAGTGCTCGAACGCCAGCCAGAACATTAACAAAGAATAAAAAAGCGAACAAGTATCGAGGTTGGGACTACGAAGACGCGCAATAAAATGTGCAAGAAGCGCGTGCATGGAAACAGAATATCCCATCCTAATAATCAAACTCAAATCAAGTACCTGGCTGCAAGTTCGCCGTGTAAACTCCTTCAAAGTCGAGACCCGCGAGCATACCATTAACACGATCAATCTCACGACTTAGATCCTCAACATTAACAGCCAGACTGCTCACTTCATCGAACTTACGCCGCCGATTAGCGTCAGCAATCATCTCCGATACAAAGAACTTTTGTTCTTCTAGTACGATGAGTCGATCTCGAAGGGATTTCTCTTCTGCCTCCAGGGCTGAGACGGCACTGCTAGTCTCGCTGGCTAGACTGCTATTGCTACCACTAGCAGCAACACTGTTGTATTTGATAGAGGCGAGAGCAGACTCCGATGGTCGGATATTGGATGTAGAGCTATTGACCGGAGTACTCGGGGAGCTGGTCCGGCTGGGTATCCTGTCCGACGATGGGGTTGCGTGCTTGAGGATCTTGGGGAGGGTTTTCAAGGGTAGCATGTGGAGGTGGAGGAAGTTGCTGGCTTGCTGGTATATAGCTTTCTGTAGCCGTTGCTGTGTAGGTGAGTTGGTTGGCATATCACGTATGCGTCGAGCTGCGACATCATACTGTGCAAAGGAGTCGATGAGTCGCTTGCGCACTTTGGATGCATCTGCTATCTGGGCAGATGATGGGGGTCGTCTTGGGTCTCTGTTATAAATTTGCGGTTAGTAACCGGTTGAAATAACAACTGTGATATACATACTGTAAAGATGTCAACAGTTTTTGGAATCGAGGTAGGTGAAGACGGATGCCCCGTTCGAACTGGATTAAGTTCTCGTAGGCCCTGATCTCCGATGGCTTTCGCATGGTATCTGCTTTGAAGTCGCGGCGATCGAACAGTGTTGCTTTACAATCCTTGCATAGTCTCACGTCAATGTTGATGAGTTTGTCGGTATTGGTTTTCTCAGAGGAAGCTGTGGAATCTGTCAGAAATTAGGCTCTAGCCACAGGGATATTGTCTCAGAACTTACAAGGAGCAATGCTCAACCCGACCTCGCTAGAACACTCCGTGTTCTGATCACCACAGACTACTCGCCCGCAAGTCCTGCAATGATGCCTGCGAAAGGTGTAGCCAGAGAAGTCCTGCTGGCAAAATGGGCAGCGTGAAACACTAGCATCGTCTTGCCAACTGACAATTGTTTGTTCCAACTCTTTCCGCTGATCACTCTGCCAAGCAAGAGACCACAATTTGGTCGCACTGGGGTGTATCTGATCCGGCGGCAGACTGGCCAAGAGCTGAGTGAGGCGGGTCAATCGCTTCTCGAGCCGGGAGATTTCCAAGAAGTCTCTATCCACAGTTTGCTTTCTTATGGATTTGAAGGCGTCCGTTTGGTCCCTCGAAACTCCTATTTTCCGTTAACTCGGTCCGTCATCTCAGAACAGGACTGTCCTCACCATTATGATCATTATATCCCTCTCTTGACTTGTAGCAAGTTTCACAAACCCGAGCCCATATTCCTCGCACAGGCTCATGATGCGCCGCTCGTGAGAGCTTCATTTGGTACATTGTGTGTTCCTCGCAAAAGAGCTTCCCGCAACTCCGGCAGTTCACGCAGCCATTGGTGGCATTCAATCGTTGTCCACATGATGGTTCCAGACACTCATCGTAGATGCAACTTGCCTGCCAGTGGTCCTTTGTGATAAGATCCTCAGGATCTAGTGCTCTCGGGGGTTCAGAGGATCCTGCATGGGTTGCAAGTGATCGACTGACGAGAGGCGCGTTCTGGTTTTCGTTTGATTCGAATACATCCAGGCCCTTCAACTTCTGGTTGAGGACCGCCAGGGGTTGGAACTTCCTCGCCTTCTCCATTTGCACCTTGAACCAATCCTTGACTTCATCTTGCCGGTCGTCTTCTAAGTTCTGATGGATATCGTCGAGGTGTCTGCGTCAAAGCGTTAATCACATATGCGAGCGGTTCCGAGAGGGGGTTGGTGGGTCTATACCGATTCAGCTGAAGCAAAGTCATCTATACACCGTCAGCGCTATTTCACTTCGCACCTTAACAGCGAACATGGTGGAAACAAGCATACCATCTCCTCACTGCAGATCGGACAGGAGAGCTGAGCCCCCGGAGCAGCCGGAGCCGCAGAGATCGAGGTATCGCCATTCTCTATCGAAATGCGAGAGGTGAGATCCTGAGTTTCGGAGGAGAACTGCGATGCAGATGTCTGTGAACTGAGGGAAACGCTGCTGGCGGTTGGCGAGAGTACCCTTGGCTTCGGCTGCGGGGACGGAACTGATGCGAGAGCGCTCGGGTTGCCCAGAACACGACCTCCGCCCAGCGTCCTCCGCGACATGATCACGGGGGCATGAGAAGCTGAAGAAGAAGCTGTTTCAGCACTTCATTTGGCTGGACAGTAATAAGCCTGGGGGAAGATAGTTGGAGGAAGTGCCAGATATGATGCGGTGGAGTCAGCCTTGCATGTTGTGGCCTGAGGCGACAACTGCCAAGGCTATAGTTTGATGCGAAGGTGAAAGATCGCAATTTACGGCTTTGTTTGATTGAGCTGGATTTGCTTGGATGACATGATTGGATTTCGTTCGATACTAGTGAGACAAGTACAGGGAATGGGCTAAATGGCTTGGTAGCCCTAAAGCTGACGTTGAGGGTTACTACCTCGGCATGTACCTTTTATACTTCATTTTGTCTCTCGATCTGTAAAACCCCGCATACAATGCTTCATATACAATGTTCCTAATGATAAAATTCTTCAAGGTCATATGGTCCAGCCAAGAACGCCTTTGCCGAGGCGGGATACATCCTCTCCTAGCAGGATTAAGTCACGATACATCATTGTTGTTCTTTAACTACGCTTTTACATCGAGCTAAAACAGACAACAGAAGAAGTCAGATTTTTTTTAAACGTTTTGAACGATTTAATCTTTTTTTTTTGTGGCCGACACAACCAAGTTTTGCCTTTTTCATCTGTTTTTGCTTTTGTTTCCAGTGCTTTTGACAGGATACGTACATTCATACCCATCTATATACAAGCCCGGGTCAAATCCCCAACTCGAATCCTCCAATTAAGCGCCATTATTTCTCATAGTCACGGTGGTAACTAGTTCCAGTGTTCGGATTATCGTATTCTCTGTGGACACGAGTAGATCCATCGTCGTACCGGTCAACGTCGCGGTGTCGATAGGTGCCGGTCGGATCAACCCGCTCTCGGTGATGTCTCCGGCCAGCCGGGGTATCGTAATCCAGGTGTTGGTCGTATGAGCCGGTACTGGGATCATATGTTGTGGCACCGTAGCCGGCATCATGGGTGTGCAGTGCTCCGTAGCCGGTTGCACTGTAGCTGTCGTAGCCCGAGGGCTCGTAGTTCCCTAGTGTATCATAGGATCCGGTTCGGTCGGTCATATTGAACGATTTGTCCAACTGAAGAAGAAGAAGAAGGTATTATGTGAATATAGTTTGTGTGCTTGAGGTGTGATATGCAATGTTTCAAATGCAGCCATCTCAAACCTCATTGATATATGTTCCATGTGGCGTTGGATATCACAAATATGATCCTGTCCTGACATCACTCTGGCGACTTCAGATGTCGCCAGCTGAGGCAAAGTGGATTGTTGGGGACCTCAATCTGAGGTGAGCTAATTCCTGGAAACTAATTCAATTGATGGAGTTCTTTGGGAAGTCTGATTATAGACCGTTGCCCCAGAAGGTGAATGATCTTCATACTTCCATCGCCATGCCGAGGTGGATGTATAGAACATCGGATTAGCCAATGCTTATCTGTAACCACACCTAAGGACATTCTATGGATTCCGTGGGGTTCCAAAACCATGCCTTGAGGTTAGCTAGAGTGGTCTACTTCACTCGTGTACCAAATAGGTCAAGGCTTGAGACTATGACCAAGATATCTGCGGAGAGCATCAAGGACCGGAACAGCATGCTTGAAGTTGAGATGCCCATTGGAAGGATGTAAGTCAGGGAGTTCCATAGCAGAACAAAGTGTCCGTGATGTATTAATATGAGTCTCCAATCAACTTGTACTAAGCAAATTGAGGTTAATATGATGGTGATAATGGGAACATTGCACATCAGAATTTTGAATTATACTATGTTTTACAGCCTCAAGCCATGTTCAAGCCATGTTCAAGCCATGTTCAAGCCATGTTTTCATCTACTCTCAATTATATTCAGCTATCCCGACCCAAAGGCGCCAAAGAATCAGATAGGAACTCGGTGGCGTTCATCAGGTCTGTACTGCCGTAGACAACTCTCCGGCGGTGTCCAGGTGCGCCTCCCGCACGCTGAGAGGGTGCACCCTCACCACCTTGCTGGCCACTCGTTCGGCGGACCCAGTCTTGCAAGTTTCCATACTCATCCATGCTTCCGCCACCGACTGTGAAGACAATAGCTTCGCTGAAGGCTTGGCGACGCTGTCCGAAGCTGGCACCGGTGCCAGGACCTGCGCTCATACCACCGGGCATCTGCGTGTTACGAGATGCTGACGCAGGGGGCATGGCGCCACGGGCGTTTGCGCTTCTTGGGTCAAAGTAGAGGTAGTTTTCGGTCTTTGCGATGGCAGAGCTTGAGGCTGCGGCTGGATCCATGATAGACTCGGTGATCTTTGTCACAGTCAGATCCTTATTCGCTGGTAGGAAATTCTTCACGCCCGAAATCAGAGAGTCAAAGTTGGCACCTAGAGAGCCTGAGGTAATGCGATCTGTCAGACGGTTTGAAAGTGATGAGAACCCACGGAACAGGTCTGAAGATTGCTGTTCAGGAGCGGCTGTTGTCATCATCGTCATCCGAGTAATTTCGCGCACCTGTTTGACGTAGGCAAGGGAGGAAATATCGGGAACGCCAGCCTTGGTCAGTGCCTCTTCGAACTGGGTCATCTCCGACCGACTGAGCTCAATCTCAGTGCTCAGGAACCAGATAACGAACAAGCGCAGCTTATCCAATGATTCACTTCCTTTAGAAGGATCATTGATCAGCTCCAAGATTTGCGACTTCGATTGCTTTGTGATGTTCTCCTCCAACTCAAAGAAGTTATCCAGCTGACGGTCTTTAATGCCCTTGAGAAGTGCTGTGGCAATGTTCATGTGCATGTCAAGAACGGCCTTGCGTTCCCTCAACTCAGGGAGAAGTGTGATAGCGGCCTTGAGGTGTTGTGCTGAGGCGCTGGTATCATTTTGGAGATCCTCAATCGAAGAAGCACCAGTCTTCTTCGTGATATCATTTGCATCCTCCTTGTACCGCGTAAGTTCAGCGTCAATATCTTCAGCCACCTGTGGGAATGGGGCTCCGGCGTTGCGTTGCCAGAAGAAATCGTTACTGTTTATGTCGTACGACTTCTTAGTTAATGTGCCTGAGCCCGATTCGTCTGCATCCAAAGTAATTCGATTCAAACGCATCTGGAGAACATCCTGCACCAGCGACTGGTATGTCCATGAGTGGGAGAGCATTGGGACAAGGTCCACGTTTCGGTCCATGATGATCAACACCGGTCGAGTTGACGGCACACCTGGCAGCGCCTTCTGATTGCCGGAGAAGAGGTTGTCCTTGGAGTTGAGAATGTGGTCTCGCAACTTCCGGTCTAACTTTGTTGCTATCAATTCTGCCGCACCGCCCTTGGGGCATCGGATGATGGGAATAGTGCCTGTTCCAGTCAGTCAAATAGGCCAATAGCTGGAATCAGAACGTGCTTACCCATTGTCACACTGACACTGAACAGTCCGCTAACCACATTGTCCACAATCGCATCCAGCTCCTCATCACTTGTTTTTCCGCTATTGATTTTGTAGTATGCATCGTTGCCGAGCCCTAAACTAAATAGATCTGGCTCTGCCACAATGAAGTTCAGATATTGATCGAAAACCTGCGCAATATGTTCGGATGCACCAGAGGTGACTATTTGAGAGGCGAAGTCCTCTAGAAGTGGCCGTGGAACGGAGGATAAGAAGTTCACGTAGGCCGGGGAGTAGAGCCCATGAGAAAGGTCGTGGGTGATTGCTTGAATGTTGGCGGGAGTTGGCTCCACGAAATAGACAACTGGAACATCGGGAATAGGGTATCTTTGCGAGTGGAGGTTTCTAGGAGTAGCTCCTGGTTAGCCATGGGGCCAGGTTAGGGGATCAGGTGGCCTTACAGATGAATGGTTATACCCCATGCGCGGAGGTCATTGACTCGTAGGACACTGCTGATGACATCTCGGCCCATGTTATCAAACACCAAGACTTTCCAGATCGGGTCGCCATCCTCATTCAAGATCGGAGTGGAGTGTGAGATAAGACCGCCCGCGGAGTGGTCGATGGTGTTGTCATCAGTAGGTTGCGGGTCATGGTTCAAATTCAAGAGCTTTTGAATTGACGCTTGAGGCGGTCGTCAGTAAAGGATAAGCTAAGAAGAGCCCAGCGTGCGTCACTTACCGACCTGTCGGTCCCGGAGGGACATTGGTTGCGAGGCCATGGGAAGGAATAGCTGGCAGTGCTGTGTGAGATTGGGGAGAGGCTGAACCAAAGCTTCAAAGCATGTACCGCTGCGCGAGGACAGATTTGAGATATGCGCGCTACCCTCCGAAATGATGACTTGTGTTGACACCATGCCCCCCGGAGCTAGATCACATGCCTGGATTCTGCCACGTAACGTGACCTCCAGCGGTCGGACAATCCATTACGGTACTGTAAGTTACCGCTAACCGCCCTGACGACAGCTTTTCTCCCTTTCACTTCACACCTGTTCTAACCATCAACACCTCCCCCATTCCCTTCTTTTTCTTCGTAAAGCGAATGGCTATCTAGAGTGGCCCTTCGTATGAGAGCCTTTCTCTTATCTGATACTCAGTCTTTCCAGAGACAAAACATAGCAGAAAGGAGGAGAGCCTCTGCAGGGAGAGCACAAAGTGCCTGGAAAGGATACCAAGTCAAGGACACAAGGCAGAAGAGGCTCTTGAAGATCCTGAGATCCTGTGGACCGTCTTACTAGACTTGTATTCGCAACTGCGGAGTCAATAAGCTGCAAGGCCAAGGACGACAGACGTGACTCGCAGTACTGGGGAATAAAATTGATGCCTGAGGCACCATAAATTGAAAGCATTCTGTTTTCTTTCTAAGGTACGACAGTACTCAATTCTGAAGATTCTAGGCGTATCAAGTGAATTGCCGCGTCTAATTCTTCAATTCTTCAGACAGCTTCCTCCCCTCAATAACTTCCCTCGGGAGAAAACTTCATCCGGCATCCGCCCCACTTCTTTTCTTCCCATTTACAAAGGCGGTGAAAATAGGCGGTGAACACGAAAACTGGGGTCTGCACGTGATTACGTGATTCTTCATAGTTAGCTTAAGCTTTGGAGTACTGTCTATCATGGAGCAATCCGCCCATCTGCAGGGGTTGCCTCAGGGCAATGACCAAGACACACTACCTGCTGATTACTGGGATACCCTCGATGCCATCTATCCGACCCCTGATCAGCAACTCCAACAACACACTCAAGCCCAACATGATTCTGCATCACAAACCGCCCTAGGAATAGGCTGGGACCATCCCGTATTTCAAGATCAGAGAGAGCTTGCTCCTCAACCCGAACAAAATCACGGCATCTACTCCTCAATGCATCAGTCGTGGCAGGCGGAGGCTCCTCTTCAGCAGTCGCAGCGAAGCTACGGAGCCCACCCGCAGTTTGAACAACCGCAAGCTACCCAGTACCCAGGGCAGATGCATTTCGACTCTCGTCCTCTGAATGCTTCCGAGTCATCGGCCTTCCCGTCATACTCCTTCCAGCCGGGCTACTTTTCCCCACACCAACAGATCCCCATCCAAGACACGTTTCCGGAGGCACCTTCCCGACAGCGATTGCAGCCACAACAATACACATTAACCCAAGAATTCCCCCAGAGATGATGGTACGTCACCTCGTTGCCTAGTGTGACCGTAAATCTAACGTGCAGCAGTCCAATACGATTGACCTCACCAATGAATACTCTGAATCGGATCCCAATGTCACCATCAACCCACAGTTTCTGAACCCTGCCCAAGCATCTAGTCAGCAGCCTACATTGGCAAATGGTCTTGTTTATGGTCTCCCCTCGCACTTCCAGAGACAACCAAACGAGCAGTAAGTTCACACATCCATCGTAGTTTATGAGGAAGATGACTGATCGTTTTACAGGGACCGGCAGTTTAATTATTATCAGCACGGTCTTGCAATCCAACCACAGGTTGGATCGGCTCCTCATCCAAATATGTCGTCCGGAGGTATGTACAGACCGTTGAGACACCCTCCAATCACTTGCTAACTCGTTGTAGGCCTGCCAGTGCCAGACGTCGTGATTCAAACGAAGAAGGGGCCTGTTAAAAAATTGCAACCAAAGACGAAGGGTCCAAAGAAAGCTCAATCAAAGTCAGAAAGTGAAAGTTCCGATGAATCGGACCTTGACATTGAAGCTCCAGATGAGCCTTCCCCCTTGCCCCCCATTCGGCCGACAGAACCCGAGGCTGCAGCTCAATATGATACACTGCAAGCAGTGTGGTCACCACGCAACAAGTGGCCCGGCCCTGAGAAGGTAAAAAATGCGCTGGTAGCCTACAAGGATGTTGTCAAGACGCTTCGAGATGCATGGAAAGAACAAGTCCAGGCGATGAAGCTGGCTGAGAACCAAGGTGACAATAACAAAGCCGCCAAAGTGAAAGAACAGGTAATCTCTCAGCGTCGGACAATGGATAAAATTGCGACGACAACGTTAGAAATGGGTCATCCCGTGATTGTTGACAAGTACGTGTCCCTTTTCCACCCCCTGCACCTCTCTTGTACCCCCCTGGTTGTGGCTATATGGGCTTGAAGCCGCCTTTGAGCATCGCTCCGTATAATTTCTCTTCCGGGAATTAAACCCAATCGCATCATCATGGCTAGAACCAGGGGCAATTGCTCTGTTTCGCTGGGCAAGGCATGATCTTATATGTGCTGTATGGACATTAGGCAAATATGCAGACCCAGAGTGAAAGTTCTTCCAGATATGCCATAGGAAACTATCTGTGAGATCCGAGGGACCTATCTAGAAAAGAGCTTGTGCTTTTCCTGTGCTTGGCAAACTTGAACCATTGGTATAATTGGACCAGACTAATTTTGAATCCTATGTAGGCTGGGCGAGCACCCTATGGTTGTGGCAGCTCTATACTCCTTCTTGGTCGACCGTTTCCAGGCTGCAGACTTTGCAGGTACCTTGACAATCAATTTGCTTACGGTATGTTTACTTCAAGTTCATATGGGACATTCATTTGCTAACATTTACAGCTTTTTGCACGCTTCTCCACTATGACAGAAGACATGCTGCAGAAAACAAATCTCTCCAAATTACTGCCCAAATTTTTGAAGAAAGGCGGACAACAGGTCAAGGACCTCACCCAGAAGATTCTGGACAATGCCACTGCCTCCACCAAGCGTAAACAAGAAAACGATAAACTTCCCAAGGAAGATGCTGTCAAAAGTATTGAAAAGCCTGATCCAGTTGGGATGAAGCGACCACGCGAGGCAGACGGAGGTCCGCAGGCTGGGACAAAAAGAATGGCGACCGCAAACAAAGACGCGTCAAAAGCCCCCGTAGGCAACGGACCTAAGGGAGCTCAAGCAAAGGCTGTTCCTGCGCGCCCGAAGGCCAACATCGTGGCGCCCAAGCCAATCAGTCTGTTTGGTACACTGAGCTCGGCATCCAAGAGACCTGGAACTACCAATGCAGAGAGGGCTGCCGCTGCTGCCGCTGCCAAAACAGCGTATGTATCAACGTATCTTCAAGTAATACTCTTACTGACCTTTGCACAGTCCTGCCCCAAAGGAGAAGACGCCGCCACCAAAACCTGCATTCTCCTTCGGTGATCTGATGGCAGATCTCAACAAACCCAAAGAAACACCAGCTCCCAAGCCAGTCGAAGAGCAACCACCCGAGACCGAAGAGGAACGCAGCAAGAGACTGCGCAAGGAAGAACGCCGCAAACTACGTGTGACCTGGAAACCCGATGATTCTCTTACCGAAGTCCGACTCTTCACCCACGACCCCGACGAAGAGTTGGGCCCTGGTGATGGATCTGCACGTGGATTGGGAGATATCAAGGGCGAAGGCAGTGTGCTCAAGCTCCACAAAGATATGGATGAACTTGAAGAAGATGATCTTGGTGGCATGCGCGAGACCGTCTTCCAAGAATTCACTGGCCTGTCAGGTAAGTCATCTCTCCCCCCGTTCTACAATTATTTTCTGATCATCACAGCCATCGATTTCGACTTTGAGGAACCCAAAAATCAGAGTTTCATCAAGCGCGGTGGTCCACAGATTCCAACCAGCCCAGAGAAGGAGGCCCAGGAGCACCGGGAATCCACGACACTCATGGTCTTCTACACATCTCCTGCAGAAATGCCTGCATCAGCCAAGGAGCCACCTACTCCTGATCCTGACGACATTGTTCACGATGAAGTGTCATTCGGAGAGCCTCCTGACCACATCAAGGTATGCATTTCCTTGGTATTTGCAACACTTAAATACTGACAAACTGCAGGCCCGAGAGGAACGCTACTACTCATATATCAACCCCAAGCCTGCGGCCGCACAACAGCCGCAGCAACCTAACCCCACTGGTCCTGGCTATGATATTTCCAACTTACTCAACATCATTCAGAATGTGTCTGGACAGGCGCAAGCAACTCCCCCACCAGCTACCCAGCCTGGCGCGATACTCGGTGTCGAGCAGACAATCAATATGTTCCGTCAACAGCAACAGCTCCAGCCTCAAGTGCCGGTGGTCCCACAGGTCCCCGCCGCAGTTCCACAAACGATTGACTTCAATACGATCATGCATGTCATGAAACAAATGCAGCCTGCATTCCCTCAGACTCAATCGCAGCCAGCCATGGCACCTAACCTTGGCGCCATGTTCTCGCAATTCGGCGGTCAATTCCAACCACAGGGCCATGACTATGATGACCCAGAGCGCAAGCGAGGTCGAGAGACCCCACAGCATGACGGCGACTTTGATCCCCAATGGAGCCGCTCGAAGCGGACCAGGGTTACTGACAAACCAGTATGTACACTGCCAGCTGAAATTTGATGAACATCTTGCTAACAATTCCGAAATAGTACAAGGTTGGACTCGTTGCCTGCAAATTCTGGGCCGAGGGAAAGTGTCGCAAAGGCGACAACTGTACTTTCCGCCACGATGCCTAGTGAGCCTGTCATACACTTTCTTTTCGACTGATACCCTCGTTCTTCGACTTCTGCAGCGGCAATCTTTACCTTTACTGCCATTCTTCTATGCATTATTACCTGATTTTCCTTTGTCGTACTGGGTCATGGATATGCATTTTCACAACTAGAACTTCTCTGGTTAGCGTTTACCACATGGGTGCGTTTCATTATTTCATGACTGGGAGGGCATATTTCAAGCACGTTGCATGTTTCCTGAGAGCGAAGTCGCATTTCTCTGTTATCTTACTTGCCTCGATGCATTTCCTGTCCGTTGGGGCTTTATGGTTCATATGTCGAAGGGACAAACATGTACAATTAGCATATTATTAAACTTGTTTCAAAGCTAAGAATCACAATCTTAAGCACAATGATTTCTACAGTAGACTCTCATATCTAAAACGTGTGATAGGCCCAAATCACTCAACCTCTGTGGCGCAGCATATACGGGTTGAATCTCTAGGCGTTCCGAGCACGATGAACTGTAAACACCCCAACATGGACGTATCCCAATCCCTCAAAGAAGCCTGCGCGCACCCAGACTCACTTTTCGCACGCTCAGAAGAAGACCTCATAAACCTGGTCTACAAAGAGTTCCCACAAGACATCGACCGTCTCAAGCGCGCGTACTCAATCCGAGACGGACCCTGGACCCCACCAAGCACCCCATCACCATCCTACATCATATACAAAGAAAACTACGACGAAGTCAACCGAACACTAGTAGGATTCCTAGCCCTTCGCTGGATCCACACAGACCAATATGAGACCTTTATCGGCACCCAGTCCCCAGCGCCACAATTAACGAGGGAATCCTTCGATTGGATCCGGCAATTCTACGCGCAGGTCATCACGGACGCAAACACACTATATACCCTGATCTATTCCATCATCATCAACGACCTAGGCAAAGATCCCCAACTGGCCATTGATTACCATACACATACAGGGGAAGATATCTCCGCCCTCAACCACGATGCCATCCTCCTGCAAGCCTGCAAGCACGGTCTAATCTATTCACTGGATACCCTCCCAGCCCAGGACAGAGAAGATGTATTCAAAGCAATACAACTAGGCGCAACCTTCAACTTTGGCCAACTGGCCCAAGCAGAAAACGCCCCCGCCTGCCTGACGGCCCTGCTAGAAATGAAGAGCTCCAAACGCAGTTTCCAAATCCGCTTTATGGAGCAGATACTCGATATAGCTGGTGCAGCGGGGCACATGGATTGGACATGCGCGAAGAAACTCATCCAGCCTATTTTCGAGGGATATCGCCATGTTTATGAAGTATACGAGGGTGTCACTACTGGGACGTTGACTCTCCGCAGCGGGTATAACTGGATATTGATTCGGAGAGCGGAGTTCCTCTGCTTAGCGGAAGGTGTTCGGGCATTCAATGTTGAGTGGGATCCCAGGGATCGGGCTTTGATGCGGTTATTTTGTCTGGGTAACGTTACTACGCGCGACAAGGCGCTTTTGTACGAGGCTGCTTGGGATGCTTTGGATGAGGGGACCCGGGGGAAGTTGGAAAGGGCTCTTAATGTTGATGGGGTTAAGGGCGAGCCTGCTGTTCAGCCGACGTATATGCCCGCTTTACTTGGGCGTGTGTATGGTAAGGATGCATTGGTGTGTGCGTTTCGGTTTCTTTGTCGCGTTATGAGTGCGACGAATATAGGGGATCCTGAGGTGGTGGTTATTGAACGAAGTGTGTATAAGGTGTTGAAGGAAGTTGTTGAGAGTGAGGCGTTTCAGAATGATCCGACTATTCTGGAGGGTGTTGATGTGCCTGAGGGTGTCGTTGTACTGTAACCCTATACCAAGGAGTAGATGCATGAACCTACAACTTTTGCTAAAGATGTTATAGAAATCTAGAAAAAAATCAAGCGGTATAATATAGTTCCATTAAATATTAAGATGAACTTGACTTAGAGACCACTGATACCTACTGTCTTGCTACACGATCCAAGCGTTCCTGATCACCAGCCGAAAAAGAGAGACACGAGGCGAAGGCGGGCCTTTCAAAGTGCTCGAGGTACTTTCTTCAGAGACAGGCTTCCGCTGCCTAACCTTCTCCTCGTTGAGCCGGGCCTTTTCCTCATCGATTTGTTTCTGCCGAAGATACTGAAGATGACTGACACGAGTACGGGCAACATCACCCTGACTAGCCAAGCTGATCTTCAGCCAATCATTATAAGTAGCCTGTTCCTCCAGCGAGCTGCGCATACGCACAACACACTCGCGGTACAGACAGTTCCGCTCAAAGCGCCAGCTGCAAAGAAGGACACGGAGCATGCCACCTTCCCGGCCACAGATCAAGGCTACGACGGGTGGTCGTTCAGCGGCAATCACGGACACGGTCATACTACCCGTGTCAACGATCGTAAAGAGGCGATACGAGCCAGGGAAGCCGAGTCGTTTCATCTCTTTCTTCCAATGGCCCGGATCCAGTGGCTCCCTGCCAACACGGATGTTGGATTTGGGCATAGTTCCCGAGAAGACTGTCGACGAGGCTGCGTATAACAGGCGGTGGTTATAGTTTCCGTACATCGCCTTTTCCAGATCATGTAGCGACATGGTGCCTTCGAATCCGACGAGATGGCTTGATGTTCCCTTAGTGCCTTCATTGCAAAGCTGTCGTACCGCCCACGGAGCGAACCAGGAGATGATCCACGCCAGAGCAAAAAATATACCAATTGCCACCAAATAGTTGGGTATAATCTCAGTCCTCAAATTTTCAAGCTGTGCGTTTGTGAAGCCGTCATTTGCTTCCGTGTTAGATGCCTGCTCTCCTGTCTTGCCCCCAGTAGAAAGTGCAACCGCAAGGGCCATAGCAGTCGAGAAGAGACCGAAGCCAGTCGCCAGAGCCCAGGCGCCAAAATAGACAATTGATTGCGATGCTGTTGCGCCGAGACCTTTGATTTCTTTGGCGTATCTCAGCCTTGGGAAATCCTTCCAGCGGATGGGAATACCCTTGCAACGGTCCATGATGATCGTGGGTTCGTATGAGTCGTCGCCAATACCAACGACATCACAGATAGGATGAATATCCCACAAATGAGTCAAGTATTGATCCCGATCGGCAATATTGCAAAGAAGCGTCTCACTACCGGCTGAAGCGTAGTCTTGCTGTGCCTGCAAAGGTCGCGGGTTCTTTTCCGGGTTCGGCCATAGACAAACGAGACGCTCGAGGAGTTGGTTGCTATCATTCACAAGAGATAGCCGTGCAATAGCCTGGAAGGTATTGTCGTCATCGCAAGGTGTGATCCGATACGACAGCAGACCCATAGCGGCATAGGCCATGTCTCTAGTCGTATACCCCTCGACATCCCTACCCTGGGATAGCTTCGCCATAACCTGGACTGCAAAGGTGAATAGTTGAAGCTCGCTAAGTTTTATCGTGTTGGTATAGTGGCTTATGAGGTGGCCTATCGCATCTTCGTGTTCCACCTGCTCGTCGTTTGTGGGTGGCTTCCAAAAACTTTCATACATGTCGTTCAATGAAACATCATGCGGGGCGAGCAGATCAATATCAGTAGACTCCGTGAAGCAATATCGGGTTTTGTTTGCAGCAAGAAGGACTTCTGGCAGTGTCCATATCCGGCTCCCCCATGTTTGTCTGGCAGATACACTGTCACTGGGTAGGACAATGTATACTCGATGCGCACAGCGTACCGCATCACAAATCGAGTTGACATCTTGAGTCTTTGGCGACTCGTTGGCTCCGGCTGGTATGTCTGTGATGCCTGAGACGCAATCGACATCCACCCAGAATGCTTCAAGAGAAGGCGTTTGCGGATCTCTGTGTACATTCTCGTGTTCAAGCATGCGTTCGGCCACCGAGTAGAGGATCTCTCTCAATTTGACTTCATCCGTGCCGACGAAATTGGCGCGCGAAAAACTTAGAAAGATGTATGATGGCAGCATACCCGTCTTCTTGTCGCGCAGGTCCTTGGTGTTCTTGGATACCCATGCACCGGATACCTCATCTCTGACCACCAAGCTACGAGGAACCGTAAGTTTGGCAACTGTTGACTGGGGGTGATTATTTGCCGGAGACTGATCGAGCACATTGATCGCATGCTTGGGCCAATACCAGTGAACATTTTGGTATTCCTCGTAAGGCTCAGCCGAGCCGTCGTCATTCCACGGGGAGGTAACAATTTCAACAGAGATCATGAGTTGAATAATCCATGCCAGTGACAAGGTGAGCGCAGTCGATGTGATCCAATGCAGAAGGCCTTTGAGGATTGTTAATATCCTGTTCTCCTTTCGGGCCTGCCTCGGCCCATCCCCGTCATCTTCTTCATCTGGAACGCCCTCGTATCGGCGAAACCCAAACGGATTCAAGCAGAGTTCGGACAGGGAGATTATAAAAGGCACCTTGCCATGGATGCGGCTTCGGCCCCAGTGACGGGGGTAATTATCAGTCTCTGCGTAGACCTCTGGAGTCGCCTGCACGATAAGTCGACGGGGGAATGATTTGTTGGTGCTGTAGTACGTGTCTAGATCGATGTACTTCTTATGGTCGTTCTCCCTGTTGGGATTGAGATAACTCTGCTTTCCGTAGCTGTGTTTGGGATCTTCAAGCTCCAGCCTGCGCTCTGTTAGGCTTTCCGGGCTGATAAAAGGACGCTGGAACCGTTTCCCAGAGGCCCAATGCCGGTGGCCATTGTATCGATGCCTGAGATTCTCTTCAGCTTCCTCGATCTCGACCACGCTCGGCTTTTTGCGCCGAAATGGAAAGAAAGGAGCCATCTCGGGGACCAAGACACGGGTCTCAATGGGAGGACCACTTGCTAACGAGGATAAAGGATATGGCGCGCAAAGCCGAGCAGATTTCCCTTTTTTATCAATGGATACCCTCATCTTCTAATGGAGATATCCAGGGGGGTCGGTAGCCACTGCGCTATGGCTCAGAATGTACCAATGAGATATGCATAATTTTACGCCCCCAGGGGAAGGAAAGGAGTCAGATCATCCGTCAGCGCCTCATTCGGGTCTAGGCCGGCCCCATTGCAAGGCGATACGAGGTAGTTAGTTTGCGCTCTACCTATTTGTGCGTTAGCGGCTGATTCATTGCGTGGACCATCTTCACAGGACGGGAAAAGAGCGTCAGCTGCGAACATATCAGCAAATGCTTGCAAAGCTTCGTCCAATTGAGATCGATCGGGGTGTCAGTGCGTTGAGAAAAAGGCCCCAAACTACAAAAGGGGTCATAAATGTGTACACAGTGCCATGAAGTATTGGTCAGTTTCTACCACGAATGCGTCGAAGCGAGTACACCGTTTCATGCATTATTTCCGCCGTACTTTGGCCTCTATTTTTCGCCTCTTTGTTGCTTATTTTCGACTGCTTCGGGTTACTCATCTAGATCATAAAGGTGGGAGTGTGACAGGACCTATGACCCCTGCATAAGTTAAGCATTGCCCGGGTGAATTTAACCAACAACTCAATTCGCAAGTAGATGGTCCGCATCTGAGTTTGGACCCAACGCCACGGTTTCGTCTCTGCATGTCCACGTTGGTTTGAGGTCACGGAAAACCGAGAGAAATGCAGAGTATTGCCTGGTTCATGATAGGCCGGGGATAAATTCAAGGAGTAGTCATTATGCGTCGAATGATAATGGATATGCAGTCATGAAAACGCGAAAATAAGAACATACGGAACCCACGGGCAAAGTGAAGCCATCAGAAGCGAAAAGAAAGTAGTCGAGCCGTCCTGTGGCCCTGTCATTCTGGCAATTTGGGCATTCAGCCGCAATCATTGGCAGAGCGTGGTCTCCGATAGGGCAGGTTGTATGCAGTAAGACGCCACTAGTGCCGGGCTAAATGCTGATTCGGGAAGTGAGTAGACAAAGGATCAACCATCACAATAACCATGATCATGATTATCATAGTCTCAAATCTAGATCGGTGTAGATAATCGTGGCCACTGTAACTTGTAAGTTGTTCACCATTCGATATGTACTCGTGGCACCAGCGCCTTAGCTCCTGGGCCCAGGGCACAGGGCTCAAGATCGATGCCCTCGGTCTCGTCACGCTCCTTGGAGCGGAGGAAATGGATCGCAGCATTGGGCGACTCGTCCCAAGCCTGTATCTTGACTATCTACCGTTACTGGGAGCCTTCGTGGTGGCCGGCAACCGCTTCGTCGTGAAGAAGCCCGGGTCCGCTCTCTGCAACATTTCGGGCGGCATCATGACAACAGAACTAGCAGGCTGGTTCTCGCGCTGGCTCCAGACGCAGTCATTCAACCAGGTCCGCAGTATTGTCACCTGGGAGGTCGGAGAGAGGCCGCGCAGATGGACGTCATTCATCGTCGGCTTTCTGCTTGTCGGGTTGCCGGTGCACGGTGTGCTTATTGCGCTGACTGTTCTGGCGAGGGATTGGTGGGGATTTGCTAATGTCATATCCATGATAGCCTCGGTGGCATTGAGGTGTTTCCAGGTGGCACAGAACCAGGCCGGGATCGATGCGAATATCCGAAGAGCCCAAGAAGAAGCTGAGAAAGAAAGCAAAAGATACCCAGCCAAGCGGGCTGAATATGAGAAATCAATGGCAATATTCGAGGATCTTTACCAACAGGGAAAAGAGAAAAATGTTGAGCCACCCATCGAACCTCAAGACCCGTACGCAATCGCCAAGGTGATTGTCGTGACAGAGGACTCGAAGGTCGTCACTCTCGTTGTCCCGGGGTACCTGCCAAAGCTAGCATTTGCCATCAACCCTCAGCCGCCAAACCCGTATTTGTATGAGGCATGCCAATGGGCCGGCTGGGTCTTCTTCGCCGTGCATGTCGTCAGCATCGGCATGGCCGGCTTGTATACACAGATTGTCACAGTAGCGGTGATCATTGTCACCACAGTTCTCGTTGCCCACAGAGTTGGCTGCGAGGACTCACGCATATGGGAAGCCATTCGCAATCAATGGAGCCACAGTGATGAAACAGAACCGAGAAGCTGCTGGGTCAGTTCAACCCTAAAAGCCACCGTGTCTACCTATCCTGAGAGGTACATGGATTGGCCAGAGCTGGAGAAAAGTAAACCAACCACCGTGCAAGTGGTCTTGGAGAAAGATTTCATGCAACAAAGACTCAGTGCAACTCCTTTGGGCAGCTTGGAAAGTAGTTCAGCACCCAAGAAAGCAGAACGTCGCCAGGATCTGCTTGCTTGGTTGGACTTGACGACGGAGCAGGACAAATCTCTCATTGCGTGGGGGCTAATCCCGCATAGTCGAGAATGGCAGAGTATATACAACAGGAAGAAAGAGGCTCACCGGAGGAGAGTTGGGGTATAAGTTGGATTAGGCTCCACTGAAAAGTCGGGGCAGCTGTGAACGTCTTACCGCCCCCGTCTCATCTGTCTGCTTTTTATACCTTAATGAGACCAACGACCTTATTTATCTTGTCGGGAAAATATCATGACCTCAAATCTAGACAGCCTTACGGAGTGCAGCCACTTGATAATCGTCTGCTGCCATGCAATTTATATAGGAGGGCCTAAACTTGGAGGTTCTGAACAAGAATGGTACGTTGAGGATTGCACATCTTGAGATTGAGAACTGGCATCTCACACTTCACTTTGCGTATCTAGGTTGATTGAGCCCTTTCAGCGTAGGGAAACGCTCACGTTCATCAACCATATCAAAGCCGGATTAAGACTTATAGCAGATGACCACAATGGAATTCTCGTATTCTCAGGGTAATAGCTTTTCATCACACTTCATTTGAACCTAGTTAACCATATAACAGAGGGCCTACTAAGAAGCCAAGGACTGAGCTCACCGAAGGCCAATCTTACCTCGTCAGCTCTCCACTTGTTGACTCGAAAACAGGAAGGCTAATACATAGCAGAGTCTAGCCAAAGACAACAACTATTTCCAAGACAGCTCTGAAATTCCGACAATTGACCCATTACGAGTCATCGCCGAGACCCACGCGACAGACTCATATCAGAATGTTCTGTTTTCTATAATACGCTTCCGGGAATATACAGGTGTCTATCCACGACGGGTCACCGTCGTGACACACAGTTCAAGCGTGCACGATTCATGCAGTGTCACTTCCCCGCCTTGGGACTTGTACCCGACAGCTATGAATCAGGACAGGGACCCGATACGCAGAAAGTCGCAGTTATTGGAATCAATCCCCCAGAGGAGGTGACTCCCTCCGAAACACTGATTCGAGGAGAGGCAATGAACGGGATTGGGCTCTGGAGACAAGATCTTTACGGTGTCAATACTGGTCTCGTCGACAAGCGAATAAAACGGGGTTGGTCCCCTGGGATGGAGAATGTATTGTTCTCCAACTTGGGCTTGGAGGATGTGGTATTGGATCTGATTCGATATGATGGTGGTAATCATTGCAATGAATGGTTCTCGGGTAGAGAGAGCTTGCCATGGTCTTACGCAGGCGCTCCTCTGGATTGAAACTTGCCGCTGTCAATATTATCGCTTTGAGGTGTCTCTTTTGTTACTTTGATACCACATTAGAACCTATTCGATAACATCTCATCCTCTGGTGGAGACACCACCGGGGTATTGTAACTCTTGAAAGCCAATATACTAGAGAGAATAGAAGTCATAAAACTAGAAAGCCTCTATTGGAACTCCAACACTTCTCATGTAATAACTTGAATACCTTGGTCCTTTCCTGAAACGCCAACCCATGGAGCACCCTTCGTATTTGATCATCACATCTCACATAGAATTCAATCAGACAAGCGGTAGCTAACCAGAGTTCCCACTCGGTGGTTGTTTGTACTAAAGCTGCGCAATTGAACCTTCTCGGCATTCTTAATCTCCTTGGCGTCACTGTCACCCCATTCTACTGGGACATCTGAGTCGGCATCGGCGTAGACCAGGACGTTGAAGGTGCAATCGCCATCCAGGACAGGAAGGAAAGTGACAGAGGCAGTAATCTGGCGGAAGATAGCTTGGATTTCCTCTTGGATTTGCTTCTCGTTCTTCTCGATAGGTTCGGAGGATTGGGGATCCGCATCTCTGGTAGAAGCAAAGTATTATTAGCGAAATGATCAATATTAATTCTCGATAGTATGCAACACACCCGGGTGTAGCGTTTTCCTTATCAGTGGATTTCTGGGCACTCTTGCTCTTGGAGTGCTTGCCAAAGATTTCAACCTAAACCACCAGAATGATCAGTGCCTGAGTCGGATAGCAAGTCAAACGCGGAGGACATACGTCGAATTGCCATCTTTCCACATGTTCGCCAGTCTCCTTGCTTGTAATAACCACCACAAGCTTAGAAATCTTGCCTCCCTGCATCCATTTATTCAATTGCGACATGATCTTCTTGATGTAGGCTTTGACCTGGTCGTCGGCGGACACTGCGAGTAGGTTAGGCCTGCGGTCTATCCAGGACGGATTCGATAAACGAACCGAGCATATTGAGGCCATATTTCTTAATCCTACTATCTGTCAGCTTGCTGGACTATGTTATCAAAGAGAATAGAAGAGAAGACGTACGTCATGAAATCCTCCGGAGGATAGACACCTCGTTGGAAACTGCGGTCAACGCGATAAGCTAGTGTCTTGAGATCTTTATAAATGCCACTCACAGGATCGAATTAATCGAGTATTCAAACTGAAGCTGTTAGCTGAGATCTCTTTGTCCGAGAAATCAATACTCACGAATTCGGACACAAGCTTCGCCGATCCTATTATCTTGTGAGATTGGCATTTAAAACTGGACGACAGGAGACCAACCTTTGATAGACAGCTTGTGCACCTTTGACTTATCCTTTGCTTCAGGCATGATGGGCTGGTAGATGGAATATTTGAGGTGAAAGATGGGAGAGGTTTGTTTACGTCGATAGTCACTGCAGCAATAAATCGCGGTCACCGCCCGCGCCCGTTTTTTCTCCGCAACCCCCGAGACCTCGCCAGCATCGAAACGCCGAAATACTTTATCTCGACCGCATTACCATTTGCTTCTATGCCACAGAAGTCTCAATGCGAGGATGTCTGCGGTTAGGCCGATGGTTGAGCGCAGCGCCAAGATGCCAGGCCGCTAGCCTTCAACCACCAGTTGGCTTTTCATCCTTCAGATACAACCGATTGTTCTCTACGTCGAGGACATGTTTTGCACGCTCAAAAATAACGCCGATTAAATTGGACACAGATCTCGAACAACGAATCTCCGCGATCCCAATTGAACGCTATCGCAATTTCTGCATTGTCGCACATGTCGACCATGGCAAAAGCACACTCTCCGACCGACTCCTCGAGCTGACGGGCACTATCAAAGCTGGAATGAACAAGCAAGTTTTGGATAAACTCGATGTTGAGCGAGAGCGAGGAATCACGGTCAAAGCACAAACGTGTACGATGATTTATAACCACAATGGCGAGGACTACTTGTTACACCTGGTGGATACTCCAGGCCATGTGGATTTCCGTGCAGAGGTGTCGCGAAGTTATGCCAGCTGCGGTGGTGCCATTCTCTTGGTGGATGCCAGTCAAGGTGTCCAGGCGCAAACGGTTGCCAATTTCTATTTGGCGTTTGCGCAAGGCCTCGAGCTGATTCCTATCCTCAACAAGGTTGACTTGCCATCTTCGGATCCAGAGCGGGCTCTGGAGCAGATGAGGAGCACTTTTGAGATTGACACGGAGAACGCGGTGATGGTTTCGGCCAAGACTGGATTGAACGTTCCAGCTGTGCTACCGACAGTCGTGGAGAAAATTCCTGCGTAAGTTCAAACCGGCCTACGCGATCAAATGATATTTTACTGACTCTCTTTAGACCTATTGGCGATACTCAAAAACCTCTTCGCATGCTGCTCGTGGATTCTTGGTACGACTCCTACAAGGGCGTGATTTTGTTAGTCCGTGTGTTCGACGGCGAGGTGCGTGCAGGTCAGCAACTCGTTTCATTTGTTACGGGACTCAAGTACTATGTGGGCGAAGTTGGCATTATGTATCCAACCGAGACCGCGCAAACTGTCCTCCGTGCAGGCCAGGTTGGTTACATCTACTTCAACCCAGGCATGAAGCGGAGTAAAGAAGCCAAGATCGGCGATACCTTCACAAGGGTTGGCTCAGAAAAGCTGGTAGAGCCTTTGCCGGGTTTCGAAGAGCCAAAGTCGATGGTCTTCGTCGCGGTATATCCAGTGAATGCGGATCATTTCGAGCACTTGGAAGACAGCATCAACCAGCTCATCCTGAATGACCGAAGTATCACCGTGCAAAAAGAGTCGTCCGAGGCTTTAGGCGCCGGATTCCGCATGGGATTCTTAGGCACTCTCCACTGCTCCGTGTTCGAGGACCGTCTCAGGCAAGAGCACGGCGCAAGTATCATCATTACACCTCCTTCCGTCCCGGTTAAGGTCGTGTGGAAAGATGGCGCCGAGGATATTATCACAAATCCAGCTAAATTCCCCGATGATGATAGCGTCCGGCTCAAGGTTGCGGAGGTCCAAGAGCCCTATGTTTTGGTCACCTTGACATTCCCGGAAGAATATCTAGGAAAGGTCATTGAGCTTTGCGAAGCCAACCGAGGCGAGCAAATCAGCATTGAATATTTTACTACGACGCAGGTCATCATGAAGTATGAATTGCCTCTAGCGCACTTGGTTGATGACTTCTTCGGAAAACTGAAAGGAGGCACCAAGGGCTACGCCAGTCTGGACTACGAAGAATCCGCATGGCGAGCAGGTAACATTGTCAAGCTACAGCTTCTGGTCAATAAAGAGCCCGTGGATGCTGTAGCACGAATCATGCATTTGAGCCAGGTCAACCGACAAGGAAGAATTTGGGTTACCAAGTTCAAGGAGCACGTCGACCGACAGCTCTTCGAGATCATCATCCAGGCTGCTGTTGGCAAGAAAATTATTGCGCGTGAGACCATCAAGCCATACCGTAAGGACGTTTTGGCCAAGCTGCATGCCAGTGATGTGAGTCGGCGCCGCAAGCTGCTTGAGAAGCAAAAGGAAGGCCGCAAGAGGCTGCGGGCCGTTGGAAATGTGGTGATCGAACATAAGGCATTCCAAGCATTCTTGGCTAAATAGGCAAAAAACCCAAATAAAGATGTAAAATAGCGAATGAAATGTACAATACAACAGGGGTCATAAGTCCTTTCGCACTCCTACCTTTATATGATCTAGATAAGTAACCAGAGGCACTCGAACATGGGCAAAATAGAGGTGAAAAAAGAAAGCCAAAGTAGGGCTAAAACAATATATAAAACGGTACACTCACTTCGAAGCTTTCGCATAAAAACTGTCCAATACTTCATAGCACCTTGTGCACATTTATGACTCCTGTTGTATACATGCAATGTGACAGCGGTGAGAGCTTCGCCGGCAGAAAAAAGTTCGTGTCGGACCCCGCCAACAACTTCTTTCTCTGGTCATCTCCAATTCCGCTCACCGTGTCTCGGAGTCCTCGATCAAGCTCTGTAGCTTATATCTAGGAAACCTACGGACAAGAGACTCGGGAATACCAATTTGAACCTTCAATTTGGTTCTTGCGGCTGACACCCGCCCATGCCGATCGCATCTCTTTGAGTCACCCTGCCATGCTCCGCATTTGACGACGGCGATGCAGCCTCCAGAGGGTGCGCAGGTAGACCTGGGCAAGGCCCAGGTCATTGATCGCGTTCCTAAAGTGATCAAGGAATTGAAGTTTGGTGTCTTGTACGCAGTTGTTCCACAAGCGCTTGATGTGATGGTTGGTTGCGAATTGATCGCTAATGAAAACTTGTGTTCGCAGAACCAACGATGATATTGTCGGCCAAGCCGTGGTGGAAGTTTCCGATCGAAAGTTCTTCGACCTAGACCAAGCCCGAACAGTGGTTGCACATGGACCTCTCGACCAGCGTATGGGTATCTCGAATAAGACGGACGCTTGCGCAACATGCGGAAACAACCTCAAAGACTGTAACGGTCATTTCGGTCATGTGAGGCTCGTCCTTCCTTCTTTCCACGTCGGTTATTTCAAGCGCGTTATCAGCATTCTGCAAGAAATTTGCAAGGAATGCTCCCACATCCTACTCCCCGAGGCCGAACGCCGTGCTTTCCTTCGTGAGATGCGCCGCCCTGGCCTCGATAACCTACGGCGGAACCAGATTGCGAAGCGAATTAATGAACGTTGCCGGAAAACTCGTGAGTGTGGAAATTGTGGAGCAATCAACGGTGTCGTGAAGAAGACTGGAACAAGCGCCCTAAAGATCACACACGACAAATTCCGCGCATTCAACGCCTCCACGTCCGTCAAAAAGCAGACCCCTATTAGCAAGGATGTGTTCGACAACTCTTTCGCCGAGGCAAGAAGCGCTAATGCGGAGGTTGAGAAACATTTTAAAAAGGCACAGGATGACCTGAATGCTCTTCGCGTGCTGAAGCTTTTCAAGAAAATGTCCGACTCCGACTGTGAGTTGATCGGTATGAACCCAAAGGAGGCACGTCCGGAGATGTTCCTCTGGCAATTCATTCCAGCTCCTCCCGTTTGTATTCGACCTTCAGTGGGACAAGATTCTGCGTCTACGGAAGATGATTTGACAGCTAAGCTGGGTGATATTGTGCAGAGTAACATCAACCTTAAGAATGCTTTGCTCAAGGGCGCTCCGGTTCAAACCATCATGGAGTGCTGGGACTATATGCAGCTCCAGATCGCTGTCTACATCAACAGCGATGTGCCTGGTCTCAATAAAGCCGATCTTGGAAAGCCAATCCGAGGCTTCGTTCAACGATTGAAAGGAAAGCAAGGTCGTTTTCGTGGTAACTTGTCCGGAAAGCGTGTTGATTTCTCTGGCCGAACTGTTATTTCACCTGATCCTAATTTGCGTGTGGATGAGGTTGCTGTTCCAGAGCTAGTGGCGAAGAACATGACCTATCCTGAAGTTGTGACCAGATACAACAAAGAGAAACTGCAACAACGTGTGGCAAATGGAAGCTCAAAATGGCCCGGAGCGAACATGATAGTCAAGAAAGGAAACGGATTCAAGCAGATGCTCAAGTTCGGTAATACCCAGTGGATGGCCGACCAACTGCAAGAGGGTGATATGGTCGAGCGTCATATCGAGGATGGCGACATCGTGCTGTTCAATCGACAGCCTTCCCTTCACAAGCTCAGTATTCTATCTCACTTTGCCAAAGTCCGGCCTCATAGGACATTCCGTCTGAATGAGTGTGTCTGCAATCCTTACAACGCAGATTTCGACGGAGACGAAATGAACCTTCACGTGCCGCAGACGGAAGAAGCGAGAGCAGAGGCGATGGAGCTCATGGGTGTGAAGAACAACTTGGCTACTCCTAAGAACGGCGAGCCTATCATTTCCGCCATTCAGGATTTCATTAGTGCCGCCTACATGCTGAGCAGCAAGGACAATTTCTTCAACCGTGCCGCTTTCACCCAGATCTGTCTCTACATGCTTGGCCCCGAAACGCGATTCGACCTCCCTCCGCCATCTGTTATGAAGCCACAGATGCTGTGGACTGGTAAACAAGTCTTCAACATTCTTATGCGCCCTAACAAGGATGATCCCGTCATGGTCAACCTTGATGCCGCATGTCGTGAATTCAAGATGCCCAAGGATGGCCGACCAAAGGACTTGGACCCCAATGATGGCTGGCTCGTCATCCGTAACTCAGAAGTTATGTGTGGTGTTATGGACAAGTCTACGATCGGTTCCGGAAAGAAGGACAACGTTTTCTACATTATGCTCAGAGATTTCGGTCCACCGGCAGCCGCCGAAGGCATGAATCGTTTGTCAAAACTTTCTGCCAGATGGTTCACCAACATGGGTTTCTCGATTGGTATCACAGATGTCTATCCCAGTGCAAGGCTAGTTCAGTCGAAAAATGACCTGGTTGAAGCAGCCTACGCAAAGTGTGACGAAGTCATTGCCCAGTACAAGGCCGGCACCCTGGAAAAGTACCCTGGATGTGACGAACTGCAGACTATGGAGAACCAGCTTTCTGGTATTCTCAGTAAGGTCCGTCAACAAGCCGGTGACGAGTGTATTGCGCAGCTCAGCAAGTACAACTCGCCCCTAATCATGGCTACATCTGGCTCCAAGGGTTCCAGTATCAACGTCTCCCAGATGGTTGCTCTTGTCGGTCAGCAAATTATTGGTGGACAGCGTGTACAGGACGGCTTCCAAGACCGTACCTTGCCGCATTTCCCGAAGAATGCGCGTCAGCCCCCGTCGAAGGGTTTCGTTCGCAACAGTTTCTTCTCTGGTCTCGAGCCTCAGGAGTTCATTTTCCACGCCATGTCTGGTCGTGAAGGTCTGGTCGATACAGCTGTCAAGACCGCCGAAACTGGTTACATGTCTCGTCGTCTGATGAAGTCTCTGGAAGATTTGTCGTCAATGTACGATGACACCGTTCGGAACTCGTCTGCTGCCATTGTCCAGTTCCAATACGGTGACGACAAACTGGATCCTGTGGATATGGAGGGTAAGGCTAAGCCTGTCTACTTCGATCGGACTTTCATTCACTCCGAGTCTACTACCTACAACAACGACGAGCGAAGTCTGTTGCCGGCTGAGATCATGGAGGTGTGCGAAGAGATGCTTGGCAAGGAGCGTGCGAAGCTACAGCGCAAAGACTTGCTAGGCAATGATCTTGCGTACATGGACCGCAGTGACCATGGTATTGATCAATTCGAGAGTGCCCGTGATTTCCTTGACTCGATCCAGGAATACGTGCAAACCAAGGCCGACAAGTTGATCTCTCGTGGTGGCGATATTGATCCCTCCGACGAGCGTAGCCGTAAAGGCTTGGATCACACCGGCAAGCTGACAAACACAACGTTGAGAGCCTTCATTACTGCTTGTCTACTGAAGTACAAGAAGGCCCAGGTCGAACCCGGTCATGCTGTTGGTGCCGTTGGCGCCCAATCTATCGGTGAGCCCGGAACGCAGATGACGCTGAAAACTTTCCATTTTGCTGGTGTCGCCGGTATGAGTATTACCCAGGGTGTTCCTCGTATTAAGGAAATTATCAACGCCTCGAGGGAGATCAGTACCCCCGTTGTTTCTTGCGACCTGGTCAACAAAGAGTCTGTCGCAGCCGCTCGGATTGTCAAGGGACGAATTGAAAAGACCTACCTCGCGGACATCATTCACTCTATCACGGAATGCTGGAACAAGGATGATGCCTACCTCAAGGTTCATGTCAATCAACAGACGATTGACGATCTGCAACTTGATATCAAGACTTACCAGATCGCCGAAACTATTAAGACCCACAAGCGCTTCAAGGCAAGCGATCTTAAGTTTTCATGCTCGAGATACACGATCAAGATCTTTATGGATCTTGATCCGGCCAGCAAAGCAGGCCTTTCTAAGACCGAGATCGCAGCTACGAGTGTTGATCCCTTCCTGCGCCTCAAGCATCTGAAGCGCATCCTTCCTCATATACAAATTCTGGGTCACCCACGCGCTACCCGTGCCATTATCCGAACGGACGAGACGTCCACGACCAACACTCTGCTCGTGGAAGGTTACGGTTTGAGGGAGTGTATGACTACTACGGGTGTGGATGGACTTCACACCAAGACCAACAACGTTATGGAAGCTCGGGAGGTTCTAGGTATCGAGGCAGCTCGAAGCACTATCATCACTGAAATCAGTGAAGTTATGAAGGACATGGACATCGATCCTCGTCACATGCAGCTCCTAGCAGACGTCATGACTTACAAGGGTGAAGTCCTGGGTATCACTCGTTTCGGTCTTGCCAAGATGCGAGACTCGGTGCTTCAGCTTGCTTCATTCGAGAAGACTGCCGACCACCTCTTTGACGCCGGTGGTCTTGGTCGCACCGATCTTATCGAGGGTGTTTCGGAATGTATCATCATGGGCAAGACGGTGGGACTGGGTACAGGTGCCATGGAGGTTGTGCGCAAGTTGAACTTCTACGAAGGGCAGATTGGCCCGCGCAAAACCGTATTCGAAGACATCTGGTCTGAACTTTGCGATGCCCCTCTGGCACGGAGGCCTAAGAGGAAGGTTCGGTGAAGTTGACCTATGACTCTGTATCCAACCTTTCAGCATTACCTTGGCGTTTGAATTTGCCATTTTGGCACCGGTCTGGACCCTGTTCCCGGCTTGTACATGTACTCAGACTACTAGCGATGAGCGTTAGTGAATTTGATGACGACCTGACACAATAGTTTCCTGGTTCCGTGCTATAGAGAGGTTCGGATTGTATTTGATAGTCACCTGAGACCTGGAGACTGTCAACATAAGCTCAATTCAACAGTAGGGTCACAAACCGTCCCATGATGAGAGTTGGGGTGTGTGCAGGCGTGAAGCTAATTTCCAACTCGACTGTAGACTATCCCAGGTACAAGCTTCTCTTTCCTCCCGGGTTATATTCAAAAAAAACAAAAGGCTTTACACTTACACAAACGTTCACGGCATCTCACAACCCTAACCCCCCGGAACGTCTCGATCCTGGGACTTCAAGTACCCTCCCAACCCTCTGGAACAGCAAAAAGCTTCCTAAGTGAGGCGCTGCAAATGATCGAAAAGAGAAATGGAGGTTCGATGGGCTCGAGCGACTTCGGAAAGCTCCCCAGAAACCGAAAGGGAACCTTTGGGTACCATCACACACACCCTTGTCCGGAGTCACCAAGGAATTAATCGCCCTCCAATCAGCATCGTGAAACCCCTGAGGCAGCCATGGGGGTTAACCTGACTGGGTTTGGCCATCACATCACGAACGACCGTTCTTTGTTCGCACTGAGTTTTGACCTCATCCGGCCTACGCCACAACCGTTAGCACTCGATCAATCTGGTGCTTTGCGGCCGCCGCGTGTTTCTTTGTTTCCAACCCGGGTTTCAGTGGATAGCCCTCGCGGAGGTATTCCTCCCCTAAGTACGCCCAAATGTCCTTGGGTCACACTTGTTCTTTCACCCTTCTTCCAATCTCCCCGGCGGCTCCCCGACGTTCCCCGAATTGCATCTTGAATGTCCAGAAAGAGTAAGAGTCTACTATGGAATTTGCCGATCCGAAGTTCGCTAGGAAGCGCGAGATTCGTACACGAGCCCCGACAGCCTGTCAGACCTGTCGGCTGCGCAAGACTCGATGCGACAATGTCAGGCCAACTTGCAGCTACTGTGCTGTGCAGGGAGTCGAGTGCAACTACCCCGAGACCTCACCACAGCAGAACCAGTAAGAAGGAGAAACTGTGGATGAATAGATTGGGCATTGACCTGAGCTTCTAGAACGGGCTTTGACTCCGGAAATCCATCGAACCAGGAGGTCCTCTCGCGCCTGAACCATATCGCCGGTCTGCTGGAGGAGATCAAGTCGGAGGGGGGCTCCATCATATCATCGAGCCGCTCACTCAAAGAATCCTTCTTTGAGCTTGCTATACAGAACACTAGTCCCTTGACAGAATCTTTGTCGGGGAGCAATCTGCATAGCAGCACCACCGCTCCAAGTATTGAGGACCGGGGACCTGATCATGACCCCCGAATCCTCTACATAGCCAGTTCTGGAGAGCACATGCTCCGCTGGCCCATCTACAACAGAGTCATAACTGAAGCGGAGAAACATATCCGCTCGTTCTTGCTTGACTCGTTGGATAGTCAGCCACCGAGTATCCCGCCTCCCCGGCAGGTAGGGATCGGGCATTTTGTCGATGAGATCCCTAGACTCTGCAAAAAGTACTTTATGATCTGTCATCGAAGAAATCCCATAGTTGACCTCGATATGCTCGAGCGGTATGCCAAGGAAGTCACCGTCCAGGGTCTTGGATGGGACGGTCCGTCGTGTCAGGTGGTACGTTGACCATTTGCTTGTAAAGGTCTTAGCTAAATTGTCCTGCAGCTCTTAGCGTGCGCCCTGGCTTCATCTACGTCGTCTAAGTTTGTGCCATTGGCGGACGAGGATATTACTATTGACTTTGATCGGCTCCCGCCGCCACCCATATCAGACGCCAATATGGATTTGGCTGAAACCTATTTCCACGCAGCAAAGCAGAGATTCGGGTTTTTGCACACCTCCCCGACTGACATTCAGTGCTTCCTGCTTGCTGGTAGCTACCACAGACACGCCATGCGCCCTCTGCAGGCCTGGTTCTGTTTCCAGCAAGCGTCCTGCAGGTTAGAGGTTCGGTTGCGGTCTTTATGTAGAGAACAGTGGACTGCTGATGACAACTACCATAACTTGGAATCTCGTCTGTACTGGTCCTGTATTCAAGCAGAGCAGTAGGTCTCATCTTGTGGTTGGATATTCACACACTAACCATCCACAGTGAAATGCAAAGTGAACTCCCTCTCTGGAGCAGCGGGCTTGAAAGCCTAGGTTATTCAGATCCATTCCCGAAATTCTCCCGCAAGACACCTCCTTCTTTTGACCAGATGCAGGATGGTTCTCAAGATTTTTCAGTCAAACCGGGGTTTGAACTAAGCGGCACCGAAGAAGAAAAGGGGTGGAAATTCTACATCGGATCCATCTGTAACCGCCGAACCACTAATGACCTGCTAGCCGATATGTGGCGGCAGGGGGAGAAAGGTTGGACCAAAGATATCCCCGATCTCTTGAAAAGATCAGCTGCAGCAGAGAATGTCGTGACTTCATGGTATATACTCTCCTGCTCCCCGACTCCCCGAGGACCCACCCATACCCTAACTCGAACATCAACTCGAAGACTAACTCGAAAATAGGTATCAAATCTCCATCGCGGGAATCCAATCCCCGAAAGACAACCCAGACCTGATGTTCTTCTTTCGGGGACGGTTCCACATGGCTCTAGAACGGATCTACAGGCCAGCCTTCTACCTAGCAATGCACTTCCAGACCATGCCAACCTTCATAAAGAGGGACAACCAACTGTGGCTGCAAGTGTTCGACCTAGCCCAAAAAGCAGTCGACAACTGTGTCCAGCTAATTCCAAACTACTATTACCAGTTCCGCCACGAGTGGATCTGGAACGTAATCCGCGCCAGCTTCTCCTGCGCCCTGCACATCATCGGCGTCGTGCTATACCAACTCGAGGCTTCGCGGACACTGGGGACTTGGCAGATGCGCGTGCCGCCCAACTGGGCTGGACTTGTTCGGGTTTCGCTTCGTACATTGAAGCATTGGGCGGCTGAGTCTATTGATATTGAGATTATGAGATCGACGCTTGAGAGGATGTATCAGGGGACGTGTCGGCTGGCTAATGTTCGGCCAGATCTCCATCTGTTGTGATTATAGGGCCTTTTCTCGGGTTTTGTATTGTTTATTACTTTATTACGTGTTGTTTCGGAGTGAGAAGATGTTAACCATATACATGTATAGGGTTTGGAGGGATGAGATTTCCTACATGAATGCTTATATGGCTATATTATATACTAACTTGCTCGAATTACTTATCAATTTGAGGGTATCTACTTCATTCGATGCCTAATGTAGTCTGCTTCGACTTTCTCTGTAGTTCAATTGCGAGGTCATAATAAATTGCACTAAAGACAGAAGACTTATAAGTTACCCATAGCTAAGCTCTCGTTAAGTTCTAACAAACATATCAGCCCATTCAGCGCCGTGGTATTGCTCTTAATTATAATTATTGTAATACTATGAATTGGAGAGCAACTGAGTCGCGTATACTCCGAGCCCCACCAGAACTTTTTCTCGAACCTCACAGTTTCACCTCACCAACCTCCCTCACATTCCACACACGCCCTCACAATGGAAAACTACAAACCCCCAGCCCTCCCCTCGCCCTTCAACAACACAGAACCACCGCCAACCCTCCTCGCCCAAGGCGCCGAAGCCCACCTCTACAAAACAACCTCCCTCAACCCCTCCACCCCCGCGGCTCTCAAGATCCGCCCATCAAAACCCTACCGCCACCCAATCCTCGACAGACGCCTAACCCGCCAGCGAATCCTCCAAGAAGCACGATGTCTCGCGAAACTAGTACGAGAAGGCGTATCCGTTCCCGCCCTTCTGGCCCTGGACTGGGAGGGCCACGGCGGCGAGGAAGGCGGGTGGGGCGGCGCCTGGCTGATGATGGAGTGGATTGAAGGCGATGTGGTGCGCGTCGTGCTGGAGCAGTGGGAGGCATGGATGAAGAAGAACCAGGCATCGCTGGATGAGTCGCAGATCGAACAGGAAGAGGCACGGGTGCGCGGCTTACTGAAGAAAATGGGTGCTGCCATTGGTGCGCTGCATAAGGCTGGTGTTGTGCATGGAGATTTGACTACGAGTAACCTTATTCTGCGGCCATTGGCAGGCACAGATGGTGCTGGGTCGGTTTCTACGGAAGGGGATGTTGTGTTGATTGATTTCGGGCTTGCGTCGCAGAGTGCGCAGGATGAGGACCGCGCGGTGGATCTGTATGTGCTCGAGCGAGCGATTGGGAGTACGCATCCGCGCTCTGAGCCGCTGTTTGATGAGTTGCTGCTTGGTTACCGCGAGAGCTACAAGGGCGCACCTTCTGCGCTGAAGAGACTTGAAGATGTGCGCATGAGAGGTCGCAAGCGAAGTATGCTTGGTTAAAACAGACTTGTGTGGTCTTGAAGAGGGAGGCAGCCAGATATAATAGATTTGACATTCATCCGAGTCAAAACAAAAAGAACGCCACGCTTGTCACGACATAAGTCCCAGTGACGATGCAATGAAACAAAGAAAGAACATTCATGACCGGTCCTTGACACATGTGCCGACATCAGCCGACGCAAAGTACCCCTTGTTTTCGACGACTCCGCGATCCTTGACGACTGCCGTATATTTGACTACCCACTGCGGCTCGACATCGCCTTTAATACCATCGTCAGCGTCAGGCGACGAGGCCAAGATTCCAGCACCCTTCTCCGCAGGACCGAGCAACTCCCGCGTCGTGCCAACCGGAAGTATATCATTGCAATCATTATGAGTGAGGAGTTGAATCTGCTCTTGTTTCGCATAAAGAATCAGAGACTTGGGAACGACACAGCAATCCTTCAGATTGATCTGATCAACCGAAGGCTTGACCTTGGTATGAGGCAGGAAGCGGGCCAGCCGTTCGCTGCCAAACTCAGCAACGCCCAGCTGCGCAATCATACCCTGCTCATGCAGCGACTCCAACACACGCCATGTCTGCACCATGCTATCGAAATCATCCGGCTCGCCGTTGCTCGCTTCGTTATCCTCTTCCTCGCTGTCGTCATCGGCGTCGAACAGAATGCCGGGGAAAGAGACGATCAGTAGATCAATAGACTTGACATGTAGTTCCTTCAATACCAAATCAATTGCCTCTCGCGTGTGTGCGCAGCGCCTTGATGCCGGAATCCCCGGTAGATAGAATAGTTTCACTGTGATATCGTATTGATCGCGCTCTTCCGCTAGTCCAGGTTGTGAGAAATCGATGGCGGGGATATAGAGGGCGTCCTCGCCCTGGTGCGTCCAGGAGCTGGCGGGCGGGCGGGAACCGTTTGAATGGCCGTTTCCACTTGTATTTGCCGATTCGATCTGTTGCCAGGCGAGGAAGTTCGACCGGAGCGAATTAATTAGTTCGACGTTTGATTTCTGGGTGAGAGGTTGGCGGATGACGGACTGACGTCCGCCATGCATGAGATTTCTGGGATGGTTAGTGGTGGACTAGTTGGGCGCATGGAACTACTCACGAGCTGGAGAGGATCAACTTCATGATTAAGTTGCTAATATCTGAAGACTTGTGGAAAGTTGTGTAGTGAAGAAGTGGGAGGGAATGTTCCCTGCGACCCCTCATGACAAATCATCAGCTCCGGCTGTTCCTCCCTCTTCCTCTCTTCGATATACTTCTATCTACTCGACTCTCTCCTTTCTCAATCAGATTCAACAGTCGGATCCCAATCCGTAGGCTCATACTCCCCAGTATCCAACAACTTCATATCCTCAACCCCCAACTCAAAGTCAAAAACATCAATATTCTCCCGAATCCGCCCTGGCGTAACAGACTTAGGCAAAGGCACGAATCCCTAACAAATTAGCAATCACTACACAGACACATGGACACATGGACACATGGACAACAAAACTCACCATCTGCAGACTCCACCGAATCAAAACCTGCGCCGGCGTCTTCCCGTACTTCTCCCCGAGAGAAACCAAAATAGGCTCTTGAAGCCTGGTCCCATGCGCCAGAGGCGAATACGCCTCAACAACAATATTCCTACTCTGCAACCACTCCACGATATCAGAGTGATCCAGCCACGGATGCAGCTCGTATTGACCAACGTCGATTTGGCCGCCTCCGCCGGCTTGGATGTATGCTTCCAGCTCTTCGAGGTGATGGATTCCGTAGTTTGATACGCCGATTGACTTGGTCTTTCCTGCTTTTTGGGCTTCGACTAGGGCGTCCCAGGAGCCGAGGCGGGCTTCTTTGCCGCCGTAGGGTGCGTGAAGGAGGATTCTGGTTGAGGGTATACTTGTTAGAGATCGGTTCAGTGTAGGTTTGGTTGTTGCATATGTGTGCTGGTGATAGTGATAGTGATAGTGATGTTATTGGTACTTACAGGTCAAAGTATTCCTGTCCGGCTTGTCGTAGACTTGAACTGACAGCTCGCTTGGTGGACTCGTAGCCCATAGACTCAGGCGGGATCTTAGTTGTGAAGAAGATCTCTGAGCGATTTAGCCCAGAGTTCTGGATTGCTGTTCCGCAGGGCTTCTCGTTGCCATACATGATTGCCGAGTCCACCTAGTGTACCAGATTAGCATTGGCTGGGGGGTGGTGATTGTGATCAATTGCATGTCAACGTACATGGCGAAATCCGATATTGAGAGCTTCTGCGGTGGCCTTCTCGGTCTTCGATGGGGGACTACTCGTAATCAGTGATGTTCAGTTATGTAGAACGGACTGAAACATACATCATGTAGACCTATTCATCATAGTACATTGTCAGCGGTGGTCGAGGCTTCTGCGGGGATGATGATAGCTACTCACGCCATATCCGAGGATGGGGATCTCATGACCCGATTGTAGTTTGTACTTTGACTGGAGAGTGAGGTTTGCCATCTTCTGTTGGGTTGTGTTCATATAGCAAAGACGGAAGAAAGAGGTGAAAGGGAAGAGCATATGAGATCATAAGGTGGGGTCGGCGAGTCCGAATGGGGATTGTGTCCGATCTACATAGACTTGTATTGCACTCAATGCTACAACAAGGGTCATAAATGTGTACATGATGCTATGAAGTACTGGAAAGATTCTAGCCAAAGCCTCGACGTGAGTGTACTGTTTTATATATTGTTTTAGCCCTACTTTGGGCTTTCTTTTTTCACCTCTTTTTTGCCCATTTCTGAGTGCCTCTGGTTAATCATCTAGATCATATAAAGGTAGAGAGGGGCGTGGAAGGACGTATGACCCCCGTTTAATTGTACATTGATAAAGCTCTGTAAGTGTGACTGAATATTGAAAGCAAAAGACCTCCACTAGAGAAGCCAAATCATGTATTAAATGTCATGCACAACCACAATTCTAGAAACGTGCAAACCCCCTCTATGTATACATACACAATGGTCAAACCACTACTCTAAACCTTACGCTGCTGCTCCTTCTGAGCCTCAGCCTCAACCTGCTCTTGCAACTTGCGCTCCGACTCGCGTTTCAGCTGGTCGGGGCGACGAACAGCGATATCCTTAGGACGGAAGTCACTGAACAGGTGCTTGAGAACATTCTCAATCAACCAGCAGCCACCATAGTCGAAGATCATCAGCACGGTCAGGGTCACCTTGAACTCGTTGGTGAAGGGGACAAGGCGCAGCTTCTCGTTCAGCTCGGGGATGAACTCGGTGGCGCAGGAGAATGCGACACCGGAGGCGGCGACGAGACCCCAGTACATAGCCTTGTTCTCGCGAATAGACTCGCGGAAGGGACGGCCTTGATAGTTGATCGAAAAGGTGGAGATTTGCTGGATAAGCTGGAGGAGGTAGATGGCGCTGTTCAGGAGGGACGGCTCAAACTCGCCCTCGAGATCGATATCGCTATCTCTTCTATAAGTGTGTTAGTAAGTGTGGTTGAGAGGGGGAGCTGGGTCAACGTACGGCTCGTGCTTATAGACATAGTTAGACAGGTAGATCAGAGTCACAATGTGGATGGCGAATTGTCCAAGAACAGAGCCAATAATGTAGACGTTGAAGATGTTGGGCTGAGGGCGTTCCTTGGAGAGACCCTCGACGGACTTCGCGCGGGAGATGGACAGGAAGCAAACACTCATCAGCATACCACTGATGGTGACCTGTCCGTCACCGAACTTGATACCGTCCAAGTAAATGACACTCAAACTGTATGCACTAATCAAACAGTTCAAAGCAAGAATCTTGTACATCTGAATTGTAGCAACCAAAGTGCAACGACCCTGGCGGAGAATGTTCGGGATAGCAATAACGTTAGCCAGCTTGCTGGTGAAAGGAGCAGCAACAGAGGCATCACCCAGCTTGATAGTGGGGGGCTCGCTGTCATCCAATTCCTGCTCCATCATGGAGGATGTAAGCTTGTCGGCAAGGCCGGCAGCAGCAACCTGGGCCTGCTGCTGTCTCTGCTGCTGGGGGCTCAGGTTCTGGTTCTGCTGCTGCAGAGCCTGTGCACCAGGAGATGTGATAGTCGGGATAGGTTCGGTGCCGGCGGTGATTGCGGTACCCATGCGCTGTGCCTCTCGCTCCATGGCTTTCTCATAGTGAGGGTTGGAGGGGCCAGGGGGATACAGGTGGGCGATCTGCACGGGGACCGGGGGAGCGGGCTGGTTGAATCGTTGCATCATGCTGCACTGCTTCTCGTACAGCTCCTTCATCTTGGTGTTCCGGTAGTGCTCAGCGATCTTGGTAAGGTCCTCCTGAGATCCGTTGAGAAGGGCAACACCAACATGAGCCTGCTTCAGAGCGCCAACGTCATTGGTACCATCACCGCACATCAGGGTGGTATAGCCAGCATCCTTGAGTCCGAGAAGAATGTCTTCCTTCTGCTTAGGAGACACACGAGCGTAAACCCAGGTGTGACGGAGCAGAGAAGGAAGAGCCTTCTGGCCCTTGAACTTGGCTAGAGCATATCCAGTGATACAGATGTCCTTGGTATTCAGAATCTCCGGGTCGAGGGGCTTAGTGGGATCAACGTCGATGTTGAGCTTGTCATCAATGGTACGCCAGACGATGCGAGTTCCAGTGTTGTCATGCTCGGGGGCATCGAGAATCAGAACCTCGCGGTCCACAATCTCAACTTTGCGCGCAACGTGGACTGCAGTCAACGGGTTGTCACCAGTAATCATGACAACACGGTGGCTGCTTTCATTCAGCATACGGACAGACTTGATCGCATCATCCTTCAGGGGGCACTGCAGGACGAGGAAACCACCGAAGATCAGCTCGGACTCAATCTCCTCACGGACGTAGTTGTTAACGCGGCCCTGGGAAAGTTCAGACTCAGAGGAAAGGTACTTGTAGGCGAGAGCAAGGACACGGGCACCGTTGCGGGTGAAGTACTTGTAGGTCTCTTCGTAGTTAGGAGGTGTGTTGACCAACATGTTTCCGATAGTCTCTGGGGCGCCCTTGACACCAACAAAAGTGGATTTGGTCTTCTTGGAGGTCTTGCGGTCGTTGCTGGTGACGGTTGCGATAGTGCTCTGGCGCTTGAGGGCCGAGGAGAACTGGAATCTTCTCTTGATCTGGACAGACTCGACGTTGCGCCCAGCGATCACCGGGGCGTTACCCTTGGAAGAAAGGGTGTCGTTCTTTCCAAGAGTCCAGCGGAGCCATTCCAAAGTAGCCTTCTCCATGGGATCACCAACAACGTCACCCTCGTCCAACTTCACCAATGCGTGAGCACTGGCTAGAATAAGAGTGGTCTCAGCTCCAGCAGCAGAGGCCTGGGCCAATTCGGTGTGAGCACCATCAGCTTCGACCTTAGAACCAGCCTCACCCAAAGTGAGTCCAGCAATACCATCAACAACAAGGTCTTCTCCAGTGAGAGTACCGGTCTTATCGAAGCAAGCCACATCAACACGTCCAGCGAAGGGAATACGGAAGGGCTCAGTGCAGAAAATAGCGAACTTGCTCAAAGCAGCAAGACTGGTGTTGACAGCGAGGCTCAGTTCCATAGGCAGTTCGGGAGGAACAACACTCGTGATAATGAGGACACAGTCCAGAAGAAGCTTGGAGCGCTTGCGGTCCCGGATAACACCCTCCTGCCACACGTACCAAGAAGCGGCAATCGCGAAGATAAGAAGGAAGAGAATGAACAAGAGAGCCTCAGCGTTGTTGGCGGAGACACGCTCAGTCGAGTAGATCATGGTGCGAACCAGGCTACCCTGGCTAGTCTCGAAACCGGTCTTGACAACCACACCCAAGGCGCCATTGTCCGGGGGCATGGTAATGTTGCTAGCCAGGTTCTTCTGGGACGAATCGTTGCCGGTGTTGGGGTGGGTAACCTGGAGAACCTTGGTACCACCGTGCACAAATGACAGCTTATCCAATCCATCCGGTTCAATCAAGTCATCGCCGGGGCGGAGCTGGACGGATTCCTTAAGAAGGGGAGTACTCTCACCAGAAAGCATGGCCTCGTTGACAATGACACTGCCTTCAATCAGGAGAATATCACAAGCAACACCACTGTCCTCCTTGGTACGGTTGACAGACATGAGATCGCCGGGGAGGAGCTTGTCGCTGGTGATTTCCTGCCACTTGCGCTCGCGGTACACCCAGACATCATAAGGCTTGATGCTCATTCCACGGAACTCGTTCAAGGTCCTCTGGCGCTGCCACACAACGGTGCTCTCGAAAGCAACGAGCATGAACAGCGTGAAGAGCGAGTAGTACCAGTATTCATCGAGCATCCACAATCCAACACAGAAGATCTGGAAGACGAAGAAAGGCGCAACGGCGTGCTCCTGGAAGAGCTCGAGGAATCCGGGAACAGGAATATCAAAGGTGTTATCGCCATAGTGGTGTTGGATGCGGTCAATTTCGGCCTTCGACGTGAAACCCTCGGTCAGCTGGAAAGTCTTCAGAGCCGGCTTCGGTTCGGCATCGAGGACGTAAGAGAGCGGGGCGAAGGTGCGAGTCTCGGGGTAGAACAGGAAACGGCGCTTCTGGAAGAGGAACGAGAGGGTCTTCTTAGGGCCAGCGTTCTCGTTGATCAAGGTGCAGATCTCGGCGGAACCGGCATTAGTGATGGGGACCACCTTAATAAGCCGGGCAGAGTCGACAGATTTGGCGCGGGTAGTAGTGAAGAGAGTGTTGATGTCGATGTTCCACTTGGTCATCAACCAGGTGAGCGACTGGATCGTGATGATAGACCCCGCCCAGACGAAGGTCCATTCCTGTCCCTGAATGTAGGTGTCATAACGCTCGGGGGAGAGGTAGAATGCGAAGAAGACGGGCCAAGTAATCAGGAATGGCCAGACGTATAGGTGCAATTGCCAAGGAAGCGGGTTATGCAACGAGGCATATTGGATCTGAGGGTCGTCTACGAGCTTTGCCCTGCATGTTGTTAGTCCCCAGATTTTCGGGGGTTTCAGCGCGAAACTCACATTTTGGCAATCTAGTGACCACGGTCAGGGTCAGACAAAAACAACCTAAAGACTCATAGGAAAAAAAGGAAAGTAAGGGTCCAATGGAGGAAGTGCCCAGGTTACCAGAAGAAGCCACCTTTAGATACTGCAGTTCCAGAGGGTTCGCCGCTCGATCGCTAGTGTTATGTCAGCTGGGCGGGGGTCTGGCTCATGTAGCACTTTTCCGCTGCCCTTTTCAACAGCCCGGCCGGGCTAGCTCAATCGGTAGAGCGTAAGACTCTTAATCTTAAGGCTGCGGGTTCGACCCCCGCGTTCGGCTATTCCTAAACACCGTCCACGAGTGAGCGTTTCTTTTTTTCTTTTGGCTTTCGTTTTTACAACTATTGTATCGAGATTAACGTTATAAGTTATGAGTTAGTATTCTATTTGATATTTTCAAAGAATACCATTGAGTTCATGCTTGAAAATTGTAATAACAAACTAGGCTTCGTATATATCGAAGGCAAACACACATAAGCAGACTGATATGTATGTCCACCAGAATCATTTGCACATTACCGATGTATATTTATTTCCTCGGCGTCTTAGGCGCCACGATCCGCGTCCTTACTTTTCACATTACCCCGAGTCAATTCCTTAACCATCTCCGTCAAAGCCTCGACCTGCTTCTTCAGTTCCCTGATCTCATGCGTGCAACTATCAACCTTGATATCGGGAGTCGATTCAACTACTTGCTGTTTCCAAGTATCATCAAGGTCAAAGTCTATACCCTCAGCCACATGCTCCCATTCCTGGGCGCAGCCATCATCCTCTTCACCGCGGCGGCGATTATGCCGAATTCGATGGGCCTGATGGGTTTCCACCCAGGCCGTAACGATGAGCAGAGGCGAATAAATTACGCCCATAACAACGTCGTTCAGCTTGGCGTATGATTCCTTCGACATCCACCATTCAAATGGAGCCACCAGACATAAAATCTCGATGAGGTTGAATGCTAACATCGAAATTAGTAACCTTGATTGACATTACCCTGGGTTAAACACGTACGTGGTATGAAGACATTCTCGTCTGGGGCGCGGACAAATTGCATTGTCTTCTGCGCGAAGATCGCCATGTACTCATCAGTTGCATTGCCGGAAATGTCTTCATATGCGCTGTTGTACAAGGCGATGAGGATATTCAACAGAACTGACAAGGTTAGCTAGCCCACACCAAAAGGAAGTAAAAGAACATACTAGTCATGACAATGAAGTTAAACACGTAGTAAAGGATGATGCCAAAAGGGAATGCAAACTCCTGGAAAGTGTCGAACTCAGGACTTTGCATGATACTATTTACCATTCCCTGGAGAATGTTCTGATGGATGGGAACATCGGCATCAACTTGAGCCATGCCAATAAATGCCTGGAAGAAACCAGCCATAACCACGAACAGCAAAGCAAAGAAGATCAAACTCTCCTTCATCATGACCCGCAGAACCACAAACATGGCACCGAAAAAGCGGAAAGAATCGAGGTAAAGCATCATGCGCATCCAGAACATAGGTCCCGCAAAAGCCAAGAAGTTATAGCTGAGCTGGTTGTACAGCTGCCGTTGTTCATCCTGGGTGGATAGCGAATGTGCCAATGCCACAAATCGTAGAACAAACGAAACCACAAGAATCGTGTAGAGGGTTGAGTTGAAGGCATTCCAAAACTCGAGGTAATTCCATCCAACTTTCCAGAACTTGATAACCTCGTCACAGACGAATGCGAGAGTCATACCGTAGAGGATGCCTTCTGCAATATCTAGATCACCGGTTGGGTTCACAGTGTTAATCACTGCAGTGTAAACTGCAAGGTAAATCAATGAGAATAAGATCTGGCAGACATTCTGGTACAGAGGAGTCCTCATGCGATCAGGGTGGAAATGCGCCCAATAGCTGGTGTTGGACTTCCCCTGATAATCGACAAAGTTAGTTGGATTACCCTCTTCCTGACAGATCCAGCCCCTCCACAGATACTGAATACACTTCTGGTAGCCAGAAGAGCTGATAATCCTTAAGGCGTGGAGATCCACCGATCGTTCAATGACATTGGCGGGATCAGTCTCCATCCCCTCACTGAAAATAGAGTATCGTTTGAGCAGAATGTCTCTGAGCAAGTAATCCTGATTCTGCTCGGACTCGATACTATAGATGGTAAGTGACTGTTAAACATGAAAATTACCAGGGGAATAGTACATGCGCTTGGCAATGACCTCGCAAGCCACAGCTCGAACCTCGTGCAGATCGGAATCCCACAGCTCAATTGTAGATTGAATCTTGAACCATCGCACACAAACTAGAAGGCAATAAACCACACAGGCCTTGTAGTCATCACCACCGGCTTTCTTGGCAGTCGCAACCACATCGTCGGTGATGACACGACTGTTTGGGTCGGTCAAGACACCGTGCTCGACCTCGAACGAGACCACTTGTTCAATTTGGTATTTCAATCGGAGTGCAACCTTTGCAATCTCCCTTGAAGTGCCAGATGGCTGCGACTCATCGGCAGCGTAGGCGGGCAGCACTGAGACAGATTAGCGGTGTTCCGCGGCACATGTTTGTGACGTACGTCGACGACGTTCCACCTCGACGTGGTGTCGCGCCCTGCCTGTATCGGCAACCGAGTTGAAAAAAGTCCCCCAACGGCCCATGTTGCTTGAGTGTGAAGGAATAGCAAGGGGCGCAGGAGCAGGAAATGAGGACAAGAAGAAGGTTCACCGCTGGGGCTAATGATCATCGGTACGAGATAGTCTCCTCCCCCGCCATTCGATTTACATATCTTCCCACTCCACTTTCCAGCCACCGTCATCATATAACTTATATATATCTACTTTATACAGCACTACACCACCATATTTTAGACCAATTACTTTAAGTAAAATGTATGAATAAGCTTGATATTTTGTATAATACCCTTAGCCTTCCGTATAGCACTTAAACCTCTCCCTATACTTAAAATTAAGCTATCTATCTTTGCCTACGGTATTGCCTACTATGCTTTCACTAGCACTTCTTAAAGTACTGCTAATCGTTCTCTTTTCTTTTTATATGAATAAACTCCGGGAAGAGCTTAAAAAGCTTCAATTTTAACCACCGCTATACGGGGTTAAGTAGGTTTAAATTAGGTGAGTGCGTGGGCTAATCCTCGATCCTCGACGTATACTCTGTGGGATTTAAACCACTCCTTCGTTACCGTAGCTAAATAAATCCTCGCGTTATCTTACTAAAAGATAGTTCCGGGGGTATAGATTGGTATTAGACCTTTTTTGAGCGTCGAAATATACGACCTCGCGGTATAACCGCGTCGCGGTAAGTCCTCGTTTTAATCTATAATAATTAACTCTATACGGCCTACTAGCTAGATTCTAGCCTGAACAATTTCCGAAATATCCTTTGTATAGACCTTCTTATTCACTAGGACGTTATAGAAGCCTTCCTATAAAAAATAAAAGCACTGTTATAGTCTAAAATTCGAGGTTCGTTATACCGAACACTTGTCCGAAAAGATCCAATATTAAAAGCTTTCACGCTACCATTTTCTTACAAATCTAAGACGTCTCCGATTAAGAGCCTTTCTAATCGGTATTTTCATTTTTAATAGGTATTTCGAGAGCCCGGATCGCTTTAAAATCCGCTATATACTCGATCGAGAGGGTGCTCAGGTAACACCGTACTTAGCTATTTATAGGTCTAAAACGAGTGCCGAAGGGCCTAAAGACAGAGGTAATTGTAAGATCGAGCGCTTAGCTTGGGGGAACTGCCGTTTCGAGGGAGGTTCTTGATCAATTAGTGCTCTTCGAAGCGTTTAAGCGTATTGTAGATAGTCCCACGGCTGCATCCAATTTTATTAGCTAGTTTTGACTACGAAATACCATTATTATGGCCAAACATAATAGCTGACATTTTTACAGCGCTAAATACAGCCGTTTCCCTACGTTTTGTGCCAGTTTCCATTATAATCGGACGTATAGGAGAGGTGTAGGAAGAAAAATAAAATTGTGGGTTGTTGAGGCAATATAGATGGGGCAAAGTGGGAAGATACTTTTGAGCCCCTATGTATAATCACTTAGTGGATTTGTTGAATTATCGAGATTATTGAATTGAACTACATCGGAATATATTGGCATGACCCTAAAAGCATCACTGGCATTGAACGTCTCGGTTGCATCACATATGTACATCAGAACTTGCTCCGTGCAGACCGTCTTTGGTAGACGCCGGGCACGAAGATTTGACCGCAATTGGCATACAGCGCATACACGGGCGTGGATAGATCATCCCCAGACGCGAGGTGCAGGCGACTGCCCTTGAAGGGCGAGTTCTGACTACAATCCTTCCAGCACACTGAGCCAACGAGCCTTTCTCCCAAATGTGCAAGCTTTTTTCTATCCGTGATGGCCCAACTCTCCTCTGACTCTGATTTCCTTTTTGGATGCCAGCGCCGATCAGCGCTGGATGCCCCTCGACCCAGAGATGTGACCCGTAATTTATTCGGGGACACCCTCGTCGCTCTCTGAGTCGTTCTCGTCACCGCTGACCTGCATGTTCTCGCGCTCACGCTTCTCCATAAGCTCCTGGAGAATCGCATCGTCGTGCTCGGTGACGGCCTTGGGTGCCATCTTCACGGTGCAGTTACCGCCGTTGGCCTTGATACGCTCTCCGATCTTCACGATAGCCTCCTCCAGCATCTGGATGCCGTACTTCTTGTCCAGACATTGACTGGCCAGGACGTAGAGGGGAGGAGCGACCAGCTTGACCTTGATCTGGTTCTCGGGGGTGTTGTCGGCCTCAGCGGTACGGAGGGCATCCTTGACGGCATCGATTCCGTCATAACCAAAGCAGGTAACCTCAATATCGGCACGGACCTTGGTGGGGTGAGGGGTGAGCTTGCTGCTGATGTACTGCTGGAGCTCCTTCTTGACGGGTTCGCTGGGGAATGAGATATCTTCCCAGACAGAGGGGTTTCTAAAATTAATCTGTCAGATCGACTCGTGTACATCGAATAAAAAGAACATACGTGATGGAGATCTTGAAGGCATCGTGCGAGTGGCCATATTTCCGGTCCAAGGGCCAGCCGATAGTCTCGTATAGGGTCTCAAGAGGGGTCTGGGTAGCCTCTGCGACGTGGCGCATGATAGAGTGCACAGCCTTGCTCTTGTTGTATCGCTCCTCACACTTGATCACATCCTCTGGCGAGACACGGCGCTTCGACAAATCGATATAACCTTCACATCCAGTCAGTTTTCAGGACTCCCCCAGTTGAGTGGTGTAGTCTTGCCTTTCTCCTTATCAACACGGAGGACGATAACGACCTCGTTGCGCCCAATGCGGATGAGCTTTTGAATAGAGCGAATACGTCTGCGGGAAAGTTCTGAGAGGAGGATCATGCCGTCGATGTTATCGTATTCAAGCAGCTTGACGTATGCGCCCATCTCAGCGATCTAGCTCGTTCGCAAGAAGTTAGTCCTGATTTCGCACGCAAATTATGACCTAGTAATTCGCACCTGCTTGACGTTGACCATGACATAGCTATCCACCTCGGGATACTTGTCCTCGTAGAACCGACAGTTCGTGAGAGACATCTTGGCGGGGTTTCTTTTTTCTCGGCGAAATCTCAGATGGAGGGACAGGGTATACGGGAGAGTCCAGATGATCAAGTCGATCTCCGGGATGAAGCGAGAGCGAACGGTCCAAGTAAAAAGACCGAAGGGGGTAAGCGACTTGAATGGAAGCACAATTCACCTGTCTTTGTGGCAGACTCACAAAACCCACATTGTCGGTCACGGGACCTGAGAGCGATGATATCACGTGACTTACCGCTCTCGATCTACAGTTTACCTGGAGGACGAGGCCATCGGATTACAAGTCGAGTAACAGTCGCATCGAATTAAACAGAGTCAGTCAGACCATGCAGTTCATGTTCTCCGACCATGCGGTGTTAGACCTCCGATCGACCACTCCGTGATAACGCTTTCCCCGCTTATCAGTCCCTAGCGCGCCCTTGACCGACTCCGATCTCCAAGCTCAAGCTAGTTCTTGCATTTTGTGAGACCATATGGCGGGCCACTTGGACTCTTCACTTTTACTTTGAATTTATCTTTGTTATTGTCAGACAATGTCTGAGACCAGTTCCTTACTCCCCGAGTCCGAAGGGCGTCGGACGCTACGAGACCGCATTGTCGATGCTTTCCATTCCCCTCAAAATGGACTTGGGATTTCGACAAACCCGAATAATACTGCCCAGCGCTCGACACAAAGCAGAACCGTCGCGGGAAACTCGAGCGGTCCGGACGTGAGAACTAGGCTCCTGCAATCCTATCACAGCGCATATCCCGCATGTGGTGAACGGCGCTGCAGCCATGGGACCTTTTCTCCGCGATTAGAAGATGGGCGGCAATACTACATCGGGGAATCGGGAGATGGCTTTGGATATAATGGACATGGAGGGACTGGTGGCGCGGCCAGTGGCCCTAGAGGGATCGATGACCACCCGGAGTCATGCCAAGGGTCAGAGACTCCATCCCAGATGAAGTCTTCTCTTACCACGCTCTCAATGAATGATACAAAAAAACAGTATGGTGGATCCCAAATCATTGCTTCGACTTTTTACCCGAATTGGCACTGACAGATGCTTGCAGATACATATCATATTACATTCCTCTTTTCAATTGGGTTGGACAGTACCATTGGTCCCTCCTTCGAGGGGATCTCATGGCCGCGTTGACTGTGGCGTCTATCTATATCCCGATGGCCCTTTCTCTAGCATCCAACCTTGCCCATGCGCCACCCATCAGCGGTTTGTACTCGTTTGTGATTCATCCTATGGTTTATGCCATACTAGGCAGCTGTCCCCTCTTGATAGTTGGACCAGAGGCTGCCGGATCCCTTCTCACAGGTGCCATTGTCAAAGCAAGTGTCTTGCAAGGAAATGCAGGCGAGGACGATCCTGCTGCAAATGCTATGGTCGTAGGAGTTGCTACGGCCATGTCCGGCAGCATGATCCTGGTTGCTGGTTTGACCCGTCTAGGATTCTTAGACAATGTGCTCAGTCGACCGTTTCTAAGAGGATTCATCACTGCCATTGGCTTTGTCATTTTTGTAGACCAGCTTATCCCCGAATTGGGTCTCGCGCAACTGGCCAAAGAGTCCAGTATCAGCCACGGTACCAGTGTTGAAAAATTGATTTTCATCGCTCGACATGCTGGACAGGCCCATGGACTTACTGCCATTGTCTCGATTGTTAGCTTTTCTATTATCATGATATTTCGGTATGTATTATTGATCTCCATGTCACTGTAATCTTTTAACATCGCGCCACAGTACTTTGAAAAAGTGGCTCGTCCCACGCTATCCCCAAGTGATATATTTCCCTGACCGCTTCCTCGTCGTCGCCCTGTCAGCAGTCCTGGCTTGGCACCTTGACTGGGAGTCCAAAGGACTTCAACTTCTTGGGAAAACAGAGATCGGCTCTGGGAAACTTTTCGCCTTCAATTGGCCTTTCCAGTTTGCTCACATGAAACATGTACGGACAGCAATGAGCAAAGCCTTCATCATCGCACTTCTTGGTTTCTTCGAGTCGTCGGTTGCAGCCAAAGGATTGGGCGAAGGCAGCTCCGATGGAATCCAGGGCATGCATATGAGTGCCAATCGCGAGATGGTTGCACTGGGTGTGGCCAATGTCATTGGTGGCTGTTTCCAAGCCCTCCCTGCGTTTGGCGGATACGGACGAAGCAAACTCAGCTCTCAGACAGGAGCTCGCTCGCCTATGACTAGCGTCTTTGTGAGCATTATCACCTTTGTCTGCATCATGGTGCTATTGCCGTATCTTTCCTACCTTCCGGTTAGTCTCAGTTCTACTCCTACGACAATGTTCCGGCAATGCTAACTCCCAACAGAAAGCCGTCCTCTGCTCCATGATCTCCGTGGTAGCATATTCTCTAGTAGAAGAATGTCCCTCAGACCTAATGTTCTTCTTCCGCCTCCGCGGCTGGACAGAGATAGTCTTAATGCTCCTGATCTTCACCGCAACAATCTTCTACTCTCTCGAACTAGGTATGGCCCTGGGGATCGGCCTCTCAGTGTTAATCCTCATCCGACACGCAACCCAACCACGCATCCAGATTCTAGGCAAAGTGTCTGGCATACCAACACGCTTCGACAACGCCGAACTACACCCAGAAAATGTGGAACTAGTCGAAGGCGCCCTAATCGTCAAAGTCCCGGAACCCCTCACATTCGCCAACACAGGCGATCTCAAGAACCGTCTGCGCCGGCTGGAACTCTACGGTTCTAGTCGTGCTCATCCTTCTCTGCCACGGATGCGCGCACCGGAACATAATAAGAATATTATTTTCGACGTCCACGGCGTGACGAGTATCGACGGGTCTGGTACCCAGGTTCTCTCGGAGATTGTGCATGCATATGCAGAGCAGCATGTTAGGGTTTTCTTCTGCCGTTTGCCGAATAGCAATGTGTTCAGCATGTTTGAGCGCAGTGGTATTGTTGAGCAGTGTGGTGGTTTGAGCCATTTCGTGCCTAGTGTCGATGAGGCGTTGCAGTTGGCGGAGACTGAGGATCAGACGCAGGAGATATAGATTTTACTATGCTAGGACTGGAGATAGGTGTATATATGATTCAGAAGTGTCTTGTGATATATTGCATTTTGGTACTCTAGACAAAAAGACAAAATGGAAGTTGTTGGAGCGTTGTCACTTCTTTATCCTGAAGGGAAACTCCAGAGATTTATGCTAGTCAGAATCTTTGGATTTCGTCGAGTTTGCAGGTATCACAAATTCCCACGTTTGAGATACCAGCTTCACTCTCTCAAATATCCCCTAAATCGGGTCTTCTGAGCATGCATGGACTTTTGTCGACGGGTCCAGCTATCACTTGCAACTGGAGTAGATACAGATGGGTGAATCACATCGTAGCGAGAACAGCAACAATTGAGCGGTTTAATATGCTCCCACAGTTGTGTGTTCGCCGGCGATTGCGCTGAATAGACTCCGTATTCGGCAGCGGCGTGAAGCCAGAATGCTCAAGAGTCCAAGCAAGTGCTGCTCATGGTTTGGATTGAAGCGGTGTCCTGATCTGCGCTCTGGGTTTTCGTAACGTGTCCCAATTTCAAGCTGATACAACTGACCACCGAGAAGCCTACGTAGCAGCCTGATCTCCAATAACAGCTCTCCGTATGATAGACCGAAGAATCGCACCGCCGGCTTCGAAAGGAAGCCCAACATCATCCCTATCCCCATCATCCTGATCAGCAGCCGCAACAAGCTTCAAGCGCCCGTCGCTACCAAGAACAAAAGCAGCACAGGCGACCTTCGACAATCGCACATGCTTTTTAGAGACCTGATTCTCAGAAGAATCATCCAAATCCAACTTCATAGCAAGATGTGTCTCCAGATACTCTGTAAGATTGGCAATAAAAGGACTCTTCAATTTCTGCTGTAAAGTGCGGGATTTTGGCGCAGACCGATCACGCAGGAATCCAGTCAACGAAGCGCGCGACACACTGACATTGAGGGTTTTCAAAGCCGGCGCGATAGACGGCGAAAACGCAAGCGTCAGCTGTAGCTCTTTGATAGCATCTTCGACGGAACCCCGCTCAGCGCGCAAAACATCAACGTACATCTCCAAGCTGGAGCAGAGGAAACCAGAGGATAAGCGGAAATTCGAACAGTAGGTATCGAAATTAGTCGCTAAGAACGAGATGAAGGTTTGCCGCAGCGCAGTGGGGAATCTGGTCAAGAGGAGCGGGAGAGAAGTCGATCCCTCACGGTGACTGGGGTCTGACTCCGGCTCGGAGAGCAGAGCAGCCTTGTAGGTTATATGCTCATATTCGAGCGTGACCAGAATCCCAGGGAATGAAGTGCTGGACGCATCGTCGCGTGTTGAGATTGGATGCCAGAGACAATCTTTTAGGGCGCCTGTTCTGGAGAGCGCGTCATCATCTGCTGTAACGGTGCTTGTTTGTAGCCCGGCTAGAGCGTCGCCGGTTAGATGATCGCGGAGACGCGTTGCGTATATTTTTAAGGCGGTCTCATCATTTAAGAGGGTCTCGCTGTCTTTCCCGTGGTGGAGGGGGGAGAGACGATGGAGGGTCCATGAAGTGTTGAATAATTGTCTTGTGTCTGCTTGCTCCATGTTGGAAATTGGAGTGTTTTTCTTTGATTATTGCTCACATGCTATATTTGAGCTTGTTCAATAAAGTTGGTACGGCGATGTACAGACGCGTGCCGGTGCAAACAGAACAAACAACTATCAAACCCAATTGGGTAATTTGCGAATGGCAGTGAAAAAGGGTTTAAAGGAAGATAATGATAGATGACTCAGATGCAAATGCAATTGGCTTCAATGCCCATGTAACTCCAGTGTATCTCCGATAAAAGTCTAGATCCGACGCCGCCAACAACAACACCAATACCAACATCAAACCATCAATGCCAACACCGTGTACTTAGCATCATGCTTGCCAACCTCTGGTGCGGTGACAATCCGGACACCCAAAAACAATAGGAATACCGTTCCAAACCCAAACATGCTCAACATCATGAGGAATGGCCCGGCGAGCAGTCAATTCAGCATGAGCAGCGGCAAACCAAATATCCTCGACAGAACTATGCAAGTTCTGCGCGGAGGCACGAGCAAAGACAGCTGAATGCATATGATCCTTTTCGTACATCGTCATGTCATGATAGAAGTTATACATAAAGTCCTTGCGCTGAGTGCGTTGGCTCCCCCGTCTCCAATCTCCGCGGAGAAAAACTCCACGATGCGCACGAATGGCGCTAGCGTGAGCAATGAGCTAATCCATGAATCGTCCATAACGACCGGTCCCTCGGATGACATTGTGTATCGTATATATGAAACCAGCAAATGCATGCAGTGGTGTGTCGCGACCAAGGTGGCCGTGTTGGTAAAGGGAGGAGTCTGAAGTATTCGGGTTTGCAACTCGCGGTACATCCTCTGTCGGATTTCTAGTGGAAGAGGCACTGGTAGATGACCTGCTTCGTATTTTTGCACCAGCATGTTGGTGTGTTCGCGCCTCGCTGACGCGTATGATTCGAGGAAATAGAGGGTATAGTACCTAGTTCGAATATAGGTTAGTGATAATCCTAAGCAAGAATACATGCGCCGACTTACATGAGAGGTGCGAGGTGGAACCATATGCTAGCTATGCCGCGCTTGACAAGGGCATTGCGTTCATTTTTCTTCGTAGGGAATGAGGCCCTCATGACTGCGGGTTCGGTCTGCACGAAACGATCAAGGATACGATCCGCGAGATAGTAGCAGAGCCTTGAACAGAGCTTCTGCCGCCGCCGTAGCCCATGCAGGTACTTGAATGTGTAAAGGTGACCACCTCTAGCGCTTTTGAATGGCGGGAACAGGTCGGACAAGAGGACGACGTCGTCTGCTGGATTGCGGGTATAGGTGCGGTCATTGTCAATCGGGGAGGGCAGGGTGCCGTGTCGACGCTGGCGGAGGTATCGGCGCACGATTTCATGCTCGTTGAACGTGAGTAGCTCGCAGAAGGCCTTACAGACGAGTCTCAGCGGGTGGAAGTCGGTGATGCCGCAATAAGCAAATATGGTGATTTGAATCTCGACCGGGAGGTCCCATGGCGAGGAAGGTGGTAGACCGGTATGATTCAGCCTGATAGAAGGAATTAGACATGGAGGGATTCACGCAGCTCCGATCTCACCTTAACTCAGATCCGCGCTTGGGACCGTCCTTGGCGCCCGCCTTCCTCCTGTGGATCGCAGCCCGGACTTTTTGGACAGAGAGGGCGAGTTTGGCAAAGCCAGTCATTCTTGGGCCCTGGCACGCATGAATTGACTGGCTCGTCGCTGGGACTCTCGAGGTCTCGAGTTGGATTAGACTTCTCACTCTTTTTAGATAGCATGACTAAGCCGCGCGTCATTCCAAGTTTTTGGCAGTTTGAGGTAACTTATAAGACGATACATAAGAGACATTTACGGGCCAGAGTAGAGGGAAAGTACTTGTTTAAGCAGTGTGTCTTTAATTTGAATATCAGTCTAATGCTATACCGCAGCTACCTTGGGAAAGACCTCCAATCCATACCTAAAGCTAATTTTAGAAGTATGCGTATGCTCTTTGTCACTCTATGGATGTTATCACTTCGTCTCATACACAACACATGCTCCAATTCTATTCCTTGGTATTTACAACGACTTGTTTAGTATATTTAATGTTGCCATATATCTGCAGAACTTCAAAGAGCCGAGTTTCCTTGTGTCACACATCTTCCTCAGATATAACTAATCAAGTACTAGATCACGCTGCATTTAACTAGATCGTCAGGCCTCGCCGGACCAATTCCAAGGCTGCGCCGGCATTCTTCAAATAAAAATGATAGTGTTCAACGGCTTGAGATCAAAAATGTGGGTCTGATCAAAAGACACATTAAAATTTCGGGTCACAGAGTTCACAGTCATGAGGGTATATCAATCGGGGGGCTAGGAACCGGCTATATGCTCAGTACTGTAGATGTGGACATCAAACCTGGATAGATCTATATGACCATTGATTTTGAGCCAAATATCTACCTAGTTCTTTCAAAGTCCTAATCGCCCTTGAAACGGATATCCAAAATGACCGACGCATATCGAAATACAGAATTTTCTCTCTCGTTACCCGGTCGTATACGCATATTTGGCCTCCGTGGCCAATGATCCCATCTACAACGGCTTCGACTCACCTCTACTACAGCAGATCCACGCTGCTAAGTATCAATATCGAGCAACATAAATTACTTACCAATTTACTGTCCGCAACTTTATGTGCAACAAAGATGGCAATTTACACGGTGGAGCGACATCCGCACTCTTCGACACCCTCTTAGGTCAACTTCCCTGTTGACCATTGGGCGACCAGGATTCTGGAATAATTTCGGAGTCAGCCGCTCGCATTCTGTAACTTACATCGACCTTTACCACTCGGAAATACAGTGCAACTGACATGCACGGTGATCAATTCCGGTGGAAAGATGACGACTGTTCGAGCGGAGATGAATGACGAACGGGGCAAAGTATGTGCAACATGTGTCCACAAGAAATTTCCCGCTCCGGGATAAATCCGTAAGTGCTCATCTGGCGTTCACAGACATCTTTAGTACTTCAGAAGATCACGAATGAAGTAAATGAAGATCACTCGTCATACTAGTCGCTCGATAACAGTTTGTGATGTCTTTCAGTGACTACCGTCAAAGATTCAGGATAAAATGTTAGGAATTTTGAGCAAGGAGGTGTCAATCAAGTACGCATGTACATGTCCTGTTTGTATACTTCACAAAACGTGATAGAGTAATTACGTCATTGGGAGTAAATGGCGTGACATCTGCAACTTCCAAACTTGAACTCCCGAGAAGCTGAAAAGCTCAGAACTGGACCTACACACTATTCACTTCAAGATGTCTAGTATTCTAATCGTTGGAGCTACTCGAGGCCTAGGAGCCTCTCTACGCGCACTATACTCATCCAAGCCAGCCACCCATGTATATGCAACAGCACGTTCATCAACCCCTGAACCAAGCCCAGGAGTCACCTGGCTAACAGGCGTGGATGTGTCCCAACCAGACGTGGGTCAGAAGCTTATCTCGCGACTTCCATCAGCAAAGCTTTCAACCGTCATCATCTCAGCGGGATACTTTGGGTTCGAAACATTCGATTCCCCAGACTGGGATAAGCAAGTGCAGATGTATACCACATCTGCGATCGGTCCTGTCTTTGTGGTGCATAATCTGGTCAAGGCGGGCTTACTGGATCAGGGGAGTAAAGTGATACTGGTTAGCAGTGAGAGCGGGAGTATCACGCTTCGTCATGAGAAAGAGGGCGGAGGCAACTTTGGTCATCATGCTAGTAAGGCGGCTTTGAATATGGTTGGAAAGCTTTTGAGCTTGGATTTGAAGCCTAAGGGGATTGCTGTGGGATTGGTTCATCCTGGTTTTATGCGGACAGAGATGACCAAGAGTGTTGGGTTTGATAAGTATTGGGATGCAGGGGGAGGTAAGTCATCTATTGAGCTACTAAAGATGAATCCTGCTAATTCATTCTTGATAGCTGTCACCCCAGATGAAGCAGCGCAATCCCTTGCGTCTTTCATCGAAGGTTTTGATATCAACAGGACAGGGGAATTTTGGGCACCGAGAGGGCCAAAGTGAGATATGACTTTTTCCTTCAAGGTAGAACCCTGGCTAATCCAGTTCACAGCGATATTGGCACAGCCGAAGATGTTCTTGGAAAGAACCTGCCAACCCCTTTGCAGTTGCCATGGTAAAAATCAAATGAAGTTGATCAAAAGATGTGGTTACCCAGCTCAAATCTAAACAATTCATTCTCAATTATGGCTGCGCATGCGGTCTAGCACACATAAATACCAAATCCCTCCCCATATCCTTCCTCTCCTCACGCCCAACAACCTTCACACCAAACATCTTAGCGTAGAAACCTTGCATACGCTCATCGTCAGTAAGCAACATAATCCTCCGCAAGTAAGGCATATTCTCTTTCGAAAACGTGGCCGCAACACACCCGACAAGCCAACTCCCTAACCCATGCCCTTGGTAGTGAGGAAGAACATAAGTATCAGACAAATAAGCAAACGAGCACCCATCTGTAACAACACGAGCAAGTCCAATTTGCTCTGTATCCTCTGGCGATGGAGAGAGAGGCTCTTCAGCTTGCGCTGGTTTGGTCCACCGATACACTCCGAAACTCAAGGAGCCGTAGAGCATCTGCGATAGCACATCCTCTGGGAAGGGTTCCTTGACCCAGTAGACGAAATCTTGTTCAAAAGCTGCGTTGACGGCTTTCACTGAGAGATATTTGGGATCTGTTGAGATGAAAAATTCGGGGTCTTCTCGGGTCCATATTTGCGGGGGGATCCCACTTGTTGGCGGGGCAGAAGACATGCTTGGTTTGAGGGAGGTTGGGTTTCTGCGTGTATTGGGTGTATCGAGGAGGAATAGCGACACGGTTGAAATGAAGAAAGGATGATGGACCGGGGCGCCTAAAAGCTCGAAACGGAGCCCTGGAGTTAGCATGGCTTTGTAAACCCACTCGGACCGTAAGCACCGATTCAAGCGAACTAGCTAACTATACTCTATCAATTTTCGCCTCTCTTCGTCATTTTCCAGGCCCTTTTCTAAGTGTTTTACATTCGAATTTCATCCACTCGCCTCGCAACCGCCGTGATAACTCAGATATTTTCGTATAACTATGATCGATATTGGGGTCTCGTATGGGGTTATCCGTACCGGACACGCTTTTGTATTTCTTCATGTTCCCCAAGGATCCCACCACCGTTAAATATTACCTCTGTATGCTAACCAAGTTGTTCAGTCTGACGATGAATAACGCCTGCACCGGACAGCTGTGGGCCAGATGCTCGAATTTACACTTCATGCACTTGCAGCCATGCTTCCATCCCAAGAATGGCATGATGCAGCATATGAAAAGCTCTCTACCTAGAACGTTGAATACATGGACGTACTATGGGATATCCCAGAGATTATTCTCAAAAATCCGTCATCATTCGTGTACCAACCATCCTGAAACCTTTCCAGAGACCATATTCTACGTGTTCCCGAAGTCGGAAGCCCGATCAACGCCGATCGTAATGCCGTACTGTACTATAGCATGCATCCGCGGCATAGCCAAAGAGGGGCCTGTAGATAGAGATTGCCCGAATGTCAGCGAACACGGCAAAAAACATCTTATCAGTCTACGGGAGTTCACACGAAGAGTAAATAGCCATCTCCAGCGAAATCGAAATGAAGGATTCGAACATCTGCACATCCGCAGCCGAACGGGTTATCCTCCAAGCGACTTTATTATCTCATGGGTACACTGTGTTTATCAAAGCTACAACAACCGGGAAAGAACATCATATTCGGGCCGAAGTCGATACCTATTCCCGCCTTCGCAGTTTACAGGGGTATCAAATCCCCGTCTATGTGAGAAACTGCGAACCTCGCGTAACATGTTGGTATCGTGGCCTGGTAATGGCCCACGTGATGATTCTGAGCTGGTCTGGGGTTCGCATTCAACAGATCATCAACGAGGAAAATTCAAGCTTCTTCTACGGCAAGCGTGAGAAGGTTTTGGAAACTCTTCGATTACATGGAGTTGTTCCTGGCGATAAGCACTGGCGTAACATGCTATGGAATGAGTAGGCCGTGATTGGCTTGGAAGATGTGAAGCGGTTGGAGCGTACGCCCCTTCGGTCGACATCTAAGAATTACTTGGGAAAGAATCACTTAGGGCAGAAAGATAGGCAGGCGCCTCTGCCAGCATCGACTCCTTCGTGATAGGATTTTCTTGGCCAATTCTAGCTCGTATATTTGGTCTGCATTGGCAGTGCCAAGAATTTGATGGTGTCATTTTAACCAAATAGGAGTCATTTGAACACTACACTTCTTTTGACGATTCATCATATTAGTGGAGCATTATGTGATCTTAGAGTCAATCGTTCATAGGACACGCCCCCACGCTTAGAGTAAAAGATCGATAAGAAGACCCATTTTGGACTATATTTCACACCAAGCTGCCTTGTTTTGCGTCTGCTGTTGTTAGGTAGATGTTATCTATGTTGAATCTGTTGTATGCACCCAGGCGATGTGGGGGTCTGAAGACAGCAGACTTAATCAGAATATCGCGACTATTATGGGCCCTGACGTGCTATTTCTCTCTCGAATATAAACTAACTAGTAGGCCTCTCCCTGATACCGTAATTGCGACAGGAACCTCCCACCTCTACCATGGCTTTTGATCGAGTGAAAAGGGTATACAGGTCATGCCTTCTGCAGATTATCGTAGTAGGGCTGGTTGCCTTTTGCGAGCCGGGCATCTGGACTGCACTTAACAACCTTGGAGCAGGAGGTAACGCTAGTGTAAGTCACTTCTAAGTGTTGAAGCTCTGCAGAAATATCGCTGACACTACCTAGCCTTTGCTGAACAACGCCGCGAATGCATTGACGTATGGATTGATGTCAGTGGGCTGCTTTCTTGCTGGCGGTGTCACCAACAAAATCAGTGCGAAATGGACCTTGTTCATCGGAGCAGCATTTTACACTCCTTATGCCGCCGGTCTATACTGCAACAACCGCTATGGCAATGAATGGTTTCTTTTGCTTGGGGCGGGTCTCTGTGGAGTGGGCGCATCTCTTCTATGGGCCAGTGAGGCTGCCATTGCGGTTGGATACCCGGAGGAGGAGAAACGGGGACGGCAAGTGGAAATTATCAAGCATCTTTCTTGACTCAACTGACCGTTATGTTAGATACGTTGGAATCTGGATGGGTATCCGGCAGCTGGGGCCGCTCGTTGGTGGTGCGATATCCCTCGCGCTCAATGTCAATACTGCACATGTCGGCAAGGTCACCTACACAACATACCTAGGGCTTGTTGCCATTTCATCCCTTGGGGCTCCATTTGCGTTGCTGTTGTCACAACCACAGGATGTCATCCGAAGTAATGGCACCAAGATCCCTTACATGAAGAATACGACGTTCGGTATTGAGTTTCGCGCTATCTGGAGGCAATTGAGGAATAAGTATATGCTATTACTTATCCCGGTCTTCCTCGCTGGACAGTTTGGCACAACTTACCAAGGAAACTATTTGACATGTACGGCTTCTAACGTCCTTCTTCTCGATGATATCGCTGACAGGAACTAGCATATTTCACCGTCCGCTCCAGAGCGCTTGCATCTTTCCTGACAGCCGTGGTTGGCGCCTCAGCCAATATATTGACGGGTATAGTTCTCGATCTGAATCATGTGTCTAGGGAAGCTAGATCTAAGGGCATGTACATTTTCGTCCTCGTCTTTGTCACAGCAGCTTGGATCTGGAATGCCACCACAGAGGTGAAACTTTCCCGCATGGCTGAAGCACCCGCCTTCGACCTGGGAGATGGCCCCTTCTTCAACTCGGCTTTCGCCGTCTACCTTTTCTTCAAGTTCTTCTATGAGGTGCTACAAACTTATATCTATTGGTTGATGGCCGAAATCAAAGGGGCACAGGGAGACGGCGATATCGCGAGAACAACCGGCATTCTGAGATCGTGGGAGTCCATTGGTAGCACCATTGCCTACGCTGTGGGCGCAACTCACTGGCCTAACTTGAACCAGATGATATTGGGCTTCGCACTGTGGGGGTTCACAATCCCATTCACGATTCTCGCAGTCTTCGGCCGTTGGAATCAATCTGAGGCGCAGACGGAGGAGCAGTCAGACAGTAGCAGCCTCGAGGCCCAAAGGGTGATTATCAATCCTGAAGGGAAAGATTAAGATAAATTTCACTTTAGATAATCAGATACGGCATTAGATAGACAATTGCATTAGATATAGGGCGATATTAGAAGGACACCCATATTTAATAATTGGACCCTAGCAAATGTACGCTAAGCGTACCTAGGCCGGCCGCAGTAATTGTATTTCCAATGCATTATTCGGTAAAAATCCATGCATTTCTTGGCAATACCTGATGCCCCGAGTAGCGGCGGTTGAGGATCTAACGTACTTCTATTCACTACGTAGCCCACTAGTAAAATTAAGTCACTCTCGACCCTTGCCAACAACCAACTGGCCGTAGACGGAGCTGTTCGCAGTTCCTAAGATGCCGCCGGCGACGACGGGGGCGTAGCTTAAACTCCCTAGGCCATAGACGAGTCTATTCCCACCCGTTATGTGCCTCTACGTCCTCGTACACGTCCTCGACCTTGACCTCGCTAGCTCCCCGTTGCAGCTGCCAGCCTTCATGCGCTTCCTAGGCATCCACGATCTCAAACAGCGGCGGATCATCCCGCTACGTAGATAATACTAGAGGGTCGGGAGTGACTTAATTTTACTAGCGGGCTGCATAGTAAATAGAAGTACCTTGAGTCAGGAGGCTAGTTGTTTGTTAAATTAATGCAGTTTTACTAATAATGCATTAGAAATACAATTACTGCGGCCGGCCTAGGTAGGTTTAGCGTACATTTGCTAGGGTCCAATTATCAAATATGGGTGTCCTTCTAATTTCGCCCTAGATATAATAGCAAAACAAGAAGCAGAAAAATCAAATGGAGAAGACTTTGCATAGAATGAAAGATCAGCCCTGAGAGCAGACTCCGGCCCATCAGAGCGGTTAGCTTACTGTTTCAGTCGGTTTACACGTAGAGTACAAAGAAGTAAGCCGACAAACTACATAACATGTGCATATAGACAGGATAATGTCTGACAAGTCTTGGCTTTCCCTTTCCGTTTTAGTGCTTACCCTATGCCGCTTTTTGCTCACTGAGTAGAACTGAGCACGCCCTGAGTATTACCTGATCGTTATGTAAGCCGGATGCCACACTCACTGAGCAGAGTGATCCCACTCACTGAGCGTGACCTGAGCGCTCTGATTTGTTCACTGAGCACGACTTAAGCAAGTAAGACGCGGGAGCAGCTAAGTTAGCAGCTTACCTCAATAAAATGCACTACGCTAGCCTTATCTAAATGTAGTTAGTCACTAGAACTCTTGACCGTTGTCCCCTTAACGAAAGGCTAGCGCCATCAATTTGGTGGTCCATCCCGGCTGTTTCGCCTCTAGCTGGGAGGCAAACCGACAGTAGGATCATATTTGTTGGTTTTACTATTCTGCGGCTATGCCACTATTTAACTCGCCGAGCCTCTCGCATTAACGATACCGTCTTAATATGGTTGCGGAAAATATCTAACCCCTAATTTTTGGTTCTATAATATTTAGGAATATCTTAAAAAATCCTAACTAGATGGTTTGTAAATCCAATGTAGGTTTTGATTCTGATTTCTTTTCTTTTTTTAAAAATTTTTAATTTTAACTCTAGTTTTATTTGCGCTTAAATAACAACGGATATCGCTCTTGCTACCTCCGCTTACTCCTAGGAATACGAATTCAGCTCTGGCGACCCGGATATCCAAAAAATATGACTATTGGGTTTGTAAAGAAGTAGAGTTCTAGTGTTTAGGATAGAGCCTGTCAACTGGGTAAGATAAAGATGCCTAGAAGCGAACAATATATTGGAGGAATACAGAGACTGATTCTTAGAGAACCGCTGGGTTCTCCGGAGCAGACTATTTAACATGTGGGATTAGCGTTGCGGTAAACCAACGCTGACGTGTCGACACTTATAGGGTGTCGATCCTTCATGTGTGCGAGAGATCTGTACATGACTTCTGAGGATTCCGTTACATTTCTACCGAGATCTATCGTTATATATCGGGCCCTTCGCGGCTAGATCAACATTTACTATATAAAATCGATATAGCGATAGCTAAGGAATAAAAGCAATATGACTTAACTTATATAGTCGATAGCTCGCTAAGCATTTTGGATTCTACTAGCTACGCATATTGCTACGTTTTGCAGACTTACGCACATTATCAAGACCCCCCACCAAAACCCCGCGCAGGGAGTGCGGGGACTCAAGGGAATAATAGATGGATGCGGATCTGATCAATTAGGTAGGAGGAGTACGTCTCCGATTTCTGGGCTCCCTGCTAACTTTTCCAGAATTTGGATATAGCTTTCAGCGTCTTTGCTCCCTGATGATTTCTCACGCAAGGATGACGTGTAGCGGACCCGTGTCGTACGAGCTTATTCCGATAGAAAGCCCTGCGGGTGGGTCAAAGCTTCTCAGTGGTTTTTGTGATAAACATCAATGGAGCACTTGGCTTCAAGACTAGTGTCATGCTAGGAGCATGTTCGATAGTAGAGTACAAAGGTGTCTTAATTTTGCTAGGGGCTGCATAGTAAATGGAAGTACCTCGAAATCGATGGTGCCGGCAGGAAATACTACCGGCAGAAAAAAGTTGATGCCTAAGGGTCCAGGCCCCGCGGGGGGGGGGGGGTTTACCATCCAAAGGGGGGCGTCTGTATCACTTATTAATAATAAGAGGCTAAACCCATAACCACGATAAGAGCGTAAGCTCTAAATTATCTTAAATAGAGTTATACACTAGGAGCTCTAACTAGGAAACTGAAATTTTAGGCCTATAGCCTTCCGTATCGTTGCATCGTAGGAGTTATCCAACAGGCCTCTCCGAAAGATCTCTGCTTCCTGATATATTTGTTGTATAAAGCTCATCTTGTTCCTGTAACTGACGGCAAAATTTACTTCTTTTCCGAATCCAAGGGCCCGCGTAAATCAAAATAACCGGAATTGGAACACAAAGTATGCTGAAAACCCCAAGAACAGAAGTAGCCCACCCATTACCTAATGTATCGTACATCGGTGTCGCTGCCAAGGGCAGGAGAGCACCACAAATACTCCTTAGGATGGTCGAAGCAGCCAGTGCACTGGCCGAGTAGACATTGTAAGCATCAGTGACATATGTCAATAAAGAGATGAAGATAATTTGGTATCCAAATCCGAAAAATAAGCCAGGAAGCACAGGAACAATCCACGGGACGGATTTGTTAGCGCTCCACCCGAGCCAGAAGAGGCTGACCGTGAGGCAAGGACCACCAAGGCATGCCATGGGAAGTCGTCGGAATTCCGTTCTGGATGTCCAGCTTTTCCCTCTCCTGTTTGCTTTCTTGAATATGTGCTCGTAATAGAGGGTAAATAGTCCCGAGCAAATTGCACCCAAACCCACTATAGGTTGTCTGTCAACACCTGACCTTGAAGAGTGGTATAGCCAAGGTACATACCCGGTATAAAGGTAAGTGATGCCAGTTGTATGCTAAAATCATAGGTGCCTTTTAGAGAATATTATAGTTAGATAAAAGATTTTCGCGATCTTCCCCGAAGCTATGCTTAAGGAGAGGAGGGAGGAGGAGGTGGGGTTAAACCTTCAAATATGATAGGAAAGGCCTGGAAAAAGAAAAAGTTCAGACCGTATGCGAGAGAAACATATAACGAACTAAAAATGACGATTGGCTCAGTGACAAGCATGGCAAGTGGCCGTGAAAATATTGCGAGCCAGTCATGTTTCACGGCTCCCTGGTGGGAGTATGAGGGGCTGATCCCCGACACTGTTCTCAATTTCAATCGTCTCAATCGTTTTGTTTCATTATTCAGAATCACCGGTGCGAAGGTTTCTGGATTCGACGATTACCTTCTATTCATTCGCTGCAAACTGGACAGGTGAGGGGAACTCATATATACCAGGTATGAAAAGAAGAGTAATCCAGCAGGTGCCTGCTAATATCAAAGATACCCAGAATGTCCATCTCCAGCCGTGCAAGGAAGCAAAACCTGAGATTATTGGGCCAAGGATGGGACCGAAGCTTGCTGCCTGTCATTTAATATGTTTCCATATATATTAGCAATCTATTGGTATCGCAAGATAGCTATGTCTGTTGAAAATGTAGCTTCAAACCTACCGACATGTAGAAGGCCATTGCTCGGCCACGAGAACGAAGATCAAAGAAGAGATCTGCGTAAACGCCGCCAATGACTGTCTGGGGAGCAGCGCCCATCGTTCCACAAATTAAGCGGAAAAATAACAGAGCGCCCCAGTTTGGGGCAAGAGCACAGGCAAGGGTCCCAAGAAAGAAGACAGTGAAAGTCCAGAGTAGAACAGGCCGACGCCCAATAGTCTCACTCAACGGACTCCATATCACAGGCCCAATGATGAAGCCGATAAGGAAGATAGATGTCGGGAGAGATTTCTCCTGGCTATTATGGATATCGAAATCCTTGGAAATGTATGGGACAGCGTTGCTGGGAAGCGAAGATGATATCCCGCTATTTAGAACGTTGAACAATGCCGTGATGACAACGAACATCTTTTTAGGCTAGAAAATGACCCGAAAGTATGTTAGACTTGTATAGTATTATTTGAAAGTGGTTCAATGAGAACCTACGAAACCCCAATTATTTGGGTGCGCTTCGGAACCCTCCTCGAACGCAACAAACACCTCAGACTCACTCATCCTCACCAATTTGTACCCATGACCTGCCTCATTCGCTTGGGGCATAGAGCCCGGTGATTCTTCCATATCTTTTATATATACGGGGATGGCTTCTTCAATATGTCAGTTGCCGACCGTGTAAATGCTAATTGGGCTTTCTTTTACCTTGAAGTGTGTTAGGGAGGTTGTGATCAGGACCAGGTACTCCGACATCTTGTGTGTAATACGGGAAAGCCATATTCAAAACACCGAAATGAGATTCAGAGTGTGTGCGATCCTATAGAAGACTAACAAACTTCATTGAACAGTGGACCCGGGATTTTCATTATTTATACCTTGTCCAAAGTAGCTCCACTTTCGGCTGCCTTCAAAGCCTGTATGTGGCAACGCCGGTGCCGGGCCGGCTCTGATGCCTTTCAAGTCTCCCAACCCATTCCCAGCTAGGTTCCGCTTTGAAGCTACTGCAATTACGGAACATAAGCTCGTCATATTTGGAGTCATATGAGTAAGGAATTCCCGCGAAAGGTGCAAACTTTCCTCAAAAAAAAAAAAAGGTCTGATATACCACAGTCGCCCCGTGTAGATTCCCGCTCAGTTGCATTTAAGAACTTAGCCGGTATCCACAACTCGGCTTAAGACTCTGACACGTGATTCACCCCTTCATCGAAGATTTCGCTCGCATCGAGCCGTTTGCTATAGCCTGCATAGCCACTACTAGTGGATATAAATGAAACCTCTTATGCTTATGTCAGGTTCATGCGTCCATGCCCCACGGGGATAACTTTAACCGATACTAAGTGTGGAGTAGTGTTTGCTTGGCAGCGGTTTAATTCACTCCGGTGCGGGGTATCAATCAATACGTAACATCAAGTTAAATTGTAACTAATAAAGATCATTCCGAGCCAGAAAGTTCCTTGTCAGCATTGTGTTCATACCAATCTAATGAATATGGTGAGCTCCACTGAGAAACTTTTTGGCAAGAAGGTTCTGGTAGTCGGGGGCAGCTCTGGGTTAGTGATTATTAAGTCGAAAACATCAAACTCCGTAACGCTGCTTGATGTGACAACTAACATACTACATGATCAGGATTGGTTACGGGGCAGCAAGTATTATTCTTCACTATGGCGCTATTGTTACAATAGTATCTTCATCGGAGGAGAAGATTCAGTCAGCAAAAAAGCGACTAGGCAGCGATAAGGTTCGAGGGGCTGTAGGAGACGTTCGAGAAGAAGCTGCTTTCACCGACGTCTTACAATCTTTGGGGCCCTTTGACCATGTCATATTCTGCGGTGTGGATAAAATTATCAGGGGAGATATCGTGGACGCAAATCTCGACGATGCCAAACATCTCTTTGGGGTGAAGTTCTGGGGCGCTGTGGTAGTTGGCAAAGGTAAGATAAATTTGACCCTTGAACTCGAAAGTGAACTGAAACATCTTTGCGCCAAAAGCAGCTGCAAAGTTCGACATAATCAACCGCGGTGGTTCTCTCACTCTCACCTCTGGGGCAGCAGCATTGAAACCAGGAAAAGGTGCTGCGATTGGCGGGGCACTCAATGGTGCAGTGGTATCGCTCACGCAGGGATTGGCAAGTGAGTTAGCTCATAAAGGGATACGGGTCAATACTGTTGTTCCTGGATTGGTAAGAACCGAGCTTTGGGATAAGCAGGGCCAGACAAAAGAGCAGCAGAAACAAATATTCGACTCCGTGTCCGGCAGCCTTCCGGTCGGGTTCGTGGCCAGTCCCGAGGATATCGCCGAGGCCTATCTTTATGCAGTTAGAGCTGACTATGCGTGCGGAAGTCTCATTGTCATCGGTTTGTAATCGTCCCACTTGACGTTAGTCAAATCACTAACAGCGTGTAGATGGCGGAAGCATTATGTGATGTAAACAAACCAGGTGATAGAAGTAGAGGTAGAGGTAAATTATATAAATAAAATTCTGTTAAAAGGGCAACCGGCTCCCCAGCTTGCTGCGGAGCAGTCTTTATTGACCATCCTTATACAACAAGGGCTTCTCTGATGCTAGACGTCGTAGCGATGGCATGGAACTCATCGTAGAGGAAGCACCTCACAATTATTGATGGTCAAGCACCACTATATAGGGTATTAGATACTGGTCGGTGGGCCCTAGTTGTATACCCTTCCATCCTCCCATTCAGACAACGGGAGCAGCCTAGGATAATCTGGCTGCGACTGATTCTCTAGCATCTCTAGCACAACAGACTGGGAGGGACTGTAGTTGGACCGTGTTGTATAGGGACTGTCAAAGTATCAAGGTGTTGGAGCGTACTGAGAGCTGTGTTCCCATGTTACAGGCTCTCCGGGCTGGGAGATGAGATCGGCAGGATATGGGCTCTGAGTCATCTCTAAAAAACTATGGTAGTCCTTGGAAGGTCCATGTCAGCTTCTCGTGAGCACCATATTTCCCTAGACGTTGATAACGAATGACAATCGCAGTGGATAAAAGAAGCCAAAGGCATAAAGAAACATGTTGCATACCACGGCTAGTTCTCTAGTGTCACGTCAGCGTCAAATGAGTGTAGCTGAAGGCTGCGCGTGACAAGAAAACCAAGATGTGCGGGAGTAAAGGCAGGATCTTGCTAGACTTTTAGGATTGTCCCCGTGTTTGGTCTGTTACATGAAGGATTCCATGGGTTTCTACGAGGAATTCCGTTCAGTCGTATGTATTGTACGTGCCTCTGTCCTTCTTTTTTAATTGTTTTTCTTAGGTATTATCAAACAATTCACCGTATCCTCTTATATTCTTAGCGACTAACACTTTCATTTTGCTTCTTAATTGCAGACATCCCTTTGGCTTTCAAATCACCCCTTTCCCTAAATAACCTAAGTCGTATCTTCTTACCGAATAGAGCGGGCTGTCTTAATAGCAAAACAATTTTATATAATAACTCCACCCTCTCGGCTCACTCCTACGCAATTTCATTTTAGCCTTATAAGCGAGTGATCCTTAAGCCTACTATGTTGAGAGGCCTTAACGAAATCCTAACGAAGTGGGGAAATAAATACTAGCGTTATAATATACACTAAAATTGAAATAGCGGAAGATTGATCTCGTACGAGCACGGCTATATACAGTTTAGCTATATATCATTCATAAGCTTGTATCTCCACAATATCCTAATTCACTAAATAACCTTAGTGGAAATCGGGTAGATATACGGAGTTAGCCGCTCTATTAATCGACCAATTCCCCTTGCCTACACGCGTGATATTATTCATTCTGTGCTTTTGATTATTCTAGGCGGGCGTGCTGTTCAAGTATGATTTCGCGGTTCGTATAGTAAATCATAGATAGCGTTTTCTATAGTAATAGACCTAACAATGCTTTAATTATGGCAGATACTGTTTTTCAACAATGTTACATGGTACCTTGGCGTATGGTAACCTGCCAGGATGAGGAATTGATGTACTGGCTAGTACTGGACCTGTCCAATAGAATCAGATGATGGATTGAAGGTGCTGAAATCGATTGAGCGATCTCAGGGGTCTGCATAATCCGAGCCCCGGCGTGTTACGACACCGTACTTCCGAGTCCAGCCCGAATACCATACAAATGCTAGGGAAAATTGGGTGAATGATGAACAAGCCTGTCCCCAAGGGCCCTAGGGGTATTTGACCACTCCCTTAGTTCGTCAATATCAGAAGAGACGCACCCCATCGAGAGGTCGAAAGAGCCGCACCAATAATCAATAATACAAAACATCATAGCCCTAAGTTTTTCTAACGTCCTGAAATACTAGCAATGTATATCGAATGCTTCTACCTTCACGTGGTATTGGTGGGCGGTCGAAATTTCGGATAAAAACAAGTGAGATTCAGATCAACCCCTCAATTGATTTTCCCCCTGATTTCGCACTGATTTCCGACTAATTTAAAGCGTAAGCTATATGCTGACATGTTCAATTGATCTCATATTGTAGGTGGTTGACTACCCGATCGCAGTGAAAATTGGACCCACTTCTGATCACCCATCAAAAAAACAGCCGATTTCAATCGCGAATATCCAACCAAATATACGTCTACGTGAGCTCGGATGTAGATGGGGTAGATTAGCTAGATAATTGTAGCTTCTGAAATTTTAGACCGATCGGGTTGACTAAACCTCGCGACTCAGGGTGAGTATGTCCAATTCGACTGAGGGTAGTCCCCACTTTTTTCTCCCATAGTGAAGACCAAAGCCCTAATACGACTCAGGCTCAGTCGAATGCCCCCCATGTAGAGTACACAACAAAAGATGCCTTGTGAGCTCCCTGCTCAATAGCTAAGTAGAGAGAACGGCGTCAAGTCTGGCAGAGAAAGAGAACAGGCAGACTTAAAGAAAGGGAAAAGTCACATTTGGGAATATGTTCCCGCAGAGATTGAGCGCCAAAATGATTTCCTTTTGCACGCGCATTTGCCTTTTTCGACTTGATGACTCGGTCATGAGCCGCAACCTAACGTTTGTACTGTATTGTAGTATTTGTCGGTATTTCTGATGGACAGTCCATATGCTCTCTTATCGCTTTTGAGTCCACTCCGCTCCCAGAAGCCAGACACAACGGCTCAACGGAATACGGACTACGGACTACGGAGTCCCCACTTTAAGTAACCACCTTCTCATTTGTTGATACCGAGAAGAACGGACGGAGAAAAGAGATAACGGAGTAAGGATGCAGGCCGTTTGACAATTCGATCTAATAATGATTCTTCCAGGAAATTGGTATTCAGAGCGAGAATCCTGAGGATCACTTTTTACTTTCATTAAATATTATTTATAATATTATAGTTTTACTTGAGGTCCTCTTTTCACATATTTTTTATGCGACTCAACTTTTAAGAGAACAGTAATTGAATCTTATTTTTTTTTTTTCCATGGGTAGCATTGAAACATCCCCCTTCCAACATGGAACAAGTCAATCATCCGAGCAGATATCAGTGTCAAGCTCCTGGTGCGATGCTAGACCTGCGGCCTACGATTTCCGCACTGACACTGTAACGACGCCAACTTTGTCCATGCTGAAGGCTATTGCGCAATCGACGTTGATGGACGACGTGTATCAAGAGGATTCGACGACGACAGACTTTGAGAAGTTCATGGCCAACCTCACAGGCAAGGAAGACAGTCTCCTGGTCATGTCCGGAACGATGGGAAACCAGATTGCTCTGCGCTCGCTTTTGACACATCCGCCGCACGCCATTCTCTGTCATCATCAATCTCACATTTTGAAGTTTGAGGCCGGTGGTTGCTCTTCCATGTCTCAGGCGCACATGCAGCCTTGTGTCCCGGCCAATGGGCAGTATCTGACCCTCGAGGATATCAAACGGGACGCAGACACTCGCAGCAACATCCACATTGCCCCGACTCGCGTCATCTCACTGGAGAACACTCTTGCCGGTGTCATCACTCCTCTGGAGGAGGTCCGTCAGATATCTGCATTTGCTCGTGCCAACAACATCAAGATGCACCTGGACGGCGCAAGAATTTGGGAGGCCGTGGCTGCCGGGGCCGGCTCACTAATCGATTATTTGGAGTGCTTTGATACTGCCCAAATGTGCTTCTCCAAAGGCCTGGCTGCCCCCATTGGGAGCATTATTGTGGGTCCCAAAAAGACTCTCTCGCACTGCCGATGGGTGAGAAAGAGTATTGGCGGGGGCATTCGACAGGCCGGAATCATCTCATCTGCGGCACGTGTGGCCGTCGAGGAGAATTTCGGAAAAGGACCGAATGGCGAAGGTGGTCGACTGAGGGAAACTCATGAGAAGGCCAAGTCTATTGAGAAGATGTGGGTTGGTCGCGGTGGCGTAACTCTTCGACCGGTTGAGACCAATATGGTCTGTTTGGATCTGCCTTACAGCGGCATCACGGTGGATGAAGCGATCCGTGTGGGTAGGGATGAAGGAATTAAACTTTTCGGTGGAAGAATTGTTGTTCACTGGCAGATTGCTGACGAGGCCATGGTCCAACTGGAAAGAGTATTTGATCGCTTGTTATCATCCAAGGAGAAGAGGAGTGAGGTAATCCAAGACGTGGAATCGGTCTATAGATAAGGAGAGTCGAGGGGGAGAATCTCCAAGGCACAGGACTAGATTCGTTCTAGGAAGTTAACTGCGTGCTCTTAGATGAATATTTGGCACATAAGCCAAAGTAAGTTTGTTCAATTTCAAATGGAAGATCCAGGTACACGTTCATGTAACTGGACATCAATTATCTCTTAAATGTTAACAAATCTCCACGGGCTTCGGCGAATCTCTAGCTGTTCACAAATACTTCTGCTTGGTACATTTGATTTCTCCATATGTCCGTCAATATCAATCTACTTATGATATACGTGACACTGTCTTTTAACATTTGAAAGAGTTAACTATAGAAGTCCTATCAAAGGAAACCTGCCTTTGAGATACCCTCAGGCCAATAACCCAAGACAGCGTATTTATCAAAAAAGGTGCAGCAGTCATATGCTATAGTGTCTAATTTAGTTGTAGATACAGCAAGATTGCTATCGTCTGACTCCTTTCGACTGTTGTAACACCTTCCTCAATATTATCGAAATTCTTAATTTTACAATGTACGATCACTATAAAAATCTGAGAGCAGAAGATATAATCCTTTTTTTTATATATAGTAAAAATTGAGTTTCGAATTTAGGAAGCCGCAGTAATGATGCTGTCAGCCAGTTCGAGTAAAGTATTGGCTGTGACATCCATCTTGGTATCGAAGATCTCAATGCAAGACTCCTTCTCATAGATTGAACAGTAAGCGCCACGGAAGCTGTTTGTTTTAGATTTAAGTTAGCTTCCGTTTTCCTTTTGATTTTGGAGTACGGAAACAACTTACCCGGCCTTGACAGCTGCGCTAACATCCCACATATGCGCGGCCACGAACCACTTTTGGTCCTCGGGAGCGAACTTCTCTAACATAGGCTGATATGACCCCATGGATGGTTTGATCATAGCCAGAGGGGACTCAAACGCAGAATTATGCTTCATAAATTGGTGGCAACTGACGAGGTTCTCAGCAGGCATCTCGAAGCCTGCCAGCTTGAAGTAGCCGCCAACTCTTTCTGTATCGCCCGTGGTCAAGCACCAGATGGTGAAACCGTGGTTTCTCAATTTTTCCATCATAGCTTGGCAGTCTGGTCGGAGTTCCAACTTTGAATATGCGTCCTGGCATAGATCTCTCTCCTCGTCGCTCGCGAACGATCTTGGGTTTTGGATCCCGGACATAAACAAGACGCGGTAGAAGAGAGCGTTGAACACCTCCTTATAGGGTGTGTTCCGCTTGGACATGTGGAGCATCAAGGACTCAAGTTCGGATGCTTGCATCCACGCAAACCCGAATACCTTGGCATTCACGTTGTGCGCCAGCAGTCGCGGGCCGAGAACTTGGTCGATAGTGTTGAGAAAGACATCGAACGACACGCAGGTACCGACCACATCGAAAACGGCGTGTTTTTGGGGGGAATTCATGCTGGGAATATATGGGTTTGGAAGACGAAAATTGGGATATGTTCAGAATATTTCATGAATTGTGTACAGCTCCTGGGCCTTTGTATATTATTTATTCAACGCACCTACACCGGCTATATCTGCATTGGTGCTACAGTTGTCTGATCGCGGAACGGAGATATCCGATATTCTAAGAACGAAGAGATGGAGACTCGATTGAAATGCATGCACGGTTGAATAGTAGCGGTGTGGGTACTCCGGGACCAACTGTATCTGCCCTAGTACACTCCGGCAATCAACTATTTTCGGACTACCCCCACTCCGTGATAACGCTAGGTTGATGTTTGGCTGTTCCTGCCAAGCAAGATAGGTTGTGTGATTTGTAGAGACAGAATTTGTTTTTCATATGGGACACGTCAGAACCGAGACCAGGTCCGAAGATAAGTGAGAGCACATCAGGGCATCCGTGTTGAACAAGTTATTATTGTGAGGCAACATGTCCAACTTCGTCGTGTTTTTAGTTTAATCCCTGTTGCAAGGCTGGGAAACAAGATTGGCAGGACCTTGGGAGACGTATGATCAAAAAACTTCTAGTCTTGGTATGCCTAAACATATATCTTAAAGCAAGGTAGACGGACTATAGCTGCTTGAAAATCTAAGGACTGACCTAATACCCCTGACATCCAATTAATACACCGAAAGGTAATCACAGTTGGCACTCAATTCCACAGGATGTTCAGCTTGTGAAGGCCTTTCTTTAGCTTCGGTTGCGGCTCGGGATTGCGATTGGCAATATCGATGAAGGGTTGAATAGGAATGTCTTCCAAGGGGATTATCTTTGTTTTGCGAATGAACTTGTAACCAAAGTAGAGGATCAGGAAAAGAGGAATGTTGATATAAGAGGAGATGAAGGTTTCCTTGTCCCAGTGCCCTTTAATAAAAGTTGAGTAGCCGCCCGTAATAAGAAGGAGGGTGAGCATGATCAGGGAGGCCCAGCTGATATTTCTTGCAGCCATAGTAAAAGCGAAGATACGTGACCAAGATGCTGAGCCAGTTGGTGAGGGTGGTGATGGAGACAAGGTCTTGCAGCCACTCAAACACGGTGCTCGCAGTCGCAGACAGTGACATGTATCCTAGACACATGAACAGGCCGTAGAATGAAATCGCGACCCAGGGCACTGTAAATCTGTTGAGTCGAGTAAAGAACTTGGGAGCTTGACCGTTCATGGCCAGGCCGACTAGCACTCTTGATCCTCCGAGGATGTTGGAGTTGCCCGAAGACCAAGCCGAAGTTATAATGACGGCGTTGATGATTGACGCGACTACCTTGATTCCTGCGAGAGTAGCTGCAATAACGAAGGGGGACTCAGAAGCCGTGCCACTAGAGTTGCTGAGCCTTGAATCATTGGATGGAACCACGAGGCCGACCATGAAGATTGAGATGACTAGAGAGAAGACGTCAGATTTTGGAACCAGAAAGGGCCTTTCTAGTCAACTGAAGCAGCATACTATAGAAAATCAGGATACGGAAAAAGATCCTCTTGGCCGCCATTGGAATGGCCTGTCTCGGCGATTTTGTCTCCGCGGCGGCCACTGTAATTGTTTCAATGCCTGAGTATGCATAGAGGGCACTGTTCAGGGAGGTCCAAACACCGAGAAAACGACCAATGGCGCCACCGATCCCAAGGTATTGAACAAAAGGCCCAGGATTACGCCAATATTGAAACCCAATGGACTTATAGTCAGGCCCACCGCCACAGGTTATGACAAGAGCCTGATGAAGAAATATCAGTAACCGAAAATAATGGGGCTGATGTAGCCCAACCAAATACTTACCATTATATTGACTCCAATGATCAGCAAAATTTTCATCATGGAAAAGAAGAACTCAAGTTCCCCATACACCCTGACAAAGACCAAAGTGGTGCACAGCATGACCAGTCCGAAGATAGTAATCCAAATTGCACTGTTGAGATCAGACCAAAACTGCACCAACACAGCAGCGGCCACAAGCTCGGCAGGGATGGATACGAGATAAGAATAGACCACGTTGTAGCCATTGGCAAAAGCCAATGCTGGATCGACAAAGTATTCGGCATAGCGAACCATCCCCCCGTTGAGAGGAATAAGGGCACCCATCTCACCCACCGCGAGGGTAACGGTGCCGGCCACGCAGCGCATGACCAGGTATCCAAGAAATGCACCTAGAGGTCCAGAGTGAGCAATGGCTCGACCAGAACTGAGGAAGAGGCCGGTTCCAACGGTCCCGGCCAAGGCGATCATCTGAATGTGTCACTGATGAAGCCCTTGCCTCACAGCTGTTACCTCTTCAAACTCCCCAGTAACTTCATCTGCTAGTGGGATAGGTGACTCTGGGTCGTGAATGGTGGACTTAACGTGTTTGTCCAATTCATGGACGGCATCACTCGAGCTCTTGTCGTCAAGGTATTCGTTCATTGTCGGAATTTTAATGAATTGAATGTTATTTCTTGGAGGTGAGAAAACTCTCGGTGTTGCACTCCTGACCTAGCAAACCCTAGGGTCTGCGATTGATAGCAATTCAGCTCAAGCTTATAGCCTTAGAGGGCGCTAGTCACTGGCTAACCGGATATGAATTCACTGTGCCTATCTGCACAATTGGTATCCGTAGAACTAAACTACGCGGATAAGCCATTATTGGCATTGGCAGCGAATATTTCTTTTAGTTTCGTTCATATGGCTGTGGCGCGAGATGATTGGGCTGTGGGATAAGATACGCAAGAGCACCGATCCAATAAGGTGGAATGATTATTTTCAAGGCAAACTTACAGCTGCGGGGACCGATGAGATAGGATTAGGAGTGGCAACTGGGGTAAAGTTCAACTCCGCAAAAGCGGAGTGCCAAAATCCACTCCGTTAGATAAGCTCTGGGAGCTCCTTTAGATAGCTCCGTTAGATAAGACAGCACACTAGTTTTAGGATTGGCAATCTGGGCTGCGAGCATCGAGGAGGCACATGTATTTAGACAGGTATTGAGGATGCCTCAAAGAATCTCTATTCACTGCTTCGCTTTTCCTTCATTCAGTGATCATAAGACTCGTTAGTTCAGGGTACCACCTCAGATCCTAGAGCCCAGACAATCGAATTCAAAATCATACCGTGAAACCTTTGTTGACAACAACCCAACAACATGCCCAAAGTCTTTCTTGTCACGGGAACCTCGACTGGTTTCGGCCATGACTTGATCCAAGAGGTGCTGAATCGTGGTGACATTGCGATTGCGACTGCACGCAACCCGGCCTCGTTGAAGTTCGAAAATATCAAAGAGGACAACTACTTCACCTTGGCGCTTGATGTAACCAGACCGGAATCCATTAAAGGTGCTTTCTCTCAGGCTGTCGAGCGCTTTGGGAGGATTGATGTAGTCGTGAACAATGCGGGCTATGGCCTCACGGGATGTTTTGAAGAATATACCGACGAACAGATCCGGACGCAGATGGAAGTCAACTTTTTCGGCCTTGTCAACGTCACTCGGGAAGCAATGGCCACCATGAGAGCCCAAGAGCCGAGCGGCGGCGTAATCCAACAGGTCACCAGCGTGGGTGGACAACGAGGAGCCGCATGCTTCAGCCTGTACGCCGCAAGTAAATGGGCTGTTGAAGGTTTCACTGAGTCCCTTTCAAAAGAGGTGAAGCCTGAATGGGGTATCAAATTTACTTGTGTCGAGCCCGGTGGTTTTAGGTAAGTTAGTTATCTACAAAAGACCGATGAAGTTATCTTTCTCTAATTCGAGATGTTCATCAGAACTGATTGGGCTGGTCGCTCAATGGCCTTTACCGACCGTCATTCAGCCTATGACCACATGGATGCTAAAGGATTGATGATGGCCCGGAATGGAACTCAGCCTGGTGATCCACAGAAGGCTGCGAGGGCCTTTACGACCTAGCCATGATGGAGAAGCCGCCCTTGAGAATCTTGCTTGGTACGGATGCTTACCCAGCTATCTTGGCGAGACTAGATGAGGAGCGACAGAATTTTATCAAGTACGAGAAACTCAGCTTGAGCACAGATGTTGATTAGATGGTCGTTTGTATTGGAATGGCAAGGTGTATCTTCAACAGATCTTGATACAGTAGTCAACTGTTAAATGATCACGTTTGTAAATGGCAAAACTTTAACGTCACGAAACTCAGTCATGGATGTTGTGTGCAAATTTTGTAATTCCTAGAGGACTTAGAATATGATAATCCCACTACATAACCTTTAGCGACCGGCTGAGTTTTTTCAAGGCGATGACATTCATTTGAGACGAATACGCAGCACCTTGCCATTAAGCCTCGCATTCAATCTTGTTACGGACAGATCAACCTGTTTTGTTTACACTGTGCTCCATCAATTCGAGAAATATCGAAAAAGCGTACTTCAATATCATGGCACCAATACATCAAAGTGAAACAGCAGGTGTTACTAGAAATCGAGTGTTTTAGGTTTGGATTCCTTCCTACAACACGGAGCTTGAACATCCCAAAGGTTGAAAACTTTTTACTCGTTGGCTAAGAAAAAAATGCAGTAATATCAACTTCTCACTAGTTCTCACCCATTCAGGCGAGTATATCTCCTCCTGAAAGGTCCTTTTTGGCATTCTCGAGTCTCTCCACGGTCGTTTGAAACACTTTCGGGACACCAGTATCTTCAAACTGGATTCCATTTCTAACCATCTTGGCAACCCCTAGGGCAGACAGAAATACCACGGGCATCCCATGACCGTTGAATCCCGCAAGGATGTACTGGTCATCTTCCCCAGGCACAGCGCCGACATGGGGCTGAGAATCCCAGCTGTACCCCATGATACCTGTCCAGATTTTGTCTACTTGGGCACCGCTATTTTCCCATCCATGGAAAAGCCGCTGCATGTAGCCGTCATAATAATTACTGATTTCTTCGATCAGAACAGAATCGTCCACGTTCTTGTACCATGTCTCTAGGAAAGGGCGATACCTTGAATTGGCTCCCCCAACAACGATGCTACCGTCGGCGCGAGGGACAAGATATGAAATAGTTTCGTCCTCTTCACGCACGATGTAGGAGTTGTTCAGAAAAGGCCCTCTCGTGCCTTCGGGGACTGAAATATGAGTGCACAGTCCTTTGCATGGTACAATGGCTTGACTGTACTGCGGAAGAAGACCCGAGACATAGGCATTGTTGGCATACACGACTTTTCGGGTAATTGTTGTGCCCCGCGGAGTTGTAACAACAAAGCCACCAGAAGATTGCCGAGTAACAGAAGTCACTGGAGTATGAGTCTGAAGGTTGACTAGGCCAGTCTCAAGAGTCAATTTAGTGAGATGCAGGATAAATTTGTACGGCCAGAGAGTTCCTGCCGTGAAAGAAGCACATGCTTTGACACCTTTGACACCCGAGATGCCCTCCGCATCTTTGCCGAGCACGAAGAAGACATCCTTCATATACTCCAGATTACGGGAGCGCAGAATATCGAACATCTCCTTGGCCTTAAGAGCAGCTTCTTCGTTGCACCAGACATCGATAGATCTGGCGAGGGTGAAGTCACAGTCGATGTTTTCCTTTTCAACGAGCGACTTGATGGCGTATAAATGAGCGATTTCAAATTCAGGCACCTCCAAGGCAAGCTCAGGACCTGCTCTGTCGACGAGCCTGGTCATGGGGGTGTACATGTCAGGTCGCAGGTGGCCACCGTTGCGTCCTGTCGCGCCCGAACAGACACCCCGTGCCTCCAGTATCGTGACAGAAAGATTGTTGCCACTGGCCTCTCCTTTGACCAAGTGGTATGCTGTACTAATCCCTGCATAGCCGGCACCTATGACGACAACATCACTTGATGCTGGAAGGTCTTCTGTTGTCCGATGATCGTGCAGCTCGTGGAGGTCTTGGTGCCAGAATGGTACTGTTGAATCTTCAACAGGCAAGCGGCATGTATCAAAAGAGGGATGTGAAGACATGGCCAGAGAAGTGCTATCAATTGATAGTGTGTGAGCTCTGAAGAATTTTGTAAGTATAAGTGCTAGGCTGTTAAAGTCCTGCTTCGTCGAGATTAAGTGATGGATGAGTTGCACAAAGATTGTTGATCATCAGGAGATACGAATAATGGGTGAACTAAGAAGAGCAGATATAATCAAAGGACTCCGGTGCAGCAGTATTCAATAACGGCCGTTGACCGAATAGAACTTTCAAAGACCGCAGCCTGCTCTTATCAACTCCGCAACTCCGCGATCGCCTCTCGGCCGGATTGCCCCACTCCGACGGATCAAAAACACTCCAAAGGAAATCTAACGCCGCCTGTGTTCCTATCAGTATGCGAGCCAATTATGGAGACATGGCAACGTGTCTTTGGCTATTTCAATATTGAACAAGTGAAAACAGGAGCTAGCTGAGATCGCTTAACAGAAATGATGGATTACTTTGCTCAAGCCAGCTTCCCTGCGTCCAATCAACAGTGTTCAGCCAATCCATATCATTTATGGTGGTTAGCTCAGGGTCGACATCATGCTGACTGTCTATCACGGTAGATATGTTTTCCTCTTGAGACCGCGGGTCTTGCGCACCGTATTGTCTCTGGAACGGGAGTTCGCTCGGGTTGTGTTGTAAATGCGCTCCAGACACCGATCCCATAGAATCAAACACAGTGTCAATGATTCTCTGGAGAACTTTCTTGAACTTGCCACAGAGCCGTACATTGTTGTCTGTAGGTCGTATCCAGTCCAGTAAGGCTTTGAACATGATCAATTTTTGAACGATCTCCGACCGAGAAAACCGAACAGGTTCGTGAACGGCAGCTGGTGATGAAGACTCATTTGTTGGAGCAGGTGGCGCCAGATTACTCGCTCGGAGAAGCTCGACGCATAAAATTCCCGCACAGGGCATTCCGTATGATACAGCCTAGAAGAAGGTCAGTGGGTGTTCCTACTTCAGGTGACCAGCAAGCCTCGCCTGAAACGTACAATCCAGTCAAAAGCATGGTGAAGTTCCTGTAACTTATCACGATTAAGCCACAGGAACACAATCACAGAGATTGTCTCTTTGGCGATATCGAACAAGCCTTGGCCATCATTGAATCCCCGTGAGACAATCAGACGCTCTAAGAGAAATTTGCATTGCAATACATCAAGTTGTATGCGGGTGATGATATACATCTCATGAGCGCTTTGCCCATGGAAGGACCACTTTGAATGTGAAGGCCATTCCATGTTGCTGTGATACTGAATGTGTGGAGGATATGAAGCAACTATCTTCTCCAACTGGACGATAAGGTCCCTGCAAAAAGTTCAAGTCAGCAAAAAGTATACAAATGCGTTCCCAAGCGACTGACTCTGTTTGCAGTTTTGTAAATTTTAAATTGACACTTAAAGAAAGTTCCAATATGCCTTCTCGGATTGGACTCAGCATCGCAAGTGCTCGAATCCAGGTTGTTGTGTATATTCGACCATCTGTATTCCAGCCATTCGAATCAAGCCTAGCAAGAGCCGCTGCCAGTCTGTCCCGACCCCCATAAACATCTTCCTCGGACAGATCGAGTGGAAGTGGACATTGACAGTAGCGGTCACTTAGCATAGGTGGTCGTGCATTGAACAAACTGTGACATTTGTCCTGGTAGTACATAGATGAAGCGATAGATGCTCGATGTTGTGAAAATGGCGTAACCTCCTTAAGGGGTGCAAGACGATGCAATCCGGCTGAAATAAAAGCACTGCGAACAGTACCATAGTCGACCCTTATACGATCACCTATGCTGGGGTGAGCTCGATTTCAACCCAACCGGGCTTTGGACCGGACTTTGTGACTTACTCTCGTCGTTGATGATAATGCTTTGCAATCTGCTGCTATTCTTCATGCAAATGACCATAATGTCACTCAGTTCAAAGTTTTCCTCGCAAAGTCTGACGCAGGCAGCAGCACACTCTCTCATCCGATCTGCCGCGGTGTTGCGATCCCGCCCATGCTGCTCAACCAGTTCAAAAACTGGGTCCCACTCTTGTTTGCATCTGAATGCAATTCCAGCCCAGCTGAATAGGATGCCAATCATTTCCCATCGCAGATAAGACCCTCCAAACCAATTCATCCAGTCAACGCGGTCAAAACCGCTGTCTGCATTATATCCGGGCGTTGATTGTGGCCTTTTATGGTTGAGAAAGATGTCATTTGCCATTTTCAATACCGAATCCCGTGTCCGATGCTCCCCCAGCTCACTACCGTATACTGTCCATACTTGATCTAAGCACTGTTGAATCATTGTAGGGGACAGCCAGACATCATACATTTGATGGATTCCTGTCATCAGCATGTCACACGTGCGAGCGGTAGGAAAATTGAGCAGTGTTCTGACAGCCAACTCTAGGCGTGGCCGGGCCGTCACATCAGTCTCTCGGTCTTGCGTGTCGCTGGATCTCGTGGCGCCAAGAATCACTGGGCCCAAACTATCCTGGTTTTCAAAGAAGACGGCGGAAAAGCGCGTTGTCTCGTGTCGTCCCGGTTCCTCTCGGAATAGCATGTTCCGCTTTGATCCACTGGAACGGCCCGTCGTACCCGAGCTTGCAGCTGAGCCGGGCTGTGCAGGGGAGGCAGCTACCTCTACGCTGACTTGAGATTCAAGAGGAAGGTTGACGTCGCTGGGGACAGCAGGAGTAGTCAGTAGGTCCGCGGGTGGCATCACTTCGAAGCGTATAGGTGTATGAGAGTTCGGAAGACGGCGCTTGGTCATAGGTGCAGGGTGATAGACACAATCCAAGCTTCGTCTGGCACAACGTGCACACCTTGGATTTGCATGATCACAGCGAATTTTGGCCTTGCGACATGGCTCGCAGGCCTGTGGCTGGCCATTGTGGCGTCTCTTTTGTTCTGTGAGCATTGCGTTGCTCTTAGTACCAAGCGTAGTTGGGCTCCTTGTCACTTGCATATTCGAGGACCCACTCAAAACATCTGCATCTGTCATATCTGGACGAAGAAGCATTAGGTTACCTCGGTTCCTTCAGCCGACCCGCCCAAAAAGGCGGTGAACTTGGCTGTCCACCGCCTGCTGTCTTCAGCGATGCTGACAGCCTTTTTTTTGGGGGGGAGTCTGAGCCGGGAATTTTGCTGCTGTATTTACTACTGCAGAGCGTCGAACGCGTTTTTGGATAGTCTCCAATTTCTCGCACACTAACCCGAATATTAAAAATTGGGCGTCGATGTCTTCTGCACCTTTCTAAGCACCTGACATGAAAATAATACGTATAACTGAAAAGCTAGGTGAGAAACATGTCCCTAAAGTGCCCGATTGACCCCTCTTGGCTTGTCAAAATCATTATATGCACTAAATCTTACACCAAAACGTCTATAAAGCGTATATTGCCTAATTTGATGTAAAGTGGCCACGCCTTAATTCATAAATCAACTCTATCGCGTTACAATTGACTTTAAATCCGCCTATACACGATGATAGATCGACGCCGATCACGAGGGAAGCCTCCTTAGAAATATAAAGCGAATCTAAACACACCTAGAAATGCATAGACAAATCTAGATAAATAGTTAGCCTCTAGAAATGATCCTATCCCTCTAGCGGTTGAAGAGCCTACTAAATTAGGGGTAGAGCATAAGATTAAGTACGGAACTATCTTAATAGAGAAATAATAAGTTAAGAATAATCTAGTCCTTTAAGCGTAGAAACTGATTCGCGATGCGATTGAGAAGAGTAAGGATAAATAGGACTAAGCTATTAGACGAGTAATTTAGGAGCTATATCTCTATTATTATCGAGAGGGTTAGTTATAAGCCTTAAGACACTTAGTCTACCGAAGGACCTTATCCTAATTGCGAAGACGTTATTTAGGAAAAATATAATACCATAATTAGTTTCGCTCTTACTTACTAGATCTATCACACTTATTATGATCCCGTTAAATTAAATTAGTGTTAAGTATACTAGTTATATCTAGAATATTAGAGGGGGATATTGTTTCCTAAACGTAGAAAGGTTCTTATCTAAACTTCTTAACGAGATTTAAGCTACCGAGTTTTCCTATATTCTCTTTTAAGCCTAAAGCTTATAATTAGTGATAAGTTTTGTCTAATTACCACCGACCTCGCTTTCTAAGACTAACGTATCATGCAAGCGAGCGCCGCAGTCATACGAGCGCCGCACCACGCGTAATTCTCGCGTTTTAATCCAACCCCTCTTTTTCAACCTCCCACCATGCCACCAATACGCTCTCAAAGCTCTCAAAAACGTGCTAAGCAAGAGGGTAGGATCTTATTAGCTATTTAGTCTTATAAAAATGGCAAAAAAGGCTTAATTCGTTAATTAGCACGCGATTTTGACGTACCCGACCGGACCCTCCGCCGTCGTATAGAAGGCGTTAAATGCCGCGTAGAAACCCGCGCTAATAACCAAAACTTGACAATTTTAGAAGAGGAAACGCTAGAAAATTAGATTATCTTATTAGATAAGCGAGGAGCAGCACCCCGGCCGAATATAGTGAGAGAGGTAGCTAATTTATTGCTAGAAGGCTATAAGGATAGCACTAATATTACGGTCTGTTAGTATAAGCGTACTAATAATAAGCCTATTTATTTTGATCTAAGCTTATTATCTGTAAGGAAGTAGGGTTCTAGTGTTTACAGGATAGGGCCTGTCAACTAGGTAAGACGAAGATGCCTGGAAGCGAACAATATATTGGATGAATACAGAGATAAGGTAAGGCTTATATAATATATTATTATATAAGCGACAGTGAGGTGTAATAAGAGTCACGATAGTAGGCGACGGTGAGGTATAGGGATGATTCAATTGATAGATAGAATAAAAGTAGATAATGGTTATTTTTTCTTAGGACCCTTCCTCGAGGTCCTATATAACTATAGCTGACCTTCTTACCTAATAGAACGGCGTAGAATAGCGAAGTTCTATAAGGTATTACAAATTATAGGTCAGAAGATCATTAGTATAATGATCATCGATCCTAAGACCATAGTCTTAGGATCATAGGAAGGTTTATTAGGTTTAAACCATTAATAGACCTTCTAATAATAGGCATAGCTATTAAGCTTTTATATAGATAAGCTTATTGATAATGTAACGGAATCCTCAGAAACCATGCACAGATCTCTCGCACTCCCAGAGGATCGACACCATATAGGTGTCGACACGTCAGCGTTGGCTCACCGTAACGCTGATCCCCCATGTTAAATAGTCTGCCCCGGAGAACCCAGCGGTTCTCCAAGAATCAGTCTCTGTATTCATCCAATATATTGTTCGCTTCCAGGCATCTTCGTCTTACCTAGTTGACAGGCCCTATCCTGTAAACACTAGAACCCTACTTCCTTACACGGTTTAATGCCTTATAACCCCGATCGAGTGCTTTCGAAGCTTAATATTCGCCTCCGTACGCCGACCCCCCTTAAGCCGGGATAGTAAGTGGTCGCCAAAAACGCCGTCGAACTACGTCTAATTACAAAAATAAGCTTCCTCAATTAAAGCTTTACTAAAGTAGGGCTTAAAAAGTCCACCGAGCCCGCTTAATTCTATGATAAATCAAGTTTTAAAAGCCTATTAAATCACGATATAATCGGCAGCTATTCTTAAGAAAGAAGTAAGCGATTTACGCGCTAAAAACGAGAAGAAGAAGCGAAAAAAGACTCGGTCTACAAGGCAAATACCTTCCGAAGAAGGCCTCTCAGTTTTAGAGGCCTCTGCCTTAATAGCGTAGCCAGAGCAAGTAGTTATAGCAGAAGGATCCCGTGAGGTAGGGCTAGCTCCTACACCTTCTTAGCCGCGTACGAGGGCAAAAACGAAGTGTAGTGTATGTGGAATTCAGGGTCATAGAATGACTACATGTCCTAATAGACCTCGAGTTTAACTTATTGAATTTAATGGTGTTTTGGTTGAGATAAATGCATTTAAAATGAATAGACCGGTGTAGGTGGCCCACTCGGTAGGGGTGGCCCACTCGGTAGGGAAATACGTTACCGAGCGGCCACCACCGAGTGGCCACCTTCCCTCCATGTAAATAATTAAAATGCAATTATTTTAACCAAAACGCCATTAAATTCAATCATATAAAAACGAATTCTATTAGGACATGTAGTCAATTTATGACCCTGAATCCCATATATACTGCGCTTCGGTAAGGCTCTCGTACGTGGCTGCAAAAGTGCCGGAGCCGATCCTGCCTCCCGAGGCATTTGTGCTAAAACTGCTTGCTCCGGCTGCATTGCTAATGTAGAAGCCTCTAAAACTGAGATGCCTTCTAGACCGAGTCATTTTTCGCTTCTTCGTCTCAGTTTTAGCGCGTAATTCGCTTACTTCTTTCTCGAGTGAAGCTGCCGATTGCATTGTGATTTGGCAGGTATCTGGGGACGGATTTTAGAACCATCGAGCTCTTTCCCTTTTTTGATCAATACAAACATCACAATCACATCCAAGCTCGCCCCGAGCTGAATGCGAATCTCTAGATATTGAAACTTACATTAAACAAATATCGTGTTTATTATCAGGGCATTATAATAGTCCTCTTCTTGGGGCTATATACTTTTTGTTGACCAAAGCGTAGAAGAAAATCAAACCCTCGGTTATTGTTTAAAATGTCTGCTACTATGGATTCAATGATGTCTGGATCCAAGCCGCATACAAGCACTGCTGATGGAAACAAACCCCACGAAACTGTTCAAAGAGACTGTTCTAACGAGGCCGAATATAGTTCCCTGAACCTTGAATCCCTAGCGAGTAAAGCTTTCGGGGTGTCACATTCAACGACCTTGCCTGCTTGAAGGACAGCAACACGTTCGAAACGATCAATATAGGCAAACCGATGTACAATCGCAATGATAGTACGGTCGGCAAACTCCTCATCTATCACTTTTTGCATCATTCTTTCAGTCTCTGTATCGACGCTAAACGTACCCGGCGATTAGCAACAGCAGAGTAAAATAAATGTAAGGGACAAGTGAACAAAAATAATGAAAGAGAAAACTTACGAACTTGTCGCTTCATCAAGAATGAGAATCGGACTGGCTGATGTCAACGATCGTGCCAGTGCCAATAACTGTCTTTCTCCAGCTGACCAGTTCGAAGGCTGGAGATCGGCATCCAGACCGCCATTACGGGAAATCTTTTCCCAAAGGCCAACCTTGTGCAGCGCAGGCTCGATCAAACTGTCTCTCGCGATCATGGCCGGACTGAGGTTGAATCTCACGGTTCCCGGGACAAAGAATGGATCTTGTGGGATGGCATTGATTCTCGAGCGGACATCACTGGGCTGTAAGCTCGACAGGTCGCGGCCATCGATAGAGACATTCCCTGATCGAACATCTATCATTTGGAGCAGTGCCAAAACCAGCGATGTCTTGCCGCTTCCCGATGAACCGCAGATCGCAAGCTTTTCTTTCGATTTGATTGTGAGGTTAATATTCGCGAGCGCTGGAGGCTTGTTCCAACTGTAAATGATGCAGGTGTTAGTGCTGCCAACTGAGATTTTGGATACGAGAGTGCAAAGGGGCTCACAAACCCATAAAAAGCAGTAACTTGATCAAAGACAATAACACCTCGACTGGGCCAGTTATGAAGAGACGGGGTCACCACCCAAGGACGGTGTTCAGATGGGGTTGTATCTTGAAATTGTTGCACGCGTTTGACTGCACCCATGGAGGTCTCAAGTTGCGTCCATGAGGATATTGCCTGTGCTAAGGCGTCATTGAGAGTGAGAACCAGATTCAAGCCGACACCGATCTCCGCAGGACTGAACTTGTCGTTGAAAAATGTGGCGATGGAGACAAGCACCACAGCCATCACAGCCACCACAAGATCAAGAACAAATGCCAGCCACTTTTGAATGGACAGAAGCGAGTAATACGGTCGTTGTGAAGTATTTATATGTTCATCACATGTCTTCTGGAATTGGCCCTGCCACCGATATGCCTTGATTGTAGAAATTCCTGCGATCGTTTCGCAAAAGTGTGTGTATAGTGGTGATTTTGCTTCTATATCGAGAAGTCGGACTTGCCTTGATGTCCTGAGATAGTACCGTTGGATGGACCAAATGACGAGTAAAAGGAAAGGCATTGTGATAGCGAAGTATTTGCCGACCACACAAAGGAGTATTGCCTTGACTAGACAGAGGGAAGCGGCTATTGAAGAGATGGGTTTTTCTTAGACACAGGAAGTGCTGGTGGTGGACGGATGGAATAGGCAACATACCTCCGGCGAAGCCAATCGCAAACATTGGAAGCTTCATATCAATGAGGTCCATGTCCTGGTTGAATCGATTGGCTATCGTGCCACTATCAGTGGACGAGAAGAAACTCCACGGGGCATTCAGAGTGGTTTTTAAGAGATCCGAGTGCAATGCATAAGCTGTATTGTTTATGATCCCGATGATGAGTACACTGTTTGGGTATCAGCGACAGATATTCAGTTGTCAAATAGCAGCACTCACTAGCAACTCGCGACGTAAAACCCTATATTCAAAATGACGAAAACAGTGTAAACTCCAAGATACAGCCCTGGGTTTGAATTTGGTCGTTTGGCATTTGCCTCAGACCAGCGCTGGATCCAAATAGCTAGAACATGTAAGTCTCACTTCCCTTATGCGGAAGAAAGATATATCACTTACTGACGATATTAGCAAACAGGGCACTGGATAGACAGCATAATAGAAAGCACGCAATTTTCCATCTACCTGCTCGGTTGATATAGTACCGGTATGTGCTCCAGCTGCCATCAGACCTGGAATTATCTTGTTCTGGATCCAATGTTGGATATGAAGGCGTTGTTTGCTTCGGCCTGGCCCTGGCTCCAGCTATGACTGTAATGTCATCAGTGGCTACCCCAGATTTATCGCCCATGCGCTCCATGATTTCAGTCATTTCTGAAGTCATCCAGCGGGCGATTGCTGGCACTCGCGATATCACATCCTCGTAGGATCCAGAGTCAGCAATTGACCCTCCCTGAAGAACGACCACATGATCGACAAATGGAGGCACTAAACAGTATTGATTAGCCATACTGCAGAGACAAAATGCTGTCAATAAGGAAGAGGAAATCATACCCGCATGAGCAGTGATTATGACAGAAACCCCTGCTTTTCGACAATAGCCATTGTCCCCAAAAATGTTCTCTTCAACAAGTCTTGCATTTTCTGAATCCAAGCCACTCCAGACTTCATCGAGGATTAAAAGCGGTGACCGGGAATAAAGAGCTCGAGCAAGGGCCTGGTGGAAACGGAGCATTGTTAGACAGCAGCATTGCTGGTAATTTACTATCATTGTAGACTTACGACTCGCTTCTTCTGCCCTCCACTCAAGGAACCCCCATTAGTACCCGCCAGGTGCAAATCGCCCGCAGGAAAGGCTTCGAGGTCAGACGTGAGGGCAGCCAATGAAAGACAGAATGTATACCAGTTTTTGTCAAAGTGACCATTTACACCAATAATATTGTGTCTGATAGTGTCATTGAGAATCCATGGCGATTGCGCACAATATCCTACAGGGCAAAGTGGCACGTGAGGAGTGCCATTAACAATCGCAGCATCACCCATGATGCTACAAACCAGTGTGGACTTGCCGGAGCTGGATGGGCCAACTATAGCAGTGATTCCCTTGTTAATGGTCAGGTTGAGATCCTGGAAGATCGGGTCAGAACCCAGCGACCAGGAAATGTCAACGCCTTCCATTGACAGGAGAACCCCATCTTCAGGTTGAGCTTTCGTATGTACAGCGGAGAGATTGTGTGCTTTTGGCGACACCAGTTGGTTAATATGGCGCACCGAATCCTCGCTTGTCCGACCGTCCACTTTTTCTGGGCCCCGATCAGTTTCGGAAAGATAATTCTCGATTCTGATCAGACAACCCAAACATTGTGCAAACTGCGGCAACGATTGGATGAACGTTAGTAGATGGCCCGTCAGGATAGAAATTAGCGATAATGATGTGAAGGCTTTGTCGGCGAGTAGCGAGCTACTTTGAGTTTCAAGGGAGATAATCGCATAAACCAGAAATGTCGCATAAGGAGCAAAGTCCGCCGGTAAATTCGCTGTTCGTGCCCACTGTCAATATTGTTTTGCTTCATGCTGTATGATGGGGACTTACAAAGTGTGACAGTGCATATTAAGAGCTTGCGAAAGATCTCCGATGTCTTCAACTCCACTTCTCGTAGATTGGAAACCATTGTATCGAAAGTCCCAGTCAACCCAAGCATTTTTATGGACTTCATGTTCCACAGCATCTTTAGAGTTGTCGTCATTCGCTGTTGAACTCGACCGACCCATTGCTTCTGTGCGGGAACGATACGCTTGGATACAGGAATTGTGCCCAATATACATACTGCTTATTTCACAGCACCGGTCAGCGTGCAGTTTATGATGAGTGAGGATGATATCATGAACAAACCTAGGGAGACAACTGTCGGCACCACACACGTCACACCAACCTGCCGCTCCAAAAGGTAAACAGCCACCCCTATCTCGATGGCAGAAATCCAGCATTCATGGAATGCTTGCATACTGTTACATATGCGCTCCACGTCCGTTCCCATCAAAGTTATTGCCTGCGAGTCGCCAAGTTTGCTATTGTTCAATTTCGTTGTGCAAAGATAAATCATGGACATGAGGCCTGCGCGTGTCATAGTCATGATACGATTGACCAATCGCGCATAGACTGCCTTCGATACCTAAAATTACCACGTTAAAAAGCTCGATCTTTTGACACCGATTCTCGGTAGGACTTACAGCCATCCCGAGATATACCAACACAAAAGCTCCCACGAGCGCTTTGCCATAACTCTTTGTGGGTGGTGAAGACCTTTGCTCCGAAAGTTTGATCGCGGTTTGAATGAGAAAGGGTTGACAAAATGTGAAGCCACCGAAAATCAAACGTGGTGGGATACACGTCAGAATTTCTCGAGCGTAAGCAACAAATATCGCTTTCAGAAGGCGATAGCGCGGTCTACAACGACTCCAAGCCTTTTCTAACCGACTGCGGGCTTCGTCACCACCGAGTGAAGGGTCTAATTCGGGAAGATTTGAAACCTCGAGGATGCTGGAGTAACCCTGCCTCAGAGTGGGCAAGATCCAAACAAAGAGACCACGTCCCCAGAATCCAAGAGCTTCTTCCCTGAGGTATTTCGACTTCAACGAGCCAGCAGGGGTAAGCTTTCTCTCACATGATTCTAGAATGGCAACAAGTACAGTCAAAATATACTGCGCTGTCCACAGATTCCGCGGAAGATAAATGTCAGGACAAACCCAGAGTGAACGTAGTCGCGGAATGTAGATGATCACAAGAATGACATAGTAAATTTCAAGAAGTGAAGAAGCCCCAAACCGTTGTGCATCTAGAAACGACACCAATAGGGCTCCAGCTATGGCGATCGTACTGATGACTCCTGCCACCGTGGATATTGCCGTGTGCAACCGCTCATTTCGATTACCCACGATGGTATACACGATGTTCAAACTGCACAATGCACCGAGACAGGCCTAATAAGAGAGTAAGCAGTTAAACTCGTACTTTGCGGTTGGCGCTCACAATCTTGAAAACTCCCGACTTGTGGAAAAGCCTCTGCGCCGGGTGTCGCGAAAGATGTCGAATGCGGCCCGGAATGAGCAGTAAGAATATTATAGCTGGTGGAAGAATTAAGATTGCATCTTCGAACAAAAAAGTGAAGTCGAAATCTCGACAATGAACACTGACACGTGGGCCGAATAAGTTGTCACTACCAGGTGGACAGTTGGATCTGATGGTATATTCAGACATGGTCCAATCCACTAACTTGGCCCTGACTGGACACGACCTACTAGCTGGACCTTGTTAAAACTCATAGAAAATACAATATAGACTTAGCAAACTCTTCACTCTTTACAGAGAAATGTGGTAATAGAACGCATCCCACAATCTGCTACATATTTTGAGGTGCAATGCAAAATCACACCTTAGCTGTGCTGCTCGCCAAGCCAATATTAGGCACGGTCCACCCTATGCAAGGGATTGAAACCATGTCGATCACAAAAATTCCTGTAGAACGTGCATGAAGTCTTGACTGGAAGTGCTAGTTGCGGTCGTCTAATAATTCCTGCGTCATTGAAAAATCCACTTCCAAACTGAATGCATATGTAGTTACTTGTTGAGAATTGAGAAAACGCTCTTTAGGCTCGTTTATAACTTCACGACACTTTGTGGACCACTGCTCTACTATTGGACTAACTTGTTGGGATATCCTATATTTTTTAGGGCTCCTGTTGAGGTCAATATTGTCAAGTTTAGATATCACCAGGGTACAATGTACTAGGAACATATTCCTGCCTAGATATACATTGTACACGGTATCTAAAGAGTTTGAGTATACAGTGAGCTTCTACGTATTCACAATTAAACCAGCGTAAGCAAAAGACCCCAAAGAATACCAAACGCACGAACAAAGATCGATGCCCACAATATGTTAGGGATATGGTATTCAAGTCACATTCCAAGGTTTAACAGTGTCGCCAAATTTTCTCAGCGGGATTTAGACTACTCGTCGATGAAACTGTACCTAAATGATAATTCCACCACATAATTAATCCCTTGTGGGATGATGATCGTGATTTTTGTGTGGGTCACTGAGAACTTCTCCCTCCTGCATGTGATGCTCGCCCAATTTGGTACCAAGCTCGTAGTCCTGCTTTTTCCAAGGCGCAGGCCACACGAAAGCATCTTTAGGAGCCGATACTGCATCGAATTTATCGGCGTCAACGGCATTGTTGTGTTGCCAGTCCACCAGCGCATTGAAGTCGCGACATTTCCGATTCACGCTGAAGTCTGGCCATGGGGCCTGGCGACCTTCTACCCAGTCCAGGGTCAAAACCTCCGTATTTGCATTGCATTGGAGGTTTTGGAGAAGTATGTCGGTGCAATGACCAAGATGAATCCACCACATCTTATCCTTGGGATCCATCTCTGGTTCATAGCCCGGATAGTCCGCGAAGGCAGATTTGCGGAGTAAGTTTAGACAATGAATTTGCTACTCATTTTTCGTGTTAGCCACTGCAAGGTTTCTTTCTTGTGGCATCTCAATCGAAGATGCCAGGGACGAGAACAAGGGAAGATCTTACATGCATTACATCCAGCTGGACCATATATGCATCATCTCCCATTCCCCAGTACTCATCATCAAAGCGAGCAACCTTCTCAGGGTCTTTGCCTAGCTTGATTATTTGCTCCCGAGTGACAACATGTGTTAAGACCTTCTCATACTGATGCCAAGCTGCGTCATTTTCAGCACTGGGCTCCTGGCGGGCAATTGATATCTCTGGCAAAGGAAAGAGCGTTCCTTTCAGTGTCGTTTCATATCCTGGAATCTCTATATCATCAAGGATGGGTGCTGAAATGTAAAGAACCGTTGTCAAAATTGAGCAGTACGTTGATCAAGGCACAGAGACTTACACCACCATGACACTGGTCTGAGAATAGCATTTCTCTGGTCACTTGAGAAGCTTCTCTTGCCACTGAATACTAGAAAGATATTGATACTCAATATGACCACATTCGTAATCGTCAAGAAGATCCAGGCGGTGGAATGAGCCGGCTTTCGTGCAAGAGTCCTCTTTTTGAGAAGCTCTTTGGACTCAATACGATCCTCCTCGTCATTATCAATCTCGCTCCTGAGGGCATAAAATTCGGGCTCTCGGTGAAAAAGTTTCCAAAAATGTGAGAACCGCATTGTGCTTGCGCGGGGTGTGGTGGAGAGTCCGCCTTGGAAGGAATAATTAAAACAAAGAACAAGGAGCTCTCACACTGAAGATACCAGAGCGTACTGTATGGGGTATGGATTATTACGACAATTGGAGTCGATGCTGCCAAGGTATATTAGAAGGCATAACCATAGCATTATTCTGGAAATGATCGACGGCGCTCTGCGCCTATTGCATGAGTTACGCGCTGGGCTGAGCTGAAGATAAGCAATGCAGAGCGTGCATGCCTACTCTGTAAGCAGACTATTGAAATTGTGCATAATACTTGCTTTGGCAAAAACATTGAAACCGAATTTGGGTGAGCTGATCTCCTCGTAGGCGCTGGCCATTGGGAAATACTTCTTGGCATTGGTTCAATTTTACCCACTTTGGTTGGTAAGAGGGCTGATGGATCCATTTGATCCCAACCTATAAGCTATTGGAGTGACTTTGAACGGTCGTATCTAGCCTCATGGTGGTTTCTAGTGTTACATGGAACGTGCATACGGGGATGGCCAAGGGATGCAATCCTGAGCGAGCCGAATTCAATCTGCAGATATACATTTTGAAATCACATTTTCCTACTACTAGCGTATGCAGTGTAACGAGTTGTTTTGGGCTTCCTACCGGTTTCAGATAGATGGTCTTGCGACACCGATCAACTAAAGTCATCTATGTAGTTTTGATATTGTAAGAGAATGATCTACAAAACATCGGACACGAGGGCAGAATGAAGGAGCTATCCAAAATTACCAATTAACATGATTTCATCGCACGATAATTCGCTCAAGTCAATTTAACATGCAATTACGGTACAGTAACATACTTCCCGATGAAAGATGGCTGGCTGGAAGGCCGAGGATGCAAGGCAAGGTCAGCATATGCGGTAGGTAGCATCACCGTCGCAGGAGATCTACCATACTAACTGAGAAGAACGATGCGATAGAACTACCATGCAGATGATAGTTGGGTACAGTCTCAAGCCAGCTGATCACCACCAGCTTGGGTAGCCAGCGCCATGGTTGCATGAGAATTAGATGAGTTTACTACACCCAAACCAGCTGGGCACCACTGGAATGAGCAAAGACCCCCAGGATCATGGGTATTTTGGACGAATGAGCTCCGTGATTCAAGCCCGAGTATCTGACCGCCATTAGGATGATCAACAGGAGCCGGGATCATGATTGTTTGAATGTATAGAATGTCAAGTAGATGATAGTATCACTCAGGGGTCACGACTTATAAAGAGCCATGACCCTACTCAGGAAGATACGGCTCATAATTCGGAATCAATCTCTTATTATTTGCTCTTCTAGCTACTGAAAGCTTTATTCGACCTCAAGATGCACTTTTCTTATGTTGTTGGCCTCCTCGGAGCCATTGGTACCACGTTGGCGCTCCCGGTTTCCAACAATGACCAGCTAGAGTCGGCCCCTCGAGATGTTGATAAGCGCTTCTACTACACCAGCTACGATGGTCCCGAAAAGCGTGACGAGGACCTCGAGAAGCGTTTCTACTACACCCACTATGTGGCCCCCGAAAAGCGTGACGAGAACCTCGAGAAGCGTTTCTACTACACCCACTATGTGGCCCCCGAAAAGCGTGATGAGAACCTCGAGAAGCGTTTCTACTACACCCACTATGTGGCCCCCGAAAAGCGTGACGAGAACCTTGAGAAGCGTTTCTACTACACCAGCTACGAGGGTCCCCAAAAGCGGGACGAGGAAGCTACCAACAGTGTGTAACTGTCGTTCAATCGTACTACTGGCTATGAGAGCAGATAAAGGGCCCGTGGACGCTTGAAGCGAGCTGTATGCTTAGTTGTGAACGAAACGATTCCGACTCTTACCCTATCTTATCCAGCGAAGCTACGGGGATCTTGCACGACTTCCAGTATTGAGTTTGATTCGCAACTGGTTTGATTTTTCTAGCTCGTTGGTGCGCTTTTTATGTTTGCAGTGGTTGCTAGCCTACTCCAGTTTCAATTAATGTTTCGTTTGTTTTGAACGGTTTTACTTTGTCTATCTCGGGTTTCCAATACAATGGATATAAGTTGTCTTCCAGCCTGAGGGATTAATCAAACTCAATTTCTATAAACGGTAAAGAACAGTTTAAGATATTGATGTATTCCGCACTCCATACTGCAATATCAAAACAATGTCCTTTAGATAAAGTGGGGCGTAGTATCTAGAGTCATGCTTTTTTTATTAAAAAAAATAAGGTTCAACCAATAGGATCGCCCAACGGATCGGCCCGACCACCATGGTTACGCGACATGATCAGGCGGCAAGCTCCACGCCAAATTCTTTAATTATGCAAGGGGTTTCGCCGGGGTTTTGGAATATGATTTATCAGTCAGAATTGAAAGACAATGTAACATAATCACCGCTGATTACCTTGTGGCCTTTGAGATCGACTACCTCAATGCAGATACTCTTTTCTGCTTGTACGAAAACCCCGCACTAGCTGTGCATTTTGACAAACTCGTCATTCCAAGAGTTCCGTTTCCTAAACCACTACCTCCGTATTACCCTCGATGAGCATACCTAGCCCATCGCCAGAGCTTGGCCACCACTCTGATGGCGAGACTAGCCCGTTCCTCTCAAGGGAACCAAGCGACCCACTTGCCCCGAGTCAACCTGAGGATAGCGATGGCCAGAACTCAGGGCTGCCAAAAAGTACTCGTCTTCGCCTATTAATCACACTGATTGTGATATTATTATCATTTGAGATCGGTGGCCAACTGATCACTGGTCCGATGGTCCGGGTGATCGAGACAATCGCTTGCGATAACTACTGGCGTCGCCACGACCCAGCTCGGCTACCAGCGACAGGTCTTCTCCCAGAACATTTGTGCAAGATCGCACCGGTGCAAGTAGAAGTCGCGACGATCAAGGGATATTCCGACTTGCTAGAGGGTTTATTATGTTTGTTAATCTCACTCTGAAGAGAAAACCTCAGTACTGACATTGCCGAAAGGCGCAATCTGTGCCATTCCGTATGGAATTTTGGCAGATCGATATGGCCGCCGGCGAGCCATCCGCCTCACTGTTCCTGGATTCTTGCTCAATGCACTAATCACCAACTCTGTCTTGTGGTTCTCCAATGCTCTCCCTCTCCCGGCTATCTGGCTCGCAGCTTTCAGTTGGATTATAGGCGGCGGACCATCAGTGGCGCTCATCGTGATCTGGACCATGTTAGCTGATCTTACCACAGATGCGCAACGTGCAACGCTGTTCTTCCGAGTTGGACTCGTCAGTCAAATCGCGAGCTTTTTTGCTAGTGCAATTAGCTCTGGATTGATGACTGTGAACCCTTGGATACCCTTACTGGGTGGTTGTGGGACAGTCATGATTGGTCTATGTTGCGCACTTTCTCTTCCTGAGACGATGAACACAGTGTCAAAGACAGCAGAATCTGAGCAGCCATTGTCAGACGAGCCATTATCGACGTGCGAATGCTCTTTGGGTTCAGAGCCTGTACATCGCGTCCTGCTTAGCAAGATTGTCCGGCTCATTCGTCCTTACCTCTTTATCTTCAACCGCCGTCTACTTCTGCTTCTATTCTCCTTTGGCACAGTCCAGGTCGCGCAGACCTCTTCCTCGTTCTTGACCCAGTACATCTCCACACGCTTCACATTGACCTTGGCACGGGCTCATTTTCTTACTTCCTTCCACATGGCTATCACTATTCCCGTATTCCTCTTTTTGCTACCACTCCTGTCAAACAAAGTTTTGTATTCTCTGTCTCTGCCGAGGAGAGACCTCCAGGTCGCACGTTTTAGTGATATTGCTCTCATCTTGGGATCACTCGGCATTGGTCTCTCTCCCTCGATTGTATTATTGATTCCTAGCATATGCCTCCACGCCACTGGAGCTGGGTTTTCTATAGTCACACGGTCTCTCGTAACGGCTTTGGTCAAACGAGAGGAAACCGCGAGACTCTACTCAGCGATCGAATTGATGCAGATGATGGGAGGTGTACTTGGCAGTCTCTGTTTTACGAATGCTTTTAACTCGGGATTGAGGATGAGTGGAATAGGAGCTGGGCTGGTATGGATATTGGGAAGTCTGCTTTACGCACTGGTGGGTATTGCACTCGCGTTTGTTCGGGTATAAAATTTCTCACAACTTCATATTTCAACATATTTTCGATTGACTGCTGTCGGACTATTTCCCTTTCAGAGCTCGTTTTTCCATTTTCTTCAAGGCGCTATCTAAACTCTCCCGCGGCAAGGATAGCATGTCATTCGCGCTCTCCTCGTACTGCATATAATCCCCGCCATACCCATCGACACATGTAACGTACCCCATGAGCGTTGGAAGACCACTATAGTCCCGCCGAGACAGTTTCTCTGATGCCAGCTGTCTCTGCTCTCCGGCATCATGATAACTCACATCCCATTTAGCCTTTGTAAGACTTTCCACCGAAGACAAAATTTTATTCTGTGATACGTTGAAAGACTCGACAAACAGGTACTTGTTGACAATCTCGGCGGGGGCTGAAATGGCGTTTTTGACCGCGACAGCAACAGTGCTAAGCGTTGTAGTAGACCAGTGGTGATCACTATAATCCTTCAAGATCACGGCTTGCCTTTTTTGAAAATCAAAGCTTAAGAGATGGGGAATTGCGCTGAAACATCCTGTGTAAGCTCTTTGTCGTTGCTCCTCACAGGCGCCGTACATGGCACCGTTCATGTTTGCCGCTCCGGATGGAAGAATACTCACGTCTCGAAGAATGGCCCCGTCACAAAAGCGGTCCACTTCAATCCTTCGGTCTCCTTGCTCTGTAAATACTCAACAATTTGCTTTTTGTGGGTGAAGAAACAAGGTGGAAGCAATTGCGCCGCCCGCTCATTTCGTGTATCATGACCATACTCCGATGGCACAAAATGCTTCACTCCAGCCTTCACAGCGGCATCAATGATTGCCTTCTGCTGCAAAACAGCCTGGGTGGCGATCGCGCTGATAATCACATCTTGTCCTGTGAGTATTTTGACAAGGTTTGTATCGCTTGCGTCATAGTTGTTGACGCGGTGGACTGCAATGTGCTGTGGGAATTTACTGCAGTCCGATGAATCGCGACTCAAGATGGAAACCTGGAAATGGGGGTCGCTATCAATAGCCGACACCAGATGGGGTCCCAGGTTTCCAGTGGCGCCGACAATGATGACCTTTTGGGAAACAGATGACGAAGACATATTTTTATCCAATGTGAAGTACATGTTGAATGTGGGAGCGGCGCGGGGCATTTAATACGCAGCTCTTGTCAAGTCGAGAGATTTTCCCAGGTGCCTGCATCTCTTGCCCTTCTGACACACATTCGAACCGAAATCACATCATTGCGTTCGTTCACATCCTTGTCCGTTTTCCGTTTGGAGTTCCCAAAAAAAAAAAAAAAATTCATCAACCCTTGCATTTGGTGGTCTGCATATATTACCTTGGCGTGCTGCTCAGCTGAGTATTACAGCGACCCCACCTCAGCTTGGTTGCAATTGACTCTAGAAGACTCAAGATTCCAGGGGAAGAAGGATAAGGACTTGCAGGGTTACGAGCCTAAATCATCAATCGAAATCAGCCGGAGCAGACTTTCATCACCAAGTTCATGACTTTATTCATTCCCCATTTCATATGAAGACATTTCCAGATCTATGCGGCGCCGAGTCCCTTTGTCAGCTGCATTATCTCGATGAAGCCTTTCAGCTTTCACGACTTGAACTTGTAGCACGTGGCTGAAAGGTGCTTTGAGTTCTGTGGGACCAGTGTAGATTTTGACCTGTAGTTTTTGAACGTCGATCAGATATCGGTCTTGAAGTCCAGTTCTTTGGCAGAGTATTTGTATATCTGCTACTTTCTGGTTAGTTTGAATGATGCCTAGACCAGCGAATCCTTGGTCGTAGATAAAAAAGATCTCACTTCCAGCAACGGAAGATTGTTAGCATGCTACAACAGCCCTCGAAACCACACCATCTCTGGCAATGATGCGATGGCGGATGCGTTGAAAGAGCTGCTCGACGAGCAAGGAGTGTTTACCCGGAAGCTGAATGTCGAACATGCTACTCATTCTGCTCACATGGAGCAGTTCTCGGAGGAGTACAAAGGGCTCGTAGGTAGCTTGCTATCAAAGCATCTCTTGCGCTTTGAGCATCCCGTGCATATGTTTTCCACTCTCACGGGTCGCTTGCTGGATGATTCTTCTGTGCCTGAAATGGCTTCCCATTGGTGCGACAGCATGATGCGCCCTGTAAAGTTCACAGAGGCTGTTCTTCGATGTGCTGTGGTGCAACGCCGGGAGATATCTCCTCGGCTCAGGGTAGTCGGGTGGACGTTATTCTTGAAGTCGGCCCGCACCCAGCAATGCAAAGTGCAGTGAAGGACATCGTTGGTCCGGACTCCAGCATTCCATACTTGGGCACTCTGAAGCGTAAAGATACAGGACTGAATACACTGCTTGACACGATAGGAAGTCTGGTCAGCCGCGGTTCTCCTGTGAATCTGGACGAGGTCAATATGTCAACAAATCCGTCGGTTATGCCCAAGACCCGATGTGGATACTTGCTTGTTTTGGGAGGGCACGATCTCTGCGGGCCACGCTAAGGAGGACGCTAACCCCAACTGACTTAGCTACAGATCTTAAACGGATCGTGCCGCGGAGTCCGGATTTAATGAAATGGCGCTTGTAACACCGAAAGATCAGGAGCCAGGGCGAATGCGCCGTTTGCCACTCTGATTCGACAATCCTGGTCACCACCTAGATCATATCCAATACTATGCGAGCAGGGACAAACAAAGAAAATTCTCTTAGAATCGGGCTTTAGGGATATATCGGATTTAATGTAAAGGCTTGATTGACTTCATATGCAGGTACATCACAATCAACTTCTAAAATATAAACCCGCTTCTCACATTCATCTCCATCAACATTCTATCTTCTATCATTCAAACCTCCTACATGCTTCGCGTGCTCAGGGCAAACCGTCTTTTCAGTAGAAAAAAATCCCACGACAGCAATTTCCACCTCAACTCGTCGCACATCCACCATGGCCGGACAACACGAAGCTGCCATTCTCCCCCAGCAAGGCGGTCCCTTGTCTCTTGGCAAGCGTCCCACTCCCGAGCCCGGCCCGAACGATGTTCTCATCGAAGTCAAGGCCGTTGCCTTAAACCCCTGCGATCATTTCCAGCGTGATTATGGCATGCCTCCTGTGCCTATTTACCCCGCTATCATCGGATCCGACACTGCTGGCATTGTCACTAAGCTAGGCTCGAATATCACGACAGCCCCTAGACCAGGAAGTCGAGTCATTGCCTTTGCCTCATCATTCTACCAGAACGGCTCCCCCGATCACGGTTCCTTCCAGCAATACACTTTGGCCCAGTCCGAGGCTGTTATCCCACTTCCCGAGAGTCTCTCCTTCGAGGAAGGCGCAGTATTCCCTTTGGCCGTCCTGACTGCCTTAACTGCATGGACCACGATCGGCATTCCGCTCGACACCAAGTACACCCCCGCAGACAAACAGGCAGTCCTGATCTGGGGCGCATCGAGCAGTGTGGGTACCTTTGCTGTTCAATCAGCTAGGACACTCGGCTTCACCGTGTACGCCACGGCCAGTCCCAAGCACCATGACCTCGTCAAAAAGATTGGAGCCGATGCGGTTTTCGATTACAGGGCAAGCGATGTCGTCTCTCAGATCGTCAGTGCCGTAAAAAAGGATGGTGTTAAGCTGAACACTGCGCACTGCGTTGTCGATGGAGCTTTGCAGCCAACATTGGATATTCTGAAGGAGACCAAGGGAGATGCACCTGCCAAGGTCGCACACTCCCCCTTCTCCCAGAAGGTCACCCTACACTCGACAACACGCAGATTACTTTCAACTTCCCATCTATGGAGGAGGTCGCGAGAAGCAAGCACATTAACGAAGTTTTCAATGGATGGCTGAAGCCTGGCCTGGAGTCCGGCAAAGTAATTCCCAGCCCCAACATCCAGATTGAGGGTGGCGGCCTTGGAGGAATCCACGCAGCATTGGACAAGCTCAAGGCGGGTGTCAGTGGCACTAAGATTGTTGTGCCAGTCTAATAGATTACTGTTAAGATATATTACTTTTAAGAAGACTCTTCAAAATCCGAGACGTCCAGTCTTAGCTGTTTTATGTCGTGCTGGGCCATTCCAAGGTTAAATTGATGAACTAGAATGTTTTATTGGTTTACATAGCTGACAATCTAAGATCTATGTCAATATTTTGCCTCTTCATAATGCTGTAAAAAGTAGGTCGCAGATCTCAGTTTAAATACTCAAGTAAAGCACTTGAGAAGGGATTGAGAACCCGCAGCCCTTTGACCTCGACATGATCTACCAACACTATCTTCTTTGAAATTATCCATTCATTATAACTTTTATGTCCAACGTCTTTCATCTACAGTATACAGATCATTATTGTCAACAATTGCAAAATGCCACTCTAGCAGGAGGTTGGAATCACCATACATATATTCACATAGACATAGGTGAATGGTGGCTACGTCTGCCCTCAGCTTGAAAATTGCCATGTGGACTAGAGTTTCGGGAGAAAGCGTCTCTCCCGTACTCCCCACATACCAACCACCCCACTCAAGGTGAATTTCAATGGAGGGCAGCAAAGACAGCAAGGTTAACATGATAACAGGGTCTAAAGAGGATCTCATAAAATGTATAGAAAGAGAGAATAGATGAGGCTATCCTACAAATGCTGGTCTATCTAATTTGCATCTGGCCACATCGACAGAGGGGTCTGGCAGTGTCCTGACAAATAGACAGTGGTCTATCCGCTTGCGTTGAAAACAATCTTGATAACAGACATAGCTGTCCCAAGAGGCGTCACGACTGCCTTGACAGAATAGCGCGAATCCGCACGTTTGACCACATCAACCCAATCCTTCTCAGATCGCTCTGGTGCGTTCACCACTGTCATCATCTACATGGACCTGATAGTCGAAAGACGCTCCAACCACATGGGTCCCGATTGAATTATCTCAGGTCCGATGAAATCCGCGATCAATACGCGCGCACCATCCTTGAGCGCTGGCACTAGATTGCTCAGAATTAAGACGGCGTACTTGTCCGACCAGTCGTGCAAAATAGAGCGGAGGTAGACATCGCCATTTTGGTGCTTGTTTGGCTGCAGGATATCCTGCGCTTCGAAAGTGATCCGCGGCTTAAGCTCATCAGGAACGCCATCATGGAAGGACTTAAGGCCCTCAAAGTCCTGGACAACGAATTCCAGGTCAGGGAAGACCTTGGCCAATTCGATCGAGACAGGGCCTGCGGAGCCACCCACCTGTGCATCACATCCAAGTCAGCACAACTAAAACAAGATAAAAAAAAGGTGCAAATCACTCACATCAACCACATTAGCCTTACCCAGTCCAGCCCAGTCAAACGCTGCGTGCAAGTGGTGGTGCGTCTGCGGGTTACCGGCAGCCGCCAACCCTTGTTCTCGCCTTCGCCATCATTGGCAACGAAGTCCCAGTATGTGTGACCCTCGGGGAAGCCGAATGCACGGCCAATGGTGGAGTCGGCAGGCTCCTCGCTATCACCATAGTTTCGCAGAGTCTCCCCGAGCTGAGTATCGGCTTTCCAGACTTCATCCAGATTGAAGGAAACTCAGTCTCTGAGGACAGGGTTCCGGAGGAAGGCTGCTGAGGGCCCGGTATGAGCTACGTAGCCTGGACGGGGCTCGCGGAAGATACGAGAGGTCATGGCATGTCGGAGAATGCGATGCACACGGTACATAATCAGGATAAACCTCTTGTTACCTCTACTGAGTATCACTAAGTCAAATAGATCTTCTAGAGTAATACTTTGATTCCTCGGTCAATGAGAACAAGAAATGTAAGCCAGTCGTTCATGATTCTCTGTTGTCTATCTCTAGTTTAACAGAAGTTGAAGCAAAGGGACGAAAAGTCTCTAGACTAGCCGCCACTAGGAAGGAACCGTACTCAGAGAAAAAGAAAGAGGTTTTTTAAAACAGCACATATTCGTAGTTGTCTCCTAGCAGTTCTATACCATGCCGTGAATGTTTCGAAGATAGTAGGTATGCATACTTCTGGTTCCGGGATGGACTTTAGGAACCGGACGATGAAGTGCCAGGAACCAGACCCAGACCGGAACCAGTGACTGGGAACCCAGATTTCCCAGTTTTGTCCCAGTTTTGTCCCAATTTTGCATAAAATACTGCTGTGCTATAGTCTTGGCATGCATAAAATAGAAATTATATACTGATATTTACTCTCGTTTTAGTTTCGCTTTTGAGTTCAATTTGGATTCTACTTAATTAGATATGAAATTTTATGAAATCATAATGAAATAAGGCTTAGGACGTTTGGTCATTAGTATTTTACCCTAAAAACATTGGTTTAGATGTTAGAATGGTGGTGGTAGTTGATGTTTGATTATCTTATGAATGGGAGATATAGAAATATATAATTGTGGCCATATAGGGCCTACATATTTTTGAAACTACTAGGTGCTACTAGTAGACTTTCGATCTCTAACCGGATAGTTAACGTAATTCACCCCTGAGCTGCGCACACTACCGAGCTGCGCACCCCACCCGAAAAGCGTCAATTGATTAGTCATTATACACGTGACCGAACTAGAGCATATTCACTGTCTTGAGCCCGTGCTGACATCTACTCACTGATCCTAAGCCTGAGCGCCCTCATAAAGCGGCGGCAACCCAGATAGGAACTCGGCAGACATTATCCTGTCTATATAGATACATATACAATTCGGCCGAGACAATAGAGGATAATGTAAGTCAATGGCGACGAGAGTGGGGAGAATGTTGAGATCCCGGCACGTCATCATGCACTGCGATGGTGTAAATCTCGCCAATGAAATGCCTCAGATATCGCAACTGCGAGTATGCGACTGCGCAGCTATCAGATGCGAGGGGAACATGCTGGATTCGTGTGAAATGCTCCGAATGACGTGTAGGTACAAGCGGGGTGAACACATCTACAAGAAGTCGACATGTCCGAGTCACCTTAACCACACCCGTTACACACATACTGAGTACTCCTATACATATCATGGCTCTCGTGGATATTCCAGTTGGGGATGTCCCCTTCTCGAATATTAGAAATGTTCCCCAGTCAATCCAGGATACCCCCGACTTGAAGGGCGCGACTACCGTGACAGTGGACAGCGAGGTTAACACCTCACCGGAAGAAAAGAACTCCACGTTCCAGTTAGAGGAGCACCCAGTTGATGAAGTTAGACCCATCAAGGTGGGTATTATTGGAGCAGGCCTGGCAGGGATTACAGCAGGAGTGATGTTACCAGCGAAACTGCCTGGACTTGATCTGCAAATTTTTGATAAAAATGCCGATGTGGTATGTTACTTTGTTACTTGCTCTCTACATAAGCTAACCATGCTAATAGGGCGGAACATGGTATAACTTCTATCTTTTTAGCAAAGGAGCAAGTTGCTAACCCGTTGCACAGGTTTGAGAATACATACCCTGGTGTTCGTTGTGACATTCCTGCACATGTCTACCAGTCCAACATCTCGCCGAATACCCAATGGACGGAAGAGTTTGCCCAGGGAAAGGAAATTAGAGACTACTGGCAGGGAGTTGCACGCAAGCACAATGTCTACCAATATCTTCGCGCAGGGCGGAAAGTACAAAAGGCTGAATGGAACCCCGAGAAAGGGAAGTGGAAAGTTACCGTTGAGCACGTCGATGGGTCGAACAAGGTAGGAAATGCTACCTGGTAGTATTGAGGAAACAGCACTAATATGCAACAGGTCTATGAAGAAGAATTGGACGTCGTGATCAACGCCATTGGCCATTTCAATGCCTGGAAACTACCCGACTACGAGGGAATCAACAACTACAAAGGGGGGCTATTCCACTCTTCCAACTGGGATCCCAATGTCGACCTGAAAGGAAAGCGAGTGGCTCTCATCGGCAACGGCGCTTCTGGCTTGCAGGTTCTCCCATCAATCCAGCCGCTCGCTAGTCATGTCGACCATTACGCCCGGAACCCAACCTGGATCGCGGATTCATTCAGCAGCGGAAACGTCGGAGTCCGCCGGCTGGAGCCAAATCTATTCTCCGAGTCCCAACTGGAGACATTCAAAGACCCCAAAGCATACCTTGAGTACCGACGCGACGTCGAAAAAGGCTACTTCCAACGCTTCGGGGCAATCTTTAAAGACACACCGGAGAACCACGCTCTAAAAGAGAAATGGACCAACTTAATGCTTCAACGCATCAAAGACAAACCCGAACTAGGAGAAAAGATCGTCCCAGACTTCCCACCCAACTGCCGCCGCCCAACGCCAGGACCAGGCTACCTCGAAGCCCTATCCCAACCCAACGTCAGCTACATCCAAACCAAAATCAAGTACTTCACTCCAACAGGCATCGTCACAGAAGACGGCACAGAACGACAAGTAGACATAACAATCTGCGCAACAGGAGCAAACATAGACCACGCACCCCCATTTTCAATAATCGCCAACGGAATCGACCTAAAATCTGCCTGGAAGCGCAACGGCCACTTCGGCTTCCCATACTCCTACCTCGGCTTCGCAACACCAGGCTTCCCAAACCTCCTCTGGCTCGGCGGACCCTACTCCTCAGGCCACAGCGGCACAGTACCCAACAGCATCGAAAATCAAGTAACATACATCGCGAAAGTACTCCGCAAACTCCGCAGCCAGGGCATCAAATCAATGGCCCCATCCAAGGCAGCAGCGGATGACTTCGTCGAATACTGCGACAATTTCTACCCGCGGACTGTCTGGTCGGCGAATTGTAGCTCGTGGTATAATGGTGGCAAACCAGGGTCCAGGATTCATGGGTTATTCCCTGGCAGTGCATCGCATGCGAATTATATTCGGAGAGATCCGCGCTGGGAGGATTGGGAGTATTCTTATATTAATGCTAGTGGGAATCGGTTTGCTTGGTTTGGGAATGGGTGGACTACTAAGGAGATTACGCCTGGTGCGGAGTTGACGCCGCATTTGAGGTTACCGGAGGAGCTGGATTTGAGGTCTTATATGGAGGGTTGGTGGGATGTGTAACTTGCGTGGATGAGGTAGATTTGGTCCGAGGTACAAGTACAAAGAAATAACTGTATTGGTTCTTATTATCTGTCCAAACAAGTTAACGAGCAACATCAATATCGCAGTCGCTTGGATAGATGCAGCGCTCGAGTATATGGCAACAAAGAAGATCGCGTTACCATTTCTCGAGACTTGTCGGTTAAAGACTATGTAGGTGGCTCTTTTGTACGAGGTCACGGAAGGAGTCGCTATAGTGAAATAATTAATATTGAATACATTGGCATATAGGACAATAACAGTCGTAGGACTCTCCACACATCATCATCATCAAAGTGAAGCAAGCATTACCAAGTCAACATGACTCGCTTACTTGCTAGCATGCTCCACCACTTCAACAGTCTCCTTCTCATTCTCAAGGCCAGCCGGTGCCTCATCCCCAAACAAGATATCCATCTGTTCCAATGTCTTACCCCTCGTCTCGGGGAAGAAGAAGATATAAGACAACATAGCCACCAAATTAAAAACAAAGAAGACATAGAAATAGCGGAACCCAATAGTCGACAGCGCATTAGGCGAGAACTGCGCAAAGACCAAATTGATAGTCCAGTTCGTGAACGTGGTAATAGAGTTACCCTGGTTGCGCACATCAACAGGGAAAATCTCAGCAGGGTAAACCCAAGAGATGATACCGACGAATGTGTAGAAGAAACTAAACACGAAGTTCATGGCGACCATAGCCCGAAGCTGGTTCGTATTTTCTTCATTGAAATGCTGCGACATGGCAGCATTGCAGACGAGTGCAGCCGCCATACCCGCAGCCGAGAAGATGAGCGGCTTGATACGGCCGACACGCTCAAGAGCCCAGAGTCCACCTGTGCAATAGACGATTGACAGTGCGCCGCTGATACCGATGATCATGAGGGAAGTCTGGGTGTCGATTCCGAGGGAAGAGTAGATACGTGTGCCATAGTAGTTGATCACGTTGATACCGGATAGAGGGCCAAAGGCTTGCACGGCACAGCCGAGGATGAGACGGCGGCGCCAGGATGGTTTGCGGAGGATGGTTGTCCAGGAGACCTTGGTCTGAGCGCGCTCTGCTTGAATTGTCTCGCGGATTTCTTGGAATTCGAGCTCGATGTACTGTGTTTTCTCAGGGGTGCCGTCGCCGTGGAGGTTCTGGAGGGCGACGAGGGCTTCCTCGTGGCGGTCTTTTTCCATCAGCCAGCGGGGAGATTCGTTTAGGAATAGGACTCCACTGATGAGGGCTAGACTGGGGACACATTGGAAAGCGAGAGGAAAGCGCCCTAAGAGATGGATGTGAGCATGAAAGGCGATATGGTATATTCATAACGCATAAAAGCACTTACACTGGAACTCAGTTTCATTGAACGAACATCCATAACCCAACCACTGCGCAACCAAGAAACCCCAACTCAACATCCACTGCAACAATCCAGACATCATACCTCTGGACGAAGACTCGGCAATCTCACCGGCATACATGGGGATAACCGAAGTGAGCATACCAACGGCAGCGCCAGCAATAAAGCGGCCGATAATGAGCATAACCATATTAACGGCGCCAGCCTGCAACGCACATCCAAAGCAGGAGATACAGGCACCAGTGAAGACAGACCATTTACGGCCGAGTCGGTCACCGGTGAAGATGTTAATGATTGTTCCTAGGATGGCGCCCCCTTGGAAGGCTGAGACAATTCCGCCGGTTACTGTGTCGCTAGGGTTGGAGAAGTATTTTATGAATTGGGTTTGGCCAATTGTTGAGGTGATGATACCGCTGTCATAGCCGAAGAGGAAACCTGGGGTTGTTAGCTGTGATTCTTTGTGTCTAAAGACTGGATTGGATTGGGGTGTGTGGTTACCTCCAGTGGCTAGGAACACGGCCGTTAACAAGGTCTTGAGATTAGGCATGGTGTAAATTGCTATGGTAGAACCACTTCACAGTCTGGGGATATACCCCGTGGGGATCGACGTTATATAGACGTCCAACAGGAGGGTATAAAAGCTCTAGCCCTGGCATGACCCGTACCGGGGGTGTGGCCCGACGGGTTTTCCGGGATTCGCCACAGCGAAGCGAGATTCAAGCACAGACATTCGGTCTGATCTTTCCCGAAGACGGGGACTAGCTGGAATAAGCTCTTAAGGTCTTAGTCGGTGATTATTGCTGGTATGTTTATGGTTGTGGGGGTGGAGCATATGCCATTCTGGGAGTCCTTCATGACTGGTAATTTCTTATTTTCTCCCGGAATGTGGAGATGCGGGATTTAGCGAGTGTGATTCGGGATATCTCGGTATTAAAGTCCTTGATTCTAATATATTCCATTTCGGGATACATCTATAGTTGAATGTTTACAGTATACGATCCATGGGTAAGCGTTAAGTCCGCTCCTTCCACGGGAATTCTCTTTTCCTCCTTCTGACCATACTCGACTTTCTTCATATCACCCGGTAGTTTAACAGTAGCTGTCGTTCCAAAGGGCACAGTAAGATCCAAAGTCACAGAGGCCTCGGAGCGGGTGTACTCAATATCAATTAATCCATAAGGACAATCAACAGACCCCTTCACATGCTCAAACTCAGAGTTATAAGGAGGATTAAACTCGAAAGTGCGATATGCATCCGAAATAGGCTTCAGACCTAGAACAGCAGCGTAGAACCACTCATAGATTGTGCCCAGCATATCATGACATTTACTCCGGCATTCATCCTGCCAAAATTCAAGCAAAGTAGTCTCACCGCGGCGCAGGAAACGCATGTAGGATGGATGTTCTTCCTGTCTAGCCATTTGCAACACGAGATCAGGTCTCTTGGCATCCGCCAGAGTGTTGAAGAGGAAACGAAGGCCAATTTCACCAGCGCGGATCTTGCCGTCTGATACATCGTCCAGAAATGCGGCCATCACATCATTGTGGTGCTCGGCAGGCACAAGGCCAAATTGAAGAGCCATTGCTTGTGCGATGGCATCACGGTCTCGCTCGGGGTAGTTGTCAAGCGAGGTGTAATACGCGTAGGGACGAGATGGGTCATCAGTCACCAGGAGGTGGCGGTTGTAGATGGCATAGACGCGTGCAGCCCATTGAGTGAATTTCTCGGCTTCTTCGTGTTTTCCGAGCTCGCGAGCCATCATCTCAACGCATTGGAGGCAGCGGTAGTAAATGGCCGTTTCAATGTTGGCTTGGTTGTTGCCGAATGCAATGCCTCGGCCCCAGTCGCCAAGACCGTGCTCGATCAATCCACCTTTGCGCTCTTTGGTCTGCATGTACTCCATGTATCGGACAGCAGCTGGGTACACTTTTGGAATCACATGTGTAGATCCGTAGTACTGTCGCAGGATATCAGGAAGCAGACACAAGGCACAGCCCCAGGTGATGGTATCGTGCAGGGGACCACACATATAGCGGACCTCAGGTGCCATTGTTGGCACGAGGCCACTGGGCTCCTGGGTATCCAGGATATCATCAAGAATCTTGGTGTACAATGACTCCATATCGCGGATGTATTGTGTGGCAGGAGCCAGCAGGTGGGTGACTTCCAGCCAGCCGAATTTCTCGATCTGAGGGCAGTCCGTGTGGTAACTGAAAAGATTACTAGCGAATGACCAGTAGAGAGCGTTGAGCAATGAGTTGACATCTTCTTTGTCGGTTTTCATCGTTCCGAGCTTCTTGGCGGCAGATGAGATGTGACGACCAACTGCGGAATGAATGACTGGCATTTGATCACCGGCGTCCAACGATACGCCATCCACCTGAATGTACCTAGCACTGGTGAAGCTGAAGTCTGGCTCCCAGATCTCAGGTTTCCCAGTGCCAGCCAAGAAGATTCGGGAGAAGACACCCGTCTCAAATTCCTTGAATAGCGGATCAGGCATCAGAACGGTGCCATCTTCTCCTACAGTCTCGGAGTATCGAACAATAATTTCTGAACCTGCCGGGCCTTCCACTGCGATTTTGACCATGGTCGATGCATTCTGGCCGAGGTCGTAACAGACAGTCCCTTTCTTGGGACTGTATGTTCTAACCGGCTCAAATGTCTCATGGAGTACAACCGGAGGCTGAGTCTGGTAATAAATCTGACCTCTGGGTCCAGTGAGAGGCTTTACTGGCGCCCATTCCGCGTCATTGAATTCAGCACAATCCCAGCTTGAGGGATAAAGGCGCCGGTCATGCGTTTCAGATGCATAGATATTGGCCAAGGCGGTGGCACTCTTCCTGACTTTCCACGACGCATCCGAGATCAGAACAGTATGCTCTCCATCCTCGTCGAAAAGATGCAACTCGCCAAAGAAGCAAAGTTCATTCCCGTACCGAACATACGTGTTGTCCTCGTACATCGGCCAGAAGAAACGATCCTCGCCCTTGTCTCCGGCGTAGAAACCGTTGCCCAGATGAACACCCAGGGCATTTTGGCCTGCAGCAAGCTGGTCTGTCACATCATAAGAAGTGAATTGAACTCGACGGTGGTAGTTGGTCCAGCCAGGATCGAGGCGATGGTCCGAAGCGGCCTGGCCATTAACAGTCATGTTGAAATGGCCAAGACCAGATGCGAACAGAATTGCCTTCGCCGGGCGTCGCACCAGTTCAAAGGATTTGCGGAGGTAAATCGGCTTGTCGCCTCCATCACCAATCCAAACCGCCTTCCAGCGATTTGCCTCGTCCTCGAACCAGGATCTGAAAATCAGACTGGTGTGAGGCATGTAGGTCTGGTTCATGCTATACGGTGGCAAAAGATGAGACCGCGGATAGGCTGTGAAAAAGTGGTTGACCGCACTGTGGTAGGTATTTCCAGCCTGATCCCACACTATGACCTTCCAAAAATGACTGCAGGTAGATTGGAACCCGTTGGGGGGTTGCAGATGATGTTTCTTTGTTCATTGCTCTCGATTCGCTGAGAGTCCCAGACTGTAGAGCAGTCCGGACTATCTGACTCAAGAGATTTGGCGTCTGTCATCACGACAATGCGATACGCGACTTGAACAGCATCTCGTTCGTTGCTCTCGATCGCCCAGTAGAAGCGGATCTCATCAGTATCAATTCCAAGGACTTCATGGAAACCATGAATACCACAGCGAGAGATCAGCATGGCGTAGAAATATGCTCGAGAGTGTACGAATGAACACAGCTCAAGTCAAGTCAAGTGTCAAAAGCAAATATCAAATCACCCATGGCCAGAAAGCCGCCACCCCAGGCCGAAAGCATCGGGTTTCCCGATTGGAAAAAAATCCGACAAAACAAATAAAAGCTCGCTCTTCTCTACACCGAGAAACCCCGCAAACGAGCCCCAGGATCAGACGGTGCCATGGGGGAGAAAGGTGAAGTCGGTCACTGGCCCATGCAAAGGATAGAGAACCGGCGGCGACTCTCCAATCAGAGCCTGAAAACGCCGCAGAAGTGGGGAAAGTTGTATAGACGAACATTAGCGTTTCGGCCACGCTAACAAATTCGGTGACTCGGCCACGGCCAGATTGTGTGGAGCCGAGGAGGCAGTTGAGTCGGGTGAGAGTTGTGAATACGAGGGTTCTCGGCAGGAACAGTTGGTGAACTCCCGTTTGCGTAGCTGACTACGTTCGCAGCTCTGTAGTCTCACCCTAACTACTTGTAATGACTTGTACTGAGATGAACATAACTTATTAATCGAAGCCAACTTGTTCTTAAGTCTGAGCTACCTAATTAGACTCCAACGAATATGGAGGAACCTCCTGGCCTTCTTTCCAGAAATACTTGGCTCCAGGATGCGCATCAGGGAGTCTCGCCTGGCCTTTCTTGCCATACATATTCTCCCGGAAAGTCCCTCCCTTAACCGCATAATCAGACCAGAACAACCCACGGCGCTGCAACTCAGGCAATAATAACCGAATAACATCATCAAACGTATCCGGCAAACTAGCATAACTCAAGTTGAACCCATCAACATCACCAACACTAACCCACCGCTCCAACTCATCCGCAACAGTCTTCACACTCCCAATAATCTTGACCCCATTCCCACCAAGAACCAAATATTCCGCAATAGTCTTCTTATCCCACTTCTGACCCTCAGTCCCAGGAACAGTACTCGCCCAGTGATTTACCATGCTCCGCACAGCAGGCAACTCCACAAACCGGAAGTCCTGATCATCATCATATGTCGACAGATCATACCCCGTCCAGCCACCAAACAGAGCAAGCGCACCCTCCCGATCACCATACGTCTTCAACACATCAAACTTGGCCTGCGCGGCTTCATCCGTCTCAGCAACAATGACCAACGCCCCGGCCACAATCTTGATATCCTGTGGATTCCGACCCAACTCGGCAGCCTGTTGCCGAATACTATCAACAGAGGGCCGAACAAGCTCCGGCTTCTGCGCATGCAGGAAAACAGCCTCGGCATGCTTCGCTGCGAAGGCCTTGCCAGCAGTGGATGTTCCCGCCTGAAGGATAAATGGCGTGCGCTGGGGACTAGGCTCACACAGATGCGGGCCGGGAACTTGGAAGTATTTCCCCTTGTGGTTGATCTGGCGGACTCCCTTTGGGTCGGCATACGGCTGGTTCTGGGAACCACCTTTTCCGAACGTCACAGCGTCGTCCCTCCACGACGCTTCCCACAGCTTGTACGTGACATCCAGGTACTCATCCGCAATGCGGTACCGCTCATCGTGCTCGACCTGCGTATCCAACCCGAAATTCCTCGCTGCCGAATCCAGATACGAGGTAACGATATTCCAACCAACGCGACCATTACTGAGATGATCAACCGTGGAGAATCGCCTTGCCAGTGCATAGGGGGCGTCATATGTCGTCGACGCGGTAACACCGAACCCAATATTCTCCGTCGCGGCCGCCATGGCAGGAATGCTATAGAGAGGATCATTGATTGGGAATTGGGCACCGGCCGGAATGGTAGGATCGAGGTTCGCAGGTCCCCTGTAGACATCGTAACCACCTAGGACATCGGCGAAGAAGATGGCGTGGAACTTTGCTTCTTCGAGTTTCTTTGCGAGGGCAATCCAGTGCTTGATGTTTTTGTAGTCGGCACCTTGGTCTGTTGGATAGCGGAATAGACCTGGGTTCAGGTGGCTTGGCGATTGCATTGCAAAGGCGTTGATTATGAGTTGTTTCTTTTCAGTCATTTTGGATGTATGTCCCGGTTAGGGCTTGGTTTGGGAGTGGAGGGTGGGAGGAGGATAGAATAGGAATTGAAGAGTCAATTGCAATTGCACTTGCAATACTGAAGATGAGGGGCATTTCATATATTTATTGTACTCGGTACCTGCATGTCACTTCAACCCCGCGCATGTTGCACCAAAAGACGTGAACTTGGAGTCTGATGGCGTCAGCAGTGGAGTAGCCAATGTTAGGACTTACTAATACATCTTGATAGGATTAATACGGAGCATTTGTTAGTAACTGATCGGATGTCTGTTCTCTCGTGCGAGTGCATGTCGTGATATCTCGACTGTGATATCTCGACTGTGGGGAGTTTGGCGTAGGATTGTCTTGTTGAGGACTAGTGCTAACCCACGTGGTATGAGGTGATTTCTATTGTTATTTGTTGAGTTAGAGCTGGAAGCTGTCAGTTTCTTGGTAGAGAGCTTTTCAGTACATACAATATCGAAATATTGTTATTGTTTTTCTATGCAGCGTAGGCATACCGTGATTGTGCATATATATCTTCCAGGCCGCACGCCGACTTGGGTCACCAATTCAAACAGGCTTGGACTGCAGTAACGTTATATGGAATTAGTACTTAAAAAAGAAAAAAATAGGAGGAAATGTTGTACTAGAAATCGTCATAATGACTATATTATCGGTCGAAGACAAAAAAAAAATAAAACAAAAAGAAATGTGCATCATCCGTGAATCGAACACGGGCCTCGTCGATGGCAACGACGAATTCTACCACTAGACCAATGATGCTGGTTGATATATGGTTGGCCACTAAGTTGCTATATAGACCAACTGTACCCAATGTCCTTCATAGGAAGGCTATGACTGTCAAGACTTTGTTATCTATTCCGACCACCTTGGATGGTACAATATTATACTCAAACCCCAGTGAGTTGCCTGACATATACACAGCCCCGGCAACTAACAAAGGTACCCAAACTTCTGTGTCAGCACTGCCTCGCCAATACGATGATCCCGCCCAAGCACCAAGAGTTGGGGGCCAATGGATAAAGACAAACAAGTCACAAGCACCAGGTGGCGTGAGCTATAGAGTGGTTAGCCGGATGTAGCTCGTTCTCGCGCTCGCGTTCGGAGAAATGTGGATTGCCCGAATCTGCCTTGTTCCCCCTGCGCCCTTGCGCCCTGGTGGGCCGCTAGAAAACATCTGGAAAGTGGTATGACGATGCCGAGATATTTACAATGTACATCAGAATGTGCATACGAATATGCAATAGGGAATAGGAATGCAAGGATTAAAGGTATACTAGTTACCCTCTAGATACATGTATAGGCGTAGTCAACTAACTTATAAGTTACGTTAACTTAGTATTCCATTATAGGAACTAGTTAAAGAGTCCATGACGACGACTCGGATAATCGGCTGCGGAGAGAACTCAGCCCTGAGGCTGAGGTTAATTATTCTCCACTGCGGAGTGCAGCTCCAAGTGCTCCCGGGATATTTACTTGGCTTTGACGTTGCATTTAAACCCTGTGATCCCCTCCCTCCCTCTTTCCTCTATCTTCAACCTCCCGACTTCTCAACTCACTATACATCATGTCTACAAACGGCGCCGGTGCTAGCAAGGCCCCAGAGAACCCCCAGGGTCCCCAGCACCTGATAAATGTCCAGCCTGCCCGCATGGGTGATCTGCAGCCCAAATACGCTGCACGGATTCAACATGATGATGACAACCCCGATGCCCACGGCTGGTATGCTGGCATGAGTAAGTTCGCGTCAACCTCCGTTTTATTCGCATCTAATCCTCCCTAGTCCACAGCTTGGGTGAATGTATCGGTTTCTTCGGAGCTATTCCCTGCTGTATCTGCTGCCCCAACCCCTTCAAGCCCGTCGACCAAGGCGCGGTCGGTCTCGTCTCGCGATTCGGACGGTAAGCTAAACCAAGTCGCCATTGTCGAACTATCACTGATATTTCTTAGCTTCGAGCGATCAGTCGATCCCGGCCTGGTCAAGGTCAACCCCCTCAGCGAGCACATCATCACAGTCGATGTCAAGATCCAAATCGTCGAAGTGCCCCGCCAGGTGTGCATGACCAAGGATAACGTGACCCTCAACCTGACCTCGGTCATCTACTACGAAGTCGTCTCCCCTCACAAGGCTGCCTTTGGTATCAGCAACGTCAGACAAGCGCTCATCGAGCGTACCCAAACCACCCTGCGCCATGTGATCGGCGCCCGCGTCCTCCAGGACGTGATCGAGCGTCGCGAGGAGATCGCGCAGTCGACATCGGAGATTATCGAAGAAGTCGCCGCCGGCTGGGGTGTGCAGGTCGAGTCCATGCTCATCAAGGATATCATCTTCAGCAGCGACCTGCAGGATTCACTCTCCATGGCCGCACAGTCCAAGCGAATCGGTGAGAGCAAGGTCATTGCCGCTCGTGCTGAAGTCGAATCTGCCAAGTTGATGCGCCAGGCTGCCGATATTCTGTCCTCTGCTCCTGCTATGCAGATCCGATACCTCGAGGCCATGCAAGCCATGGCGAAGACTGCCAACAGCAAGGTTATCTTCTTACCTGCCACGAACCAGACCGTGCAGAGCCAGCTCAACGTTGCCGACAACGCCGGCGAAGGCCCGAGCAACTACGGCACTATTTCCCAGGCCGATGATGGGTTCCAGCGTGCGATGAACGCTCGCGTTGTTGAGGACATCTAGTGGACATATGTCTCCGCTAATTAATTGGTCAATACCCTTTCGACATGAAGATATGACCTAGCCTTTTGATTTATGTTGTCCAAGCAGATGCCTGACATGGAGTTTCTATGCTATGTGTCTGCTTTGGGCTTTACAGTTTCTGTATTATGGCTGGACGCGACTGGATCTATGACGATACCCACCTTCTTTTTGATGCTCTTGCAGCACTTTAATGACTCTCTGGCTACATGCTTCAGTGCTTTATAACTAAGTTAGTATAATGCGAATTCAAATGCGATTTTAGTACTTGTTTCTTTTAGCCTGCCATACTAGACACAGAGAGATTAAAAATGCAAGTCTGCAGGGCTGAGACCTTTTTCCATCCAGTAGATCAAGATTTATCAACAAGATACGAGGAAGTCAAGATAACTGGCCATACGCCGGCTATCGTAAATAGATAGCTTAAAATAGCTAGTCAGTCTGAGAGGCCGTAAGGCATCTAATTGGACAATATGCACATATTATCCACCACTTAATTTCCCCGGCAAATAAGATATCCAAATGACTCGAAAACATTGCATGATACTGTGGCTGAAACGCACATAAATACCCGAACACATCACATTTATTGACATCACTTGCTTTTGAGCGGCTATAGGTCTTCTGCTACCCCGATATTTAGACCTTAGCCTACGATTCACTGCACTGTGACGTGTCCCACGTTGGCCAACGTGCTCAGACCCCTGAAGCTGGAGAATAAATAGGACTCTAATTGGCTGTTGGGTAAACATATCCGATGTTTTCCCATTGCCGAGTTGGCCCCCAAATTGGCCCCCCAACTCACGTCAATGCTGCAAATATTGGACTTTGAGCGGTCTCAGCGAACGAGTTAAAGCCAATCATGACTTGGCAAATTGCGTACTAAATTAGATACTAACTTTGCCCTAAATTTGTGGCTGTGAATCGAGCCTCAGAAACATGGTGAAGGTGAGAAATGACAGAATAAGCACTAAGAGTCAAGCAGTGGGGCTGGGGCTACTAAGTGAGTCTCTGTACATAAACTGCCCCTTTTCCCTCGGGCCAGCCCATTCAATTTATTTTGGTGATGAATTTTGACCTCTGAATAAAGTACTCGCGAACATGAGCGAAGCAGCTGTAGCTGTGACCGCCACGGCGACAACTCTGCCTACCGCCTCCACAAACACAATCACGACTTTGGCAATGACAACGGTGTTCACCCCACCAGCATCATGTTCAAGCTCGTGGACCTTTGAGCCGTCAGGCGCAAACAACATTGCAAGTGGCCTGCTACTGCAAAACGCCGCCGCGAGCGACAATGCCGATCCGAACTGTTTCCCCTCGGGATACACTCATTTCGGACGACAAATGGCATCCATTGCCTATAGCCCGGGTGTTTGTCCAGTTGGATATACCACCGCCAATCTAGTCATTCACAACCCCGTTACCACTGCTCAATGCTGTCTCTCGTACGTGATATTATCAACCACCTACACCGTGACTCCACAACTAACAAATCCAAAGCAACTTCGAATACCTGACCGTCTCCATGGGCGAAGATTCCACATACGCAGGATGCACCAGCATGCTCCCATCGGATAGTTCCACAATCGTGACCGTCCGCCAAGTATCAGGCGAAAGCACACAAGTCTCAGGCCCAATCACGATGTGGGCGCAACCGATCCAAATCCAACTGCAAGCCACAGACGCGAGTCTATTCACCACGGCAACATCAACATCAGCATCAGCCTCAAACTCCGCAACAGCAACAGCAACATCAACCTCTACATCAACCTCCACATCCGCCTCAGGAGCCCCATCCTCATCCTCAGGCTCCGGCCTCTCTCAAGGCGCCAGCATCGGAATCGGCGTCGGCGTCGGCGTAGGAGGCGCCCTCATAATCGCCGTCCTAGCATTCTGGTTCTTCCGCCGACGCCAGACAAAAAGAACATGGACCCGTCATACCAGCGCGCGGGGCATCCGGAGGCAAGTGAGCTCGGCGGAAGCTCGCAGCAGACGGCGCCTGAGAGTGTTGGTGCATACACGCGCTCGACTAATCCGTCTGAGTTGGCTGCGGATCAAGGGCCGAAGCCTGTGCATGAACTTTACGGTTGATTTTTGCCTTTCGAATTTGGTTTATACCCCTCTTTCCCCTTCTTACTTCTTGGGAGTTGATATGAGTTTTTATGGGTTGCATATGCATATACGCCCTCTGTTTTCTGCTGGAAGGCTTGGTTGTTTGGACCAGCCTTGGATTAATTTACTGCCCTGCATGAGATAAGCGATATATATACGCCCTTGGGCACTATGTACATAGAGCTTAGCCGTATGATAGATATTTAATGACCTTTTTTACTTTTAAGACATAAGAGACAATTGATGACAATGTTTACGGTGGTGTATAGATCTGATCATAAAGCGGCAAGACATTTTGACCAAAGAGGCAACCGCTATGCCGAAAGTAGCACAGGCGGTGGAGATATCCCCGCGGAGGCCAGCTCTCTCTCCAATTGACTTTGCACTGTTGCCAAACACATAACATGGCATCCTCAACATATAGCTCGAGCACTAGAGCAGGCATCAAGCCCTCCAACACACCCGATGTCTCCCCCAACTTCGCCGACCCGAACTTCGACCCAGCCGACTTCCTCAATGAATCCCTTTCACCACTGACTGTGGCTTCAGCACAACCCAATGCCTCTCGAACACCCGGCTCAGTACCTTTGACAGAGCTGTCCGCGCAGGTCCAGTCATTACTTTCCAAGGTCAACGCCCAAAACATCCGATTTTCGAGCACATTATCCCAGCTCACCGATGAGATCCTACGAAGCGGCGGACGGCTAGCCTATGAAGTCGAGGTACTACGAGGCGAGACAATCGGGCTATCCGAAACCCTGACCGAAGTCCTGCGCGACGATATCATAAAGTTCGTCCCAGAGGAAGATGTGCGCAAGATAGAACAAGCAGAGGATGCGCCAGCAACCCAAGACGAAGAGGCAGCAACCACAAACGAAAAGAAGACACTCGTACCCGCAGACCCCGAATACATAACAAACTTACGCACTCTGAACCAAGTCCGATCACGACTAGAAGATGTCGTCCAAACATTCGGCGACGCAATGGAATGGCCTCTCCCCCATCGGAGATCTCCTTCTCCTCGTCATTCATCTCCGTCTCGGGACCGGACCTCGACGCCGATGGTCGCGACCGCGAAGAAAAGGGCCAACAAATGATGAAGAAGCTACGGACAGAAGTGACAGAGCTACTGGACAGCGAGGGTGGCGGACAAGCCGGACTGGACGCCGCCAACCGGCGCGTCGAAGCTATTCGAGTGCTTGCGACTGTCTGGAATGGGTCGGCCGAGGAGAAAGCGCGCAATCGTTTTGTGGACAGCCTTGCTAAGATTGTGGAGGATCGCCGCCGCTCCTTGGAACAGCAGCAGGCTGCTACAGATCAAAATCAGCGTGGATCATCTAGGTCCAGGCCAGAGGCTAGGCGGGATAGTGATAGTGGTGCGCCGGCTGGTGGGCTGTTTCGCAATCTGCAGCGTCTTCGAGAAGAGATATACTTGGAGTGAAAGCAATGCCGTGTACATATCCACCTGTATAGTATTTTCAAGGATATCCCAATTCAATCACTTGTGTAAGCATCTGAGTTAGTAATAACGTGGCGGTCCTACCAACGGAGCAACACCGGAAACGTCGCGCCGATCGCAGCCCGTGGCCTCTCCACTTGAACCAAGACTAACGATTGCGTATGTCAATTAATTCTGGTTCCTGGACAACATGTTCCTTTCACCTCTCTGAGATATTAACTTCGCACTATGGCGTTAGTCGACGCGCCACTACCACAGTTCACGGATGCGAAGTCGAAGAAAACAACGGTGCTATGGCAGGTCTACCACCGTCCACGTGCACAGCGCAAGACAATTGCCCTGTCAGTCATCGCATTAATCTTCGTCTTTTATATGCTTCCCTCCTCTTCAAAGGTGAGTGGTGGTGTTCGGTGGAGGAATATCCCGCAACCGCTATGCTAGATATAGAGCTAACAACCCGCTAGCGACCTGAACCCGATTTCTGGACCAAATTCCCCTCACAACATCCTTTCCCTGAGCGCCCCGAAGATGCCCAGGTCATTCTCCCTCCCCGGACGGATATCAATATCAATCAGACTCTCCCGCATGATCTAGACAAGCCCAACCCACGCCTGCACCTATTGGTCCCCGCCTCGCAAGGCTCGCGTGGAGTATGTCGCACGCTCACATCGGCTATGATCCTGGGATATCCGCCACCAACACTAGTTGGTTATGGCCATGATGTACCCGGTGCGACTGAGACAGAGCGCATGGTTGAGCAGATCACACGTGCGCGCAACTACATCCGCGACAGCAAGACTGTACATGACCGCGACTTTGTGTTGATGGTGGATGGACTGGATACATTCTTCCAATTGCCACCGCAGGTCTTGGTTAAGCGGTTCCAGAATCTCATCCGGATCAACAACCAGAAACTGCAGGAGAAGTTTGGCTTTGCCAGATTGGACGGCCGGCCTGTGTCTGAGAATGTACAGAAGTACACTCAGCGGGTGCTGTTTGGTGCAAGCAAGATCTGCTTCCCGGGTTTGCAGGACGACCCCGGTTGCGCTTCTGTTCCTGAGTCTACTTTGCCTCCGGATGTGTACGGCTGGAAGACGGATTCCTACCCAGATGGACACCTGAACCGACCCAAGTGGTTGAACCCCGGAGCGGTAATTGGCCAAGCAGCCGATGTACGACTGATCTACGACGAAGTCCTCCGACTACTAGATCAAAGCACAAAGAAATCAGGCGACTACCAAGCCCTAACGCAGATCTACGGACGACAAGAAGTAATCCGAGAACTGGAGCGACGCCGCACAACCAACGGCGTCAAGGACTGGTTCTGTCGCCTAGTAGGCATATCCGACGCAGCCAACATAACAGGAATAAGCCTCCGACTCGAAACAGGCCACCGATACGAGTACGGCATAGGCGTGGACTTCGAATCACAACTCTTCTTCAACCAAATAATGTCCCGCAACGACGTCGAATGGGTCAAATACAACAACATCACCAAAATGTCCATGCTACAAGCCCAGCACGGCGTCCCACGCGAACACCGCCTCCTCCTCCCAACAGACATATCCACCCTCCCAAACCCATACAACCAATCCCGCTTCGCAAAAGAATCAACCCTACGCCCAGTCTGGAACGCCACACTAGACAAACTCCCCGACCCAAACAACACCTCCTGGCACAATTCCCCACTCATGACAAACGTCCACTCAGGCCACATCCCAGCCCTAGCCCATCTAAACGGCGACCCCAAGCTGCGGAATGCATGGTGGGAAAAGATGTGGTTCTACCCCTGGGCACGCGCCCTCCTGCGCAAGTACGTCCGCAACGCACACGGCTTCGACGCGGCGCAATCTGCGCTGCTGGGCGGGCAGGATTGGTTGGAGCTGCGTGGGGGCCGCGGTGGGATCTGGACGGATGATGAGAGTTGGATTACTCTTGCTGAGGTTTGTAATGGGCAGGAGAGGGATCTGTTTGATGATGGGCTTGGGCTTTGGTCTAAGGAGGTTGATGACCCTGATGAGCCGGTTTATAATCAGTATGGGAGTCTTATTTCTGGCAAGGAGGAGTTCTTTGTTTAGTTAGGGCTTATCCGGTACTCTCAGTGCCGAAGACTTCTGTTTTAATTCCTTTTTGATTTTGTTTTATACCAGGACTTGGATACGCATGTGTCCATGATCAAGACTGGATTTGCATGGACGCATATTCCCAGTCTCTGGCGTTTTCTCTTTTATTTTTTTGTTCTTTTCCTGCTTTTCTTTTCTTTGTTTTTGATTTAGGCCGCACGATACCACTACCCAGAAACAATACACCGATTTGATATCTACATGACGTTGTGTATAGATAGGTCGAAGGAGGTCTAAAAGCTAAATGGCTATAGAGACAAGAACTGTATTGTAGTCAAACGAAGTCTCGAAATTTTGCAATGGAGTCGTTTAAACTATATACTCCAGTTACCTCGTTACGTCAACCGCGGTTAATATGATGATATTCCTCTAATACAAGCAAGCTCTTGGTTTCCTACCACCTGCTATTACTTCTCAATTACCCTATTACCTGTGAAAATAGGCATGAGATTTTCCAGGTCTTCGTAATCTATCGGTTTTACTACAGTGATTACAGGTCAAGCAGGGACATCGATGATTAACTTGTGATAGAAACAGAACTTATCCAAGACGAAAATTGTACATAGGACCCAAAACATTTTCAATGTATCGCTCAAAAATTCACGTCCCTTTCATCAACTTACACCAGGGCACATCGGCCATCGCGGCGAGCCTTGGCCAGAATAGCCACACTTTCCTGAAACTGCTTATGGACCCGGTATTGCATTTCTTTATCGCGGTCCAACCCGCCTGCCGCCATCCGATTGCGCCAGTAACGATCCCGAGTGTGAATGTCTTCCCATACCATGTCAATCTTGTCGACCCAACTCTTTGTCTTAGGCCACTTCACGCTGCGAAGGTCCCCAGTCGGACAAGCTTGTAGGACGGTTGCCGCCCTTGCGCGCTCCGAGGGATCATCACTTTCCATCATTTTGTCCAGGTTATCCATAATAGCGGGGTCCAAGGAGAACCGGTGTGCAGCCCGAAGACGACTGGGGGTTTTCGGCTTGTGTTGTTCGGCAGTGCGGCGGGCTTTAGTCAGGGGGAGGGGCTTCTCTTGGATCGCGCACCCTGAGCCTTAGGGCCTGACGATTTGCCAGTGTCCAAAGACGACGCCTCCGAACCAGAGGATTCGGGGACTTCAAAATGTCCAGTTTGATTGAAGTTCTTCACGACGGGTTGTTTGACTGGGGTGGGGCCCTCTGAGCCCGATATATAAGGCGCCTCAAAGTGTCCAGATTGATTGAAGTTCTTCACGACGGGCTGTTTGACTGGGGTGGGCCCCTCTGAGCCCGATGAATAAGGCACCTCAAAGTGCCCAGCATGATTGAAATTGGCCCGAGCTTTCTTTGTGGCGGGTTTCTTAGAATCCGGGGACGTCTTCGCAGCATCTCGGCGTGCCTGTTCCTCGGCAGCCCATGCCTCGTCGTCATCGTCATAGGTGAAGTAATCATCATGCAAGCCGTAACTGCACCCTGGAGGATTCGGAATCACATCGGGGGAGGGTTGGCGTTTGCGCTTGTTTGAAGAATCAATTTCATTTTCATGTGATTGTTTTTGTTCAGGCGGAGCGGGGACTTTGCGGTGGCCTGGGGCGGTGCTTCCGGCGAAGCAACGGTCAAGAAGGGCTTCGTCGAAGCCGCGAGGATAGAGGTCATAGCGGCGGGATGGGTAGTAAGGACGAGCTTGTGTGCGACGGCGGACGCGAGGATTGCCAGCCTGTTGAGGTGTCACTGTATCTGGATTATCTTGTCGTGAGCGCGCGGCATAGTATGCCGAGGGGGCAGATGCAGGTGGGTCGGAAGAAATGTTTTGTTGAGCATGGGGGGTTTGAGGTTCTTCCACTGAGACGTGATGTGAGCTATTGAATGGATTTCATGAGTAGATGACTTACCAATGGGCTGCTCTGCAGCCTCTTCCGCGGGGGTTCCTCCCCACAGGCTGGTCCAACGACGAGTAACTGAATCAAACATCCATCTCCGCCAGCTTGTGTTTGGTTGTGTTGCAGCGGCAGCGGCAGCGGGTGCAGGGGCGGTAGGGGGAGGGGTCATGGGAGGAATGGTATCATCTGAATTGGGAGACAAGCGAGCCGTGTTTGTTGCGGCATCTGCCCGTTGCTGAGCAAGCAGCTCAGGAAGGCGAAAGATAGTTCGGTCTATCCGGCCATTGGCCTCGATTTGTCGGCGGCGAGTGCGATCTGCGTAGGTCTTCCGGGAGGCTCCACGGGGGCGGGGAGATGAGAGGATAGCCGGGGACGCGGTTGATGACTTCTGACGTTTGGCGGGTGACGATTCGGGCTGGTCTGGCTGGTACACCCGCTTGATGCCCCAGCGGTCTTGATAGTAAGTTAGCCCCTGCGTTTCCTTGATTTTGGTCCAAATGCCTGGGGGATCGGGAAGGTCCATGTTGTTCATGATGCGGTACTTGCGGTCCTCGCTGAAGGGTGAGAGGGGCTCAAGGACCCGCAAAGGACCGCCGCCAAAGAGCTTTTTGCGCAACAGCCACGACTTGGCCGATTTGGAGTTGCGGTCAATAACCTCACAGGCATCAACGAATTCATCGTCGTCTTCAAGAGAGGAGGGGGAGGGATGTTGGGGTTCGTCAAGGGGGATGGGGGAGGTTTGGGATGGGTGAATGCGCTCCTGGAGGCGCCGTTCCTCTGCAAGGCACACAAGAATGCGCCGTTGAAGGCGCACCTGTTCTAGGATGCGCGCGGCTTGGATGCGCTCTTCATTGCGTTGTTGGGCGCGCTGTTGGAACGGCGAAAATGGCTCTTCTTCTTCTTCGATTGTGAAGAGGGATGCCCCGAGGAGGGTTTCAGGCATCTCGGGGAAGTCTTGGGGTGTCACGGGGGTGTCCTGGGGTGCAAATTGGGGGTCCTGAGGGCGAATAGAGGAATCCAACTCACGGTCATCGGTAGGCTGAACCGCCGGGGTGGCGGCCAGTGGGCTGTGATCTTGGGAGACTACCAGGTGGGGGACTGGCGAAGCGGTAGTGGAGAGGATTTCGGGTTCAGGGCTTGGTGTTTTGGCCTTGCGGGCATTCTGTTCGAAGCATGTGTTAACTGGAGGTCGGACTGTCTGGATCCTATACTCACCTTCTTGCCGCGGGTCTTCTTGGTGACCTTCTTAGCAGGGCCTCTGGCCGTGGCAGTGGCCGGCTCGGTGGGCTGTGCAGAAGAAGCTCGCGTCTGGCGACGACGACGAGGGGGAGGAGGGGCCTGATTAGGGTCTGGCAGAACGTGGTTCGACCGGAGACGCATCTTGCGAGCGCGCGAGATACGAGAGAAATGTGGGTGGCGAGGGATGAACTGAAAATGGGGGGATGAGTATTGTGAAATCTTCAGAGCTGGAAAGCTGGAAAGCAGGAAGTCAAGATATGATCAGTCAGATGCCTGGAAGGCAAGATGTAAACATTTGAGCAGTCAAGAGTGAAAGCGTAATGTGGAAGCTGATCATGGAGAGAGGGAACAGGAAGAAGAAAAAAAGGCGCGAGAATCGCAAAAACGTAAACAAAGGGACGTGAAGGCGTGAAGAGGGTAGGTACACGGTTGTACTTGGTGTGTCCTCGCCTGGGTTGCTCTTTCCAACTTTGTAACTTTTGAAAATCGATGCTCCAGGCCGGCAGAATAATAAGGCGGTCAATTGTATTAAATGTCTCCCTTTCACATCATTCTCTACGGATGGATGCATTGGGGACGAATAAAGAAAATTGTGAAACCAATGCTATTTGTACAGATGCCTGTAAACGTAAAAATAAAGACATGGACCAACAAAGTACCCTCGCTAGCTCCAAGATAGATGATACAAGGTAATACGCTGATGTTCTATCTAAACCCAGCCAGACATGCAAGATGGGAATAGTGTAGATGCATCCTATTAAAACAAGACCCATTATAGAGCAATCTCTCCCTTCCAGGCAGCATCGGACAGTCCCAATGTTTCCATCAGGTTTTGCCAACGGGGACCTCCACGCTCCTTCTTGCGAATATACTGCAGCAACTTCTGTCGCTTGTGAATGAGTAGTTGCAGGTTACGCTTGTTGTGCTTGTCCTTGTTGGCGAATTCGAGGTGTCGGGAGAGGTTCATAATCTTCACAGTCAAGATCGCGGCTTGAACCTCCGGAGAGCCGGTGTCCGGTCCGACGCGAGGTGCTCGCTCTGGGTGAACGGGAGCAGACTCATGAGCCACAGCTGAAGGCTTTGGTGGGAGAACTGAGTCTGTGTAGTGTCTTCCGAAGGTCTCGATGCACTTCATGATGTTGAGACGCACTCGGTCCTTGGTGTTTCCATTGTTGAGGTTCACAATTCGATTGATCGCTTCTTGGGCATTTTGGTGCTCTTTGTTGTGGACATCGACTGCCTCCTTCTCGGCTTGAGGGTCGGCTGTGTCGCGGTCGGCCGCCTGGAGAGGTTCTGTCAAGTCCTTGGAGAAACCAAGGGCGGCATCCAGCTCATTCGAGTTCAGGTAATAGTTGAGGTCTGCATTCAGGGCAGAAGGAATGTGCGATTCGGTATGGATTGCTGTGATCTCTTGTATAAAGGGTGTCGGCCGGCTCTTCACGGGGTCGCCCAACGAGGATTCCCGTTCCTCCGCCAGGACTTTTTGGCGAGAAACATTGGCGGCTTTGCGCTGACGCGCCTGGGCCATCATGAAAGGGTCATGTTTCCTCCGAACTTGAGTCTTGCTAGATGCAGCACGGATAGATGTGTTGGCCGCGGTCAATGGGTTATATCCATAGGATGATCCTAAAGGCTTGGTTAGATGGCAAAAAATTGAGGTGACTGGAGTTGACAGTCATACCGGTGAAAGCCTTCAAAGTGGGCTGGACTGAAATGCGCGGAGGCATGCTGGATAATAGCTTGGGAGTAGATGATACACCAGTAGCACTCGACGTCTTTTCGCATCAACCTTTTGTCGGGAAATCTTGCGGCCGGAGGACAATCGCGCTAACCAATTTGGGACTTTTGTTGCCTCAGTCATTAATTATCACGGGACCTTGTCAGCGCCAAGGAATTCTTACATAACATTACACAGCCCTAGCCCTAGCGCACGCAAGCGAAAATTGCCCCGAATCGCGACGTGCAACAATTTCGCGGCTTGGCTTCGATCTTTTTCCCTCCATCACCACGACAAGAGCCAGACGATTGATCTTACATCCGTCAATCTATCAATCGCCCATCATGGCCCCCTCCCAGCTCCCCCCGGTTTTCAACCCTACCTCGCAGGACATTGAGATGCTCCTCGCTGCTCAGTGCCACCTTGGTTCCAAGAACCTTCAGGTGCACATGGAGCCCTACCTCTGGAAGCTCCGCCCCGACGGTGTCAACGTCCTGAACATTGGCAAGACCTGGTATGCGCGACAGTGTATCGACTCCTAACTGTACTTGTGTCTAATCTGTGTTGTGATGGAACAGGGAGAAGATCGTCCTGGCCGCCCGTATCATCGCCGCCATTGACAACCCCGCCGATGTCTGTGTCATCTCCGCTCGTCCCTACGGTCAGCGTGCCGTCCTGAAGTTCGCCTCCCACACCGGTGCCACCGCCATTGCCGGTCGTTTCACCCCCGGTAACTTCACCAACTACATCACCCGCTCTTTCAAGGAGCCCCGTCTCATCATCGTGACCGATCCTCGCACCGACGCCCAGGCTATCAAGGAGGCCAGCTACGTCAACATCCCCGTCATTGCCCTTTGCGACACTGACTCCCCCACCGACTTCGTCGACGTTGCCATCCCCACCAACAACAAGGGTCGCCACGCCATCGGTCTCGTCTGGTGGATGCTCGCCCGTGAGGTCCTCCGTCTCCGCGGTACCCTCGCTACCCGCGAGACCGAGTGGGACACCGTTGTTGACCTTTACTTCTACCGCGACCCCGAGGCCGAGGAGAACAAGGAGATCGCCGAAGAGGCCAAGGTTCCCGGTGCTGAGGAGATCGGTGCCGGTGCCGTCGAGTCCGGTTTCGCCGGTGAGAACTGGGACGCCTCCGCCCCCGGTGCTGGTAACCCCGGCACTGCCTTCGCCGCCGCCAGCGCTGCCACTGCTGCTGCTGGTGCCACCAGCTGGGAGGCTGACGGTGGTGACTGGGCCACCAGCACTGCTGCCCCTACCGGTGACTGGGCTGAGGCTCAGCCCGCCGCCGGTGAGGCCAAGTGGTAAATTGCTCCACCGTGACGAGGATAGTCGTTGAGAGGGGGAAGTTTGATCACATCAATAAAAAAATATCTGGCGATCCGGGGAGATTGACGATTTCCTGCGTCCCTGGAGACATGGGAATCGGAGAATGCTCTTGTTTTCTTTTCTACTTTTGAGTCCATTCATATGGTCTTCAATCCCCCGCAAATTCCCTTGACATGTCTATCCTAGTCTCTGTGCAATGTTCAAAAAACCAAAACTGAAAAACAGCAGAAGAAAACGAGCTTTCACCCGAACCCTTCAATTCTTTTGCCTCAGTGGCCTCACATCTTACCAGCACTTTTTTTTATTTCCTTGTTTTTTGCATCGGGGGGGAATAGCAACGTCAATCATTGACTGGCGCTTATGAGGGAAAGAGATCCAGTTGCTTTTGTTTACGAAGCTTCTGGGGGAAAGCCCTGTGCTGTCAATTCACAAGGTGGACTTAATCGTTACCTTGGTTTCGCCCTGCATGTTACTCTAGTAATCTGAAAAGGTTGTGCTTGGTATCATATCCGGTAAACTCGTAGTGTGAAAGAATGTGCATGGATGTAGACCCAAACATGTGCCGAGGACATCCACCTTGTATGTTTCTTGGCTCGGCCTCTTCGGGAGTTTGTATACCAGTTGACAGGCCAGCTTATGTGTATACCCGTTCCACGATGGCGGGCTGAGGGACTACGCCTACTATCGCCTCGTGGCTCTTTTTATAGCGCTGAACTAGTCTACGAGATAGTCTACATGGAAGTACGTGCATATAGAAAGGTCCATTGTTCAACGTAACCGATTGCAGACACGTACACTGGGTATGGAATACACAATAGAACTAGAATTAACTCATAAGATAACACACGAAGTACCAGGGCTCTGCCCACCCTTTTCAGTAGTCGTCATCGCCGCCAACCTTGCGAGATCTTCAAACGTCTCTGCAAGCAGCTCGCCTGTCACAGCCGAACACTCGGCATACCTATCACAACGAAGTTCTTGAGCAATGCGATAAGCCTAGACCCGTCAGTCAGTCATAGCAGAAACATGATTGACTGTTGATAGTAGCATACCTCTTGTGGATAGATGATTCCTGGGCCTTCTCTCCTCAGGTCCCTTTTCAGGCCCAGCAACATGATGGGTAGACGCTCGCCATGACCATACTGAAAGTATCGAGTGATATCGTTTCGCCACTGTATATCCCGGGCGGTTTTGATTAGACATGGTCTTTCAAGTATGTGTACAGGTTGTACGTACCGCTTTCAGTCCATCCAGTGTTTCTCTGTTGGAGATATCAAAGGCTAGAACAACCACGTCGGGTTTGAGGGTTGACCAATGCTGATTGGGATTAGATGTGTCGTATAGCTCTAGAGTAAATGTTTTCCTGGAGAACCGGATATCGTAAATGAAAGGCTGATCGCCATCTCGTAATAGTTCGAGAGTATTTGCGCTGGCACCCGGTTGCGTTGATGGCCTTCCATTTTTTAGACGGCTGTATGATATTAGTTTGTAAAGCGCACAGAAGTGTAAAAGGGTGTATATGCAGATATTACACGTAGAGATATCATGTTGAGGATAAGAATCAAGGATATATGGGGGGTAACAGGTGCGAGATATACTCACGCTAGGAATGTCGATTTACCACAACTAGGGTCTCCAAGAAGCAGCAAAGACACTGAGGTATCTGCATCAGGGAAATTGTCTTCCCCAGCCATGCTGTGACTGTGTATTCATGCGATTGATGCGCAGCTTTCTCAATATGGGTCAATTTGCGAGCATGCTAGACCGGTCAACCCAGCGATGTATAGAGAGTTTCTACCGCAAATATGACCATAGAGTGAGATATATCAGTACCTATTAGCAGTACCTATCCATGGACGATAATTGTGCTCCTTGGTTGTTTTAGACATCGACGAGGTGAACAGTTGAGGTCAGGTTCCAAGCTTGGCGAATCAGACCTACCAAGGTAAGAAAGTGTCCTACGCCTCCATTGTTGCAAGAATGCCCATTCTACTTCGAAAACAAGAGAGGAACTTGCCTAAAAGATGTATAGACCTACACATAATAGAAGATATACAACTGAATACATATGTATACATGGATTTCATAACTACTTGGCCGTGAAATCCATAAAATTACAGTAAGATACAGATATTAATTACAAAAATACACCAATGCTCCGCGGACTTTTTCAACTTCGAATTTTTCGAGCCCAACATCAATCCAAACTCGGGCCATATCGATCCCAGTCGCTGGACGTGGCATGTGGAAGTCGTCGGCAAGACTTCTCCCATTGAGTTGCAGACTTCAACAGACCCTTAAGCAAACGCGAACCCTCTGCCAGTCTCATACTCCCACGCCAGCCATGGCGGACGGCAAACAAGAACAACCCGACTACTCAGCCTGGAGTAACTCCAGCCTGATCGCCCGGATTACCGAGTTAGAGCGCCAACTCCACTCCCAGACAACGGAGTTCAAAGCACCAACAGAAAACTCGTCGCAGACACCCCGCTGTCCTCAAGCGCCCATCTCTACCGACGTCCATGAACCTGACATCCCACACCCAGCGACCTCCAAATCGACCAAGAAGCGGCCCTTGTCTCCCCCGGAAGGCGACATCACACACACTCGCGCGCCATCACGGGCTCTCAAAGCCGATCGCAACTTCGACCCCTCCAAGTACTCGACGCGGTACATTGCGCTCAAGTTTGCATACCTCGGCCAGCGATACAATGGACTCGAGCACACGAATGGAAATGTGACACCGCTGCCTACTGTTGAAGAGGTGATGTGGAAGGCATTGCGGCGCACACGTCTGATCTTCCCCGAAACGACCGATGGCAACGAGCCAGATGATGTCGAGCCGCGTGCTGTGCGACCTTACCATCTTTATTGGGATGGATGTGATTATTCCAAGGCAGGACGTACGGATCGGGGAGTAAGCGCGTTCGGACAAGTCATTGGGTTGAGAGTCCGTAGCTCGCGGCCTAAGCCTCAGCCCTCCGCGGAGGGTGATGCTCTACAAGGAGATGCGATGCAGATTGATTTAGGGTCTGGCGGGAAGCAGTGGGATGATATTGCCGATGAGACGAACTACGTACAAGTGCTGAACAGAGTGCTTCCGGAAGATATCCGTGTTCTGGCGTGGTGTCCTAACCCGCCGGAAGGGTTTAATGCTCGCTTCTCTTGCCGCGAACGTCAATACAGGTATTTCTTCACCAATCCTGCTTTCTCTCCGACACCTGGGGCACCTGGATTTGAGAACCGTGCACAAAACGGGAAAGGACCACGTGCGGAATACCGTGAGGGCTGGCTTGATATAGAGGCTATGCGCGAAGCAGCTAAGCATTTCGAGGGTACCCACGATTTCCGGAATTTCTGCAAGCTGGACACCAGCAAGCAGATTGAGAACTTTGAACGCGTTATCTTCCACTCCGACATTGAAGTTGTCAACCCCAAGACTAACCCGGTGGGTTACGTTGGACAACCCGGATTCCAGGCCAAAGAGGATTCCGCTCCTGAAGCGGATTTGACGCCTCCTTCCACGACCTCCCAGAACACTCCTCTTGTGTACTCTTTTACCCTGCATGGTTCTGCGTTTTTGTGGCACCAAGTGCGGCATATGGTTGCGATCTTGTTCCTGGTGGGACAAGGACTCGAGTCTCCATCCATTGTGCCTGAACTACTGGATATCGCGAAGAATCCCCGAAAGCCAACCTATGAAATGGCTGATGATGCTCCTCTTGTCCTGTGGGACTGTATCTTCCCTGATGAGGACTCGGGTAACCGTGTAGATGCCATGAACTGGATCTATGCTGGCGACACGCGGGGGAACAACAACACGACAGCCAAAGGCGATAGCAAGTTTGGGATGCGGGGAGCAGTCGACCGGCTCTGGTCAGTCTGGAGACAGCGCAAAATCGATGAAATCTTAGCGGGTGCTCTCCTGGACCTGGCTGTCAGCCAAGGTGACCAGAGTGCCGCGCAGAACACGGGCGGCGAATCATTAAACCATGGTGTTACCAAGAAGTCAAACAAGGGCGCAAAGATCTGGGTTGGCGGAAATGAGACTCGTCCACACGGAAAATATGTCCCCGTCAACGAGAAAGGCAAGATGGATACCGTGGAGGTTCAAAATGCTCGAGGACTTGTATCAAAGCAGCGCAAGCTTGCCAACAAAGAGGAGGCCGCGGCAAAGTTGGCCCAAGTCTAAGCCAACCGTACATAGTGTCTTAGACCTGAAGCATGACTATATGTCCATCTACACAACAAACGAATTCTTGTATAGAATCTTCACACATCATGACTTCGCATCGTAAAGACATCGTCGTGAACCTCTCCACACTTGCTCTAAGATTTCCCGCTTGGGCAACATGTGCTGGTTGAAAAGTCAGCTTGGACGTATAGTGCATTTAAAGTCACATACTGGAAAGACCACCAGCGCATCAGGCTCGCCTTCGACAATCACAGCCAAATAAAAGCGAACCTCGAAGCCCTTGAAAGCTTCATGGATGACAATGTCCTGGATTTGGGTGGTAGGAATAAACCTTGTTGCCGCAGTCGAAAGGTATGTTGAAGAGGATGTTGAGGTTTGGATTCCGAATCCTCGAATAACCAGGAGGGACTCCTCTGCAAGTCTTGGTTAGCTATACATGGATTGAATCATTTCAGCTTGCTATTTTCAACCTACCGGTATAGGTTCTTTTGAAGACACAGTATATGACCAATACTCCAGCTGCCACCATAGCCAGGGGGTTGTATAAGTCCACCAGACTACACACTTTGGCTCCGAGCGGACTGGACCACACGGCTGGCCAGCCTATCACCCTGCCACCCTCGTAGAAGAAAGTGTGCCGGAGTCGCGCAATCCCAGCGCCAATCACACAGAAGAAAAGAGCTGCACGTAGTAGTATTTGGAGACCGAATAAGATTTTGGCGGGGGAGTTCGATCGCTGCGGCGCATTAGAGACCGTGAAGGAGACGGTGGTCGGAGAGGGCCGACGGACTCTCAATCGGCCTGGCATTGTCTGTATTGAGAGGGGGAGGGGGAAGCGATATGATGACTTGGAGATTAATTGAGGAATTCCATTGCAGTGTCTAATTGAGACTTGGACTTAGATCAAGGACACAGAGACCACTTCTGGACGCGGGAGAAGCTCTTGAACAAACACACGCTAGTCCTATATTGGAGTAGCGCACTAGATGGCAGCTACATTCAACCACGTGACCCATCAGCTTCACCGTTTACATTAGGTCTGGGCTGTCGGGCAACAACGCAAATTATCTTCCCCTCATACAGCGCCATGGGTGACCGATCACGAAGCAGATCTCCCCGGCCAAGAGACAACGGCGACCGAGAGAGACCCAAAAAGTCTGGAGGTTTCCGGTGGAAAGACAAGAGCCGAACCGACGATTCCCGCGGCGATGAGCGCAGACTAGAACGCGGATATCGCGATCGACCACGATCACCGCGTCGCGACAGAGATGGAGACCGGTATGGAGGGCCCAGAGCTCGCAGCCGGGACCGTGATCAGCGACGACGCGATGATCGAGATGCGCCGCGCGAAGGCGGGGACAAGAAAGAAAAGAAGGAAAAGAAAGAGAAGAAGGAGAAGAAGCCCATCATGCCTCAATCCTCCGAGCCCATGATTGTCGTCCATGTCAATGACCGTCTGGGAACCAAAGCTGCGATCCCGTGTCTTGCTTCAGACCCGATCAGTACGTCCCTTGATCTATGGCTCCAACCGCCTCATACTGACTCTATATATAGAGCTTTTCAAGGCGCAAGTAGCTGCCCGAATCGGCCGCGAACCCCACGAAATACTTCTCAAACGCCAAGGCGAACGTCCGTTCAAAGATCAACTCACACTCGAGGACTATGGAGTGAGCAACGGAGTACAGCTTGATCTGTAAGCCTCACCACCCCCTCCCACTCAGACTGCAATGCTAACTCTGTTCCAGCGAGGTTGGAACCGGCGAATGAAGGATGGAGCAGACTTTACATGGAGCAGTTCTCTTTATATGGGTTTTTTCTAGTTACCACTGGACCGGAGCACAGGAGTAACGCATGGATACGCATGAATATGGGCTTTTTTTTCTGTCAGTTGCAAAGGAGGGAGTGTATATCTACAATGGAACATTTGTACCTGGCGACTACTGTTCCTGCACCGTTTTGCTGGCGTCGTGGGGGCGTCGTCACGACATGCGCCTTACCTCATGCGGGCTGAATGGTGCCTGAGGCCACAATCTCCACTCCAGGCTTTTTTCCATCGCGGGACTCACACGAGCGTCACCTTTCCTTTTTATGCCTTGGTCTCTCCAAACTCTCGGTCTTTGCTTCGCCATGAGGTAGCTGTTAGCCTCAATCTCAAGAACTCTTCTTTTGCTCTTTCATTTTCCCTTCGACTCGACCTTTCGCCCTCCCATCCCGCCCCAGATTTTCCTTCCCCTCCAACTTTCTCTGACCTCCACTTGATCCTCCCTCACCAATTCTTACGACCATTACACCTACACAACCAGACACCATGGTTCGCAATCTTGTTGTCATCGGAGGAAACTCCCACCCTCAGTTGACTCAGAATATCTGCGGTGTTCTCGGTATTCCTCCCGCGGAGGTTCTGCTCTCCAAATTTGCCGTCGGTGAGACTCGGGTTGAAGTTCAAGAGTCGGTCCGTGAGAAGGATGTCTACATCATCCAATCTGGCGGTGGCAAAGTCAACGACCACTTGCTAGAGCTCCTCATCACCATTTCCGCCTGCAAGACCGCCTCGGCACGACGAGTCACCGCCGTTCTCCCTCTCTTCCCATACTCCCGCCAAAGTGATATCCCATACGACAAGGCCGGTGCTCCTCTCATTAAGGCTGGTGCTCCTGGACGCCCCGCTAATGGTGGCTACACCTTCGAGAGCACCCCTCCCACTCCAGGCCCCGGGAAACCCGAAGGCCTCGGCTTGATGAATGGGATGGACAACCTCCAGAAGGGCCTGGCCAGAGCTCAGATCGAGGAAAGCTCTGGCAGTCCAGTGAAGCGCCGCAACGGTCTGCCCCGTAACGACACCACGGATTCCCTCAAGTCCGCCGCCAACGGAGCCGACGATGCTGCAAGCAATGCCTCCTCCAAGATCAACTCCTTCCAGCCACGACCCGGTTACAAGCAGTGGGTTGCGCAAGCCGGTACCCTGGTGGCGGACCTGCTTACCTGCGCCGGCGCCGATCACATCATCACCATGGATCTGCATGACCCGCAATACCAGGGATACTTTGATATCCCAGTCGACAACCTCTACGGTCGACCCCTCCTCAAGAGCTACATCCAGCGCAACATCCCCAACTACAAGCAGGCTGTTATTGTCAGCCCCGATGCCGGCGGTGCCAAGCGCGCTACTGCGATTGCGGACCAAATGGGCATGGAGTTTGCTTTGATTCACAAGGTCAGTGTTTGACACGATCCAGGAAATTATTTTCTTTGTTTAACAATTTCGCAGGAGCGCCGCCCTACCAAGATCACAGACCGCCAGAATGCCACCATGATGCTGGTCGGTGACGTCCGTGACCGGATAGCCATTTTGATCGATGACCTGGCGGACACCTCTAACACGATTACTCGGGCCGCCAAACTCCTCAAGAAGGAGGGCGCATCCCAAGTTTATGCCCTGGTCACCCATGGTATCTTGAGCGGCGACGCCATCGAGCGCATCAACGCTAGCGCCCTTGACAAGGTGGTGGTGACCAACAGCGTGGAGCAGCAGGAGCACCTGCGCCTGTGCCCCAAGCTTGAGGTCCTTGAAGTCGGCCACGTTTTCGCCGAGGTGAATCATTCGTCCGCTTTCTTCCGCGCCATACCTGCTAACCTATATCCAGGCTATCCGCCGTGTGCACCACGGTGAAAGTATCAGCGTTCTCTTCCAGTATGACTGATTGCTGATTTCTCCTTGTTCCGATATCCTGAAATTTCACCTCGACCTACCATCCTCCCCTCCCCTTTGTCATAGATCCAGGTTCGCAGTAGACTTGGTACCCTGAATTTGTTTTCGGTCTGATTTCTGCGTCTGTTGCTCTGGTTCTGGCTGGCTTCTCTTTTTTTTTGTCTCGAATATTTCGTGTTTTGTCTCTGCCACACCCTTTGCCATTTGCACATATGAGCCCTATTGAAACGAAATTGGAATCTTTCTTTTCAATCTGCATAAGCAACGGTCTCGGGTGAGACTATCGCGGTTAATTCCGCTGTCTGCTCCGCGGGGCCGTAAGATTTCGCGGTGTGGAGGCCGACCCATGTCATTTTTTCTCTCTCGCTTTGTCTCTTCTCGGTAAATTGTCTACTGAAGCTGAGGCTTTATTCTCGAGCATATTCATGAAAGAAACACACTATGTACTTATAGAACTAGATCCCGGGCTTACCCTGAGACAAGAATGTACACCAACAAAATGGATATCTGGTATATTTTGTCCTCTATATCACAAGATAGAGATAGCGCACATGCAAAAACGCCTGATACGAAATATAGAAAGAGCAAGGGAGCCGAAACCAACGATAACTGCTTTAAGCCTGGTCAAAGAGAAAGAGGTTGAGGCGCTCACGTTAAAGAACAAACTGGGTACTCGATACAACGAAAAGCAGCTGGCAGCAAAACCAAAATACCAGCCACGAAGATAGGTAAGTACAAAGAGGTGGAAGAAACAGGAAACATCATTGATCATGCCTAGATGAGCTTAAAACACGGAGATGAAGTTTCCAATTCTCTCCTTCTGGTTCTGAGCAATGCACTCCGAGATCCAGGTTACGTTTCGGATTTCCTGGGATGTGTTAGTCCGCGATCGACTATCAAAAAGAAGTCCTAGGATGACAATACTTACCTGTTCCTTTAGCTTCATCCAAGCATAGACTACCGCCGGAGTGAATTGACGGGTGAAGACCAGCTTTGACATATCCATCTCCTTTTGGTAGAAAAGGTCCTCTAGACTCTTGCCATCTGCAGGGCCGCCGCCCATACCACCCATACCGCCGCCTTGGCTCAGACCCACGGAATCGAAGAATGCCTTGTAATCGGCCACAGCGCTGACAGCCAGAGCGACACCCTCGACATCCTCGGCGCGGGACAACATCAGACTGCCCTCCGGATAGAGCTTTCCGAACTCCGGGTAGAGTTTCCTGCGCTCGAGCTTGGACAGCTCGGTGCCGAAGGAGTTGAGAGTGATGTTGATAGAGCGGCGGTCTGCCTCGAACTGCAGAATCTCAGCCATGACATCCTGCGTCGGCGTGCCGCTGAAGTCCGGGTGGGTATTGATGAAGTTGTAGAAGTCCTCCAAGTAGTTCTTGTATAGAGTGTTGCGGACGATTTCGATGTTCAGCTCGTCCAGATCCTGGTGGCTCAGACTATCCTTGAAGTAGGCGGCGAGTGGGGTCTCGATCAGGACCGAGTTGTAGAGTTCTTCGATGTTGGTTGCGACACATAGCACAGGCAGGGTCTCAAACCATCCTAGTGGGTGGCATCGTTCCAGGAGTTCCCGGGTGTCACGTTCGTGCAGAGTACCGGTGATCAGGAGGGCGATGTTGTCGATCATGTAGCCGTATGTCATGTATTCTAGGAATTTGGCCGATGAGCCCGTCGCTTGTGCAATCAGATACCGGAACTCAGAGACTAGTTTGTCGGTCATCCGACCCGCGAGGTCGGAGGTGGAGGGGTTCGGGGGTAGAGAGGCAAGGAAATCGCCATATGCGGGAGCGAGCTGGAGCTTGACATCTGCGGGGCTAAGTGTCAGACTCGATAGGGAACAATGGGATCGACAATAGAGACGATAGGATCACTATAGCGTACCGTCGATTGTTTCGCATTGGGCTAAGTTAGAATAGTTCTGGCCGCTCAACAGGCTATTCCGATATCCACGGACAATGCCCTCGACGTATCTGGGTAAATTAGCAATGGGCTATTGAGGGCAGGCAGCCAAATAAACCACATACCCGCCGTTAACATTAAAGAATAGGCCCTCCATTGTGAACGTAGAGAAGATGAATGGGGAAGCTGTTCTGTAGCTCTATTCGACCTGGACACGCACGGTATTACATAAGCCACCAGCCACACCGCTCAAGCCACTCATGTGGCTCCCGCTTTTGCACTTTTTTCTTCCGTGCAAAATTTCTAGATTTCTCCAACGACAACGGTGGTCGCCGCCTACGCCTAATTTTTCAGCCCTCGTTTTCTCGGTTCGGTTTTTTGTTCACTCACTATCTGAACGTTTTACTTGTTAAATTTTCGAACCCTGCACGCCGTGGCCGCGCACCATGACGCTTTTCATCCTCACTGAGACCAGCGCGGGCTATGCCCTGCTGAAGGCCAAGGACAAGAAGCTCCTCAAGCGTGATGATATCGCCGAGGAGGCCTCCACTGCTGAGGGTGTTTCCAATCTGTACGTCAATTGTTCCTTCCGGACGCTGTCAGGCAAATTCTGAGCGGGGATAAATCACCCGTTGAGCGGGCGCAAAAATTTCGTTATCGGCAACAATGTCACTAACACAACTTATAGTCTCAAGTTGAAGAGCTTCCAGAAGTTCGACAGTGCCGCCACAGCTCTGGAGGAGGCTGCCTCCATCATGGAGGGCAAGGTCACCCCCGTCTGGCCTCGCTCCTGGATGGCATCAAGGAGGAGAAGAAGGTCTCTCTGGCCGTTGCCGATGTCAAGCTCGGTGGGTAACCCTGATAGTATCTCATATCACATCCGGCTAACGTTGTCTTCTAAAGGCAATGCCATTAGCAAGCTTCCTGGCCTCGACATCCAGCTCGTCGCTGACTCCTCTACCAACGACATCTACCGTGCCATTCGTGAGCACCTCACCACTCTAATCCCCGGTCTGATGCCCAGTGACATGTCCACCATGTCCCTTGGTCTGTCCCACTCTCTCGCCCGTCACAAGCTCAAGTTCTCTCCCGACAAAATTGACACCATGATTGTCCAGGCTATTGGCCTTCTGGATGACCTCGACAAGGAGCTCAACACCTACGCTATGCGTGTCAAGGAATGGTATGGATGGCACTTCCCCGAGCTGGCTAAGATCCTCAACGACAACATTGCCTACGCCAAGCTCGTTCTGAAGATGGGTATGCGCTCCAACTGGGAGACCGCCGACCTTGCTGAGGTCCTCCCCGAGGAGATTGAGGGTGCTGTCAAGGCTGCTGCCGACCGCTCCATGGGTACCGAGATCAGCGAAGACGATCTCGAGAACATTCAGGCTCTCGCTGAGCAGGTCGTCGGCTTCGCTGAGTACCGCTCCCAGCTCGCTAGCTACCTGACCTCCCGTATGAACGCCATTGCCCCCAACCTGACTGCCCTTGTCGGTGATCTCGTTGGTGCCCGTCTCATTGCCCACGCCGGCAGCCTCACCAACCTCTCCAAGAGCCCTGCCAGTACCATCCAGATCCTGGGTGCCGAGAAGGCACTCTTCCGTGCCCTCAAGACCAAGCACGACACTCCCAAGTACGGTTTGATCTACCACGCTTCTCTGATTGGTCAGGCCACTGGCCGCAACAAGGGCAAGATGGCCCGTATTCTGGCCGCCAAGGCCTCTCTGGGTATCCGTGTCGACTCTCTCGCTGAGTGGGCCGACGATGTGACTGAGGAGGAGAAGGCCGCTCTCGGTAACGAGGCCCGCTTCAGCCTCGAGCGTAAGCTTGCTGGTATGGAGGGCAAGCCCATCAAGCCCCGCGGTGTTGCCATCGCCCCCAACGGTGCCGCCCAGCCCGAGAAGTTCGACCTGAAGGAGGCCCGCAAGTACAACCCCGATGCCGATGCCCTGGCTTCCGAGGAGCCCGCGTCCGCCAAGAAGAGCAAGAAGCAGAAGAAGCTCGTTGAGGAAGTCGAGGATGAGGAGATGGCTGATGCCGACTCTGATGAGGAGGACTCCGAGTCTGAGGACGAGTCTCCCAAAAAGAAGTCCAAGAAGAGCAAGGACTCAGACCTCGAGGCTCTGGCTGAGAAGGCCGGTCTCAGCGTGAAGCGATACCAGCGCAAGCTCGAGCGTGGTGAAATCACCTTTGACGCAGAGGGCAACCCCACATCAGTTAGCAAGAAGGACTTGAAGAAGGCTAAGAAGGAGTCCAAGAAGGCTAGCAAGGACGACAGCAAGAAGCGCAAGCGCTCCGAGGATGATGGCGAGAAGAAGAAGAAGAAGAGCAAGGGAGAGTAAGCGCATGTTTTCAAAAGTTTCTGCACTGTGACCGGATGGCATTCCTGGGATCTGTATGATATCACACTTTTCTTTTCATTTCTGTTTTTTGTTGATCTTCCTGTCGCTCGAATGTTTGGGGCATTTTAAAGGTTGATCTACCGGTCTTTCACTGGCGCAGAGGGTGCTCGTTAGGAACAAGGCAGTACAGTTTTAGCTGGAATAATCTGTTCATATTTTAGTACCGTGCCGTAGTCTTAGGTACTTATATGTGTACATGCATACGCCAGTTATAGATGTAGTAGCCCATATGTCCTTTCTCACAACTAGCCTCACTTTATACTTGAAGCTCAAAGTGATAATTTATGGAGCAAAAGATAAAGACACCGCCTATTTCTGCCGGCAGTTCAAACAATTTTCCTCCCACCACTCGAGTTACATGTCTAGCATCTACCTATCTTCCCATATTGAACTGGCAAAATGAGGGTAAGGCTTTCCAGGATAAAAATATGGATATATCCTGACTATATATTATAGATTATTGACCCTCAAACCGCCGTCCTGACCAATGTCGAGGTCCTGGCGTACCTAACTTCCAATCCACCCCGCCGGCCGCCAAACCCGCCACCAAACTCGCGCAATTGGGTCCCTAGCCCCGATCTCAGAGACCATAATACCGTCGTAAAGGAGGTAAGATATCCCAAGCTATTCCTCTAATCTCTTTTTTTGGGTATTGCGGCGCAACGCACCTGCCTCAAGGGAGCCGACATGAAGCGGCCTCGATAAAAAGCCGCGCCTTACCCCAATATCGCAAGAAAAGACAACCACAGCAGAAAACATCAGCTAATTCCCCTCCAGATCCACAATTATGCAAATCGTCTCTCTCCCCACCTTCTTAGATACCCCCGCTACACAGCCCGACCCTCATCCTCGCAGTCGCAAACACAAGCCGCCATGACCGGCACACTACCAGCCCAAACATCAATCACAGACCCCGATACAGCATCCCTTCCTCCGCCAATTCCCTCTACAGAACCAACACCCATGGACATCGCCCTGCGTGATCTAGTAACCCGCTTGCAGCCATACGGTCTAACAAAAGCTGAGGTCGTCATGATCTTGAATCTCGGTCTGGGCTTGAGTGCTACGCCTGAAGCTACCGACCAAGGTGGCGAGGTAGTCGTTAATGGTGACGGGGCTATGGAGGTGGATGAACAGAATGGGGATGGGCAGGCTGCGGAGGGCGAAGGCGAGGAAGAAGAGATGAGTCCTGCAGATTACACTGCTATGGTGTTGTTGGATGCTGTCGTTGAGGAGAGGGAGTTGAGACTTAATGATGAGGATGTAGCTGCTGTATTAGCTATCATTCGGGAGACGCTTACTGCAGATTATGAGAATATCAGAGGGTGAGAAGGTGTGAAGTTAATTTCGACAACTTTATTCCAAAAGAGATACCATTCCGCGTCTTGCAATTGTCATGGGCATTAATACTGAACGTCGATCACGTATCAACTGGAATGGGTCACATTGTTCTGACTTCCTTAGGCGATTTCTCGCTAGCTGCCAGCTGATGTATAGGACCTGTAATTCTTTGTTTCTCTTGCTTGCGGCCACAAGATCCAAATAAAGTCATAGGACATAACTCTTTCCACGCTCTCACCTATATATGACCTATACGATTTATCTGAGGCACTCAGAGATGGGCAAAAAGGAGGAAAAAGAGAGATATCAAAGTAGGGCAAAAACTATGCATGAACCGGTATACTCGCTTCAAGGCTCTCGTGTAGAGACCGTCGAATACTTCATCAAGGGTACTGTACAGGAATTCACGACTCCTGTTGTAGCACTTGGAACAAGACGAATAGCATCAACTTGAATCAAATCTTGACCTTAGCAGGCGCCGAAGTCATACGACCATGAACATAACTAATCCTCTGAAACTTCTTGATCGCGTCTCCCCAAAGCTCCTGACGGAGCAAGGCATATACCCTATATTCACAGAAATTAGTACATGCCAATCATCTACATATAACCTTCTGATGAAGTCAAAATCCAAAGAGTGAACATACCCCATCTTCGCCTTAGGCGCCCACTTCGCCCCCATCTCCAGAGCAACATGAAGCATCTCCTCAGGTTCAGCAGCAACATCTACAATCCCATCCTCCAAAGCCTCTTTGCCAGTCCATCTGTTTGCCTCAAGCAGCATCTTACGCGCAACTTGTGGGCGTAATTTTAGACGAGGTAGGGCACCGATTCCGTCAAAGTGCAGACCCAGGTTGACAGGAGGCATGGAGATGAAACCGCGACGGGAGTTCATGATTCGGTAGTCATGAGCTAGTGCTAGTGGACAGGCACCACCGAAGGTATGGCCCGTTAAAAGGGCGATTGTTGGGAATGGGAGGTCGAGAATTGTGTGGATGAGCTACGGGAATTTGATTAATTAGGGCTCTTGGTGGATACTGTGTTAACTATCCCATGGGGAGTATTGGATGAACTGACTGGATAGAAACCATCAGTGTTGGCAAATGGATTCTTATCTGATTCTTCTAATTCAAGTCCCTGTCATCTGTTAGTGCTTGTTCCAAGGTGATTCAGTTTAGACATCAGTTGTACCCACGGTGCACCAGAATTTAGTATCATTACCGCGCGTGATCACTGCTCCCTCAGAACCAGAGCCAAGGATATTCTCTACAGTGCGATATGCCCGAATCATTTCCTGACAATATGCTGAGTTGAGTCGATTCTCGGGTGGTTTCTGCATGGTGAGAATGAAGACATTGCCATGTCGTTCGAGGGATAGGTTGTTAAATGTTGGCATGCCTGCCATTTTGGTGAGTTTACAATGTCTCAAAGAGTGAGAAATAGATGATAGATGTATTGGGATCACCTATGCATAGCGGTACATAGATGTATGCTAAGCTGTCTTCTAGTTGTACGTTGATCCCCCGCATCCCCGGATCCCCACACTTGCTCTTACCGAAATTGACCGAGTGCCGGAACATGAGATACTATAGCAAGACATATTGACAGAACTGCACAGTGGCAACTCGGAAGATTGAAGTACTGTAGGTCCATCGGAAGTTGTTTTTACATTCAATGTTCTCCTCTGGTTGCTCTTGTAGAGCCTGTGTAGTCCATAGCATCTACCAAGTTATCTCACCATTCCAGTCGAGATCCTTGAATAGCCAATCTCCCATGCCCTGATATTGATCGTGAAAGAAGTCACCCGTCATGTGCTGCGGCATATCACCCATGACAAACCCAGTATTCGGGTCCAAGACCGTTGTAAGAGGCCGATACTCAGAAGGTATATCGCCCGGTACCCGGGACTCGGCCAAATGATCTATAGCATCCGATTCACCGAATGCTAGTGTGCCACTGCCATCGTTGCTCTCATTTTGTCCGACTTCCATGAAGCATGGCCATGCCCAGGAAAGCTCCGACCCGAATCCTTCGAAGTAGTGCCAGTATTCCCTTAAGAGCGTCATCGCCGGCACTTGACCTGGTGTTGCTATGCTTTGCTGCTTCTCGGCAATGCTCCTCAGTGCTCTGAGACTACCTTTTGCAGACGACCAGCGTTTTGCAAGTTCATCAAGGGCCAGATAGATTGTTTCCAAACTACCAGCCGCTTGCCCCCACAGGGAGGAAATATTTTTGCTTGAAAGCAGACCAATTCCAGCAGCTAGTAAATGAAAAGTGAAGATTGGACCCAGGAATTGGACCTCATCTCGAGCAAGGAAGTCTTCGAAGATCCCCGCTATAAATGAGGATGCCAGGATCACTGCCGAGGAAGGCAAGTTTCCAGAAATCGGCCGACACATGATTGCAAGACAAACGAAGTATGGGATGTGAAGCTGTCGCGCTTCAAAGTTGTACTGAGCCAGGCCTTTGGGTGAACCTGAGTCCCCTGGGCTGCTGTCACTGCGAAATAAGCGTAGGGACCGTGGGAGTTCTCTTGTCCATCGATATAACTGATTCTCGATGTTTTGTCGTACCTGACGCGTGAGAGTTTTGCGTCGACAGTGTTGGGTAAGATGGCCCAAGATTGAACTGATTTCCACATATGCGATAAATAGAGTGACATCCGAGCTCGAATCTTGAAAGTCCTCGAGACAGGGTGGTGCCAGCTCGCAATCTTCCATGTCAACCGCGAGCGGCCGACCCTGTCCGGCGGAAATCAAGCAGTCTCTAGCCTGTGTGGTATCAGTCTCTTGATCCAGATTCGCAAGCCAAAGGGAGTACCATGAAATAACTTACAAACAAAGTCCACCAGAGCCTGCGCCTCAAAGGAGCATCTCTTTTGTTAGTCGGTTCCTTATGCAGTCCAATCTGATGAGCCAAGCCAACCCCTACATATCGCCAAAACCCGCTAGTGTTGGTAGACACATGCTCCGGTCCTTCAGGATTATACCAATGCAAAATACAAACTGCAGCAACAACAGTCACTGGATTCCTCTCAAAACCAGACCAGAATAAAGCTTTTGCGCGGCGGTAAAACTGATGCGAAGATGCATATGCAGTGACAGCCGGCGCCGAGGTAACTCGACTTGCGGCAACGAAGATCGATTGAAGAAGTAGCATGGACGGTTTCTGAGAACCACTTTCTTCAAGCCAGCTGCGTTCGATGATTGGCATCCATGGTGAACATCGTTCCATGAATGTGTTGATTAGGCCGTCACGGATAGACCGTGGTGGTAGCTCAAAGGCGCCCTGCAATCGTAGCAGTTGGATATCATCTTCTGTGGGGCCGTCTGCCTCTCCTGTCGGGTACGATCTGGCTTGGTCCTCGTTGATGGCTACTGTATCATCGAAGTAACGAGAGCGGGCCATGAAGCTTGGGATTGGAGCAGAAGAATATGGGTTTGAGACTGACCGTGAGGGTTCAGATACCCTGGACCACTCTGGGGTTGGAAGAGCATCTCTGATGCCGGCTATGCTGCTTTGGCTTCTGTGGCGGTGTTGGTCCCGGTCATGGATTTCTTCGGAACTTGTCAAGGATGATTCGACTGTGCAAGGGCTGATATTACTCGCTTCGGACACTCCCCAAGCGACTCGTCTTCTCGTTGCTTGGGTATCATCGGTCCGTGTTCTCTTTCTCTTACGCTCTCGTTGACTGATCAGTAGTTATTACATCGACCTTTTATTGCTACCGCACGCGTAATACTCACAAACAAGGCCATTCATGTCGTTGGCAGTTCAGACATACATCAGAAGTTTCGTCGAAAATACATCGAACCTACCAAGATCAGCAAAATCCCGTGCAAAATTCCACTCTCGTACCTTTTTCTTGTTGCAAGCAACACATGCCGTAGGTGCCCGCAATGGCGGAGGGCTAAAATCATCCATGTTGACCTGCACAAGTGTTTGAACATTGTGAAACTGAAGCAATCCGGGGGCGTGGGTCTCTTCCCCGCGTCAGAAGCCGAGGCTGCATTGCCGAAGTATCGCTTGACGCTTTTCAGCTCGACATATTGCCGCATCAATTACAATATATAAAACCACTTTACGGAAGAGTATCAAGACCGATATGCTGGCTGTTGAATCATGGGGTATCTTTTGTTCTTATGTGGCGTCAATTGTACACAGTTCTCATGCCCAGCCGGCCAATGTCCAACTCGACCGATCACCACCGGATCTCAAGCCCGATCGACGATCAGGAACGTGATGGTCGGTATCTCGTGTGGCTCCAGCCAATCCATGCTGTAGGAACTTTTCTCGCTCGATCTCCACCATCCCCCGGATTTTCAAACTAGTCGTCAGACTTGCACCAGCCCACGGACCAAGGGATTCGACTTCACGCAAGACTCCTTGAACGGGGACTGGAATGTCCTTGTTCTGTCGGCGAAGCTTTTGTTCAACAAAATCCAGTTCAGGTTCCTCTTTGGAGGGGTCTGATTTCGCTTCATCTCCCGATGAGGCCTCCTCGTCGCTCGTAGCTTTCCCGCTATTCTTGGGTGTTTCGGTGCCGCTTGAAGGTGTTCGAGCTGAGAGTTTCAAGTCCTCCAATCTCTGCCGCTGTCGTTCGAGTGCTTTGCCTCTGATTGCACTCCATCCATGACGGTTAACTAACAGCGAGACTTCCTTGAGGATTCGCTGACGCAGCCCCGGAATTCGAGCACCGCCACCCACGAAGACGATGCGTGACATGCATGTTCCACGTGCATCGGGAGGCAATGTAAGGAGCGCGTTGTAGATAAGCAAGGGGACAGACTTTTCTTCATCGTCCATTTCATGCTCCGCAGTGCCCGCGGCAATTAGGACTTTCTCAGCAGGTTCGGCGAGGCGTGAGAACGACACGTCCATGTATGCTTGCTCGGGATTTGCTGGAGATGGGATCGACAATATCTGCTCTGATGCTGAACTTTCTTCTGCCTGCAATTTACACCAGGCAAATCGACTGACCACCTCTTCACAGTAAGCAAATCCGACAGATATATCGTCCTCTGCGTCATCGTTATGATTCCCGTCAGAGGCTAATTTAGTGAGAAGCCGGCCCATCTCCTGCATCAATGGTTTCATAGCTCGTGTCGTCCTCTTTGCCATCATCTCTCTATATTCGTAGATGGCCGTTGTCGTGGTCTCAGCCCACCCAAGGTCAACTACCAAAGCAGACCGCAGTCCAGCAGCGGTAGCCGACATAGTCGCACTAGACAGAAGAGTGACACTCGGAAATCGCCAGCGACTGAAGAGCGTAGATAGTAGCGACGAAAGCAATGGATGCGACATAAGCGAAGGCAAGACAAGAACCAGGCGAGATGTACCCGCGTCCGTCAACAGGTACTGGTTAAAGGTCTCGCGGAACGCGCGCTCAATCTTGTCTTCAACCAGACCCAGATCAACTTCTCGCGAGTCTGGCCTCCACAATTCGTATGCTCGTGCCCATTCCTCCGCGTCGACTGGCTGAGCTAGCCGTCCAGCACCAGTGCTGCCCTGAATCCATCCCCGATAGTCCCCCGCTCTCCTCGAATCCTCGGGCCCAAAACCGATCACACATGCGGGTGCGCTGTTTCCTTCAAACCCTGCACGGAGCCATCGTGCACCTATCTCGAATATGATCGCATCGTCTTCATTTCGGAAGGACGAGCCCGGCGACGTCGTGCTAGTGAATGAGGTGTTGCCCGAGCGTAATTGCTGCTGCGGTGTGTGCGGGGAGGCTGGTCGTGCAGTCTGGCTATGGCGTAGATTGGAGGTTGCCGAGCTGCGCTTACTAGCGCCCATCGAAGGAGTATCGCTCGCCATGATGTAGTGGTGAGCTCGGGCGCGTTGCTCTCCTTTCTCGGATCAACAGTATTCCGCGGAGGTTCGTAGCGATCAGGGTTTGTTTCACCGGCGCGCGGATAGAAGATTCAACGCCATCGGATGAAAGTCAAAGAGAAGTGAATAAGTGAATAAGTTATTCAATAGAATTGAATTCGTTGCCGTTGTGAGGTTGCGAGCTCGAGTGTTGGAAAGGCAACGGATCTACATCGGGCCGTGGTTTATTTACTTCTATCAACGACTTCATCTCCGCAAACCAGCCCCATCGCCAGAACCACATGGCGCGGCGCAACGGTTTTGGTGTTTTGTAGATTGCATTCATTTTGGGGCTGGCAGAATGGGTATTCCAGGGTGAGTCTGACTTAATCGTGCTGTGGGATATATATATATCCCTGCATGGCGTGAGGACATGCACAACGCATCTCCTCTCCATACCGAACCGCAGCTTCCCTTGAGCAGATGAACCTGATTTACTGACATCAATCCAGGCTCATTAATGCCATCGGCGCGGGAGAGCGCATCTCTCTGGCCAAATTGGCTGTAACGCATCTGGAACGGACAGCAAGACCGATCCGGATCGCCGTAGACATTTCGATTTGGCTGTTCCAAGTTCAAGCAGGCCGAGGTGGAAGAAATCCCGAACTGCGCACTCTATTTTATCGACTGCTCAAATTGCTAGCATTACCAGTTCATCCTCTTTTTGTCTATGATGGAAGGCAAAAGCCTGCTTTCAAAAGAGGCAAAGCAGTCTCTGCGCGCAGCTACGGCAGTGCCCCTATCATCAGACGTTCAAAAGACCTCATTGAACGATTCAGATTCCCATGGCACGAAGCACCCGGCGAAGCTGAAGCTGAGTGTGCACGTTTGCAGCAGGCAGGAATTGTGGATGCCGTCATGAGTAATGATGTCGATGCCTTGATGTTTGGGTCATCATTGACTATCATGAACTTCTCGAAAGAGAATGGCAGTGGCACAGCTTCTGCAACTCATGTCACATGTTATGCAATGGGACAGAACGGGCACCCTTCAAACATACCCCTCGACCGCCCGGGAATGATTCTCTTCGCCATGCTGAGTGGTGGAGACTATCTCCCATCTGGTGTACCCAAATGTGGAAGCAAACTCGCCGCAGAAATCGCCAAAGCTGGGTTTGGTGAAGATCTCCTGCAAGAGCTAGACTCAAATTCAGACGTGGACACAGGATTGACCGAGTGGAGAGAGCGTCTTCAGTATGAACTGGAAGAGAATGAGAGTGGCTATTTTACGACAAAACACAAAGCCGTCAGGATCCCCGAAACATTCCCCGACCGAACGATTCTTGAATACTATGCTCAGCCGAAAGTTTCCAGCGACGAAGAAATGACATTTCTGAGAAGCCGTCTCAGGCAGGCCTGGGATCGAGACATTGACCCCTTGGCAATCAGAACTTTTGCCGCAGAACATTTTGAATGGAACTATCGATCTGGCGCAAGAAAAGTGATTAAACTATTGGCCGAGCCTCTTGTTTCCTACCGACTCCGCCTTCAGAGACCAGTGCGAGGTGTGGCTCCAGGCTTCTCATTCGTTCCTGAATGTCCACCCACTTTACAAAAAGCTTATAAATGTCGGTCAAGCTTCGGCACGGATGCAATGCCAGAGCTACAGCTGGATATGCTGCCCATAGATGTTGTTGGGTTGGATCTCCTTGCTGAAGAGCCAAATCCACCGCTCTCATCCGAGGAGCCTGTTCCATCTCAAGCAACTCCACAGGAGGGAGAGGAGGAAGACGAAACAGAGATGGCCTCGGAACAGGCTCCCCCAACACCGTCAAAGTCCCGAGTGACGAAACGATATGACCCTTTTTCCGTCGAAAAGGTATGGGTCTTTGAGACCGTTGCACGGTTAGGTGTTCCAGACATCGTGAAGAAGTGGGAAAAGGAACAGGCCGAGAAAACCGAGAAAGCAAAGAAACCTGCCAAAAACACTCCTACTCGACGCACGGTACCTAAGAAGAAGGGACCAATTGATCCTGGGATGAAACGAGGAAGTATCCTGAAATACGGAACGCTTACCAAAGAAACCACCGAATTGTCAGCATCCAAACAGACACAGTTGCTAGAAGCAGCTAGTTCGAAAAAATCGACCACGGACCCTCATTCTAGGCTTGGATCCGGATCCGGATCTACTTCACCAGTTGTTGTTGACATGGAACATGGCCCAGTCTCCCCAAGTATGTACGCTCAGCAGAGTGCCACGCCGGTGATGTCCTACTCATCCCAAGAGGTTGACGATCTCCTGGATACCTTTTCTTCCATTACCTTGTCCCCTTCTGCAAATATCAAGCGCCACCCCATGACAGCTCAGTCTCGCATTAGGTCAAGGCGAGGGCTTTTGGGGACCGATGGAATCGAGATTGAAGAGTCGGAGACCCTACACGCGGAAATAAATCATAGTCCGTCCAGACCAACGCGATCCAGTGGCCTCAAAATAAGCTACTCAATTTCGGACTATTGTGACTCGGAAACCTCGATCGAGGAATCACCAGTTAGGGCCCTGATTGCTCCGCCCTCTCCATCCAAAAAGACTCGATCAAAGGCAAAGAAAGCAACCGAGCCTCAGTGCAAAGAGGGAAGCCTAGCTGTCGAAGAGATTGAAAGGGCCATTGAGACCCTTTCGCTGTCACTAAAGCTTGATGACTATAGTGAAGATGCACCGGCTAGGCCATTGCGTCAACCTTCACCGAAAAAGGCAAAAGAACCCAAAGTTCGTACGCGGACCACTAAGATCGAGGCCACTAGATCATCTCTGTCCCCCAAGCAGACGGCATCTGAGCTGGAGCAACCATCAAGCTCAACGAACTCAGTCCCACTACAAGACGAAGAATGTCATGAGAACGCGGTGTCACTGAAGAAAACCGAATGGGATGCCAAGGATCTAAAGCAGGCCACCAAAAAGCCTTCGAAAGGAACCGCAAGCAGCAAACAGGACCACAAAACCGTGGGTCACTTAGAGAACATCACCATACACGATGGTTTCTGGAGCATCGACTCCTCGCCTGAGGACTCAGCAGACCCAACTGGAGTCGAAAGCAAAGCCCGAGGCGGCAAGAA